AATCCTGTGTGTGTTTGTGTGTCTCCCTGCTTCGGCGGGGCCCCCCAGGTGGTGTTTTTGTTTTTTGCTTCTCTTACTTTCTGCCTGCCTTCCTCGCTGCGCGTCCGACGTGTGCGCGGCCAGCTCGTGTTCCCGGAACCTCTCCAACCCTTCCTACGTGAGGGAAAGCAGGCCGGCTCCCCCGGCGGGGACAAATGACTCATGCCATACAAGCAAAGCGAGGCGGCTCTTAAGCCCTTCACACCGGGCAGGCAGCCCCCGGGTAAAATGAACGCCTCTCCAGACCGACGTGGGCTCCAAACAGAGGCTGCAGAAGGAAACTCCGCCCCCAAATTAAACTGGGAAGAAAACTTCTCCAGACTAGCGGCGTTTCTTAAGCGTTTGCGCCAGATCGCCAGCCTTGCGAGATGTTTCTTTCGCTGCAGCCTTCGCGCACGTCGAAAGTTCCTCCGCTTTGACGGTCGTGGCCTTGAGGCCGTTCTATAGCAAGTACTGCACAGTAGCATGCATTCCAGCCACGCAAAGGTCAGGAGGCTTTTGGACCCAAGCTCACGCCCAGCACATGCCGCCTCTCTCTAGCCAGGCAAGCAAGAGGCACGATCACAGTTCCAAGCCAGGCCTCAGCTCTAATAAATCTTACAGCTTTGTGTGCGATGCATAGCTGTCAACGTTTCCCCCTTTTTTAAGGGAAATTACCTGGTTCCAAATAGGATTCCTCGCAAGAAAAGGGAAAAGTTGACACTGCCATGCCATTTTCCTCTTCACACTCCATTATGTTTAGTTTGTTTTTTCCTGGTGATGATTGGTAGCCGTTACAGAAACTGTATGCATTTAAAGCACATCCCTTCCCCTAAAAAAAATAAATAAATCCTGAGAGCTGCAGCTTAGGCCTCATCATGCTACAATTCCCAGCACCCTTAAAAAAAAAGTACAGTTCCCAGGTTTCTTGTGGGGGGGTGTGTGCTTTAAATGTACAAGCCTCGGCCACACAACCAGTACATATGACCTTTCCTCTATCTTATTCAGTGCAATTTTTCTAGAAAAAGAGGTGCCAGAACTCACAATTGAACGCCTCCCTTGTTTTCTTAAAATGGCAATGGTGCCCACTTGAGGTGCCAGAACTGAGTTCTGGTGAGTTCCAGTTGAAAAAAGCCCTAATCTTATCAATACAGTGGTACCTCGGGATGCAAACGGGATCTGTTCTGGAGCCCCGTTCGCATTCTGAAGCGAACCCAACCCACGTCTGCGGTTGTGTTTTGCCACTTCTGCGCATGACGTCATTTTGACCATCTGTGCATGCGCGTGTGCGGCGAACCCCAGAAATAACGCGCTCCATTACTTCCGGGTCACCGCCGAGCACAACCCAGAAATACTTAACTTGAAGCACATTTATCCCGAGGTATGACTATTCCCTGCTCTACCCCAGTTTTTTCACCTCCAATACTTTTACCACAAATCTGCAGTATAAAACTGTGTTGGTTTGTTGCGATGCAGCAGCATAGGGGAGCATTTTTTTAAAATAAACAGGTTTATTGTGGCATAAGCTTTCATGGACTTTAATCTGCAGTGACCAGCCCAGGTCCCTCCTGGGCTCACAGTTACACTTCAAGACCTACTTTTTACCTTGCGGTAATCCCTCGACATGGGAGTATGCAGAAAGAAAAGCCTGTTGCACTGCGTTTAACCTCTCACTTTTGTTACATCTGGCTAAACACAGAGCTGAGGCGAGACCTTGGTATTAAACTACATGATTTCTGGTTTGCAGGAGGTATCAATATCCTCACTCACATAAACCTTTGCTGCACTGGTTGGTTAATATAGGTCAGCTACCTTAAATGCTAACCTTAGCAATTTGTTCTGAAAATACCTAGCATCTATATGGGCATGCTGCTGCTGCTGCTGCTGCTCTAAATACATTTCTGATTTGAAGAGGAGGAAATTGTTCTGCTTCAGTTCGCCATATTAGAGGCCAACAATGTGTCAAGTAGGAGAAAAAGAGTGGAGCCTTCTGACGTAACTACACATGCCCTGAACCTTCGTCTTAGAACATTAGTCATTTCCGTTAAGAATGGGCAGATTGCCACTACAGTCATCCCAATCCCAAAAGTAGATAATCCAGAAACACTGAACTAGACCAATTACATAGACATCCATTGACCATTTCAAAATAAATCAAGTTTTCTCAGATTAGGATTATGTGATTGCAGTTTATCTGTATGTATGTGCACCCAGCCTCCCAACCACATGATGCTCAGACGCCGTGGACCAGGGATCAGCAACCTTTTTCAGCCGTGGGCCAGTCCACCACCCCTCAGACCAGGTGGTGGGCCAGACTATATTTTTTGGGGGGGAAATGAACCAATTCCTATGCCCCACAAATAACGCAGAGATGCATTTTAAATAAAAGGACATTCTACTCATGTAAAAACACGCCGATTCCCAGACCGTCCGCGGGCCAGATTGAGAAGGCGATTGGGCCGCATCCAGCCCACAGGCCTTAGGTTGCCTACCCCTGCCGTGGACACACCACAAGGAAGTAGCAAATGCGTCCCAGCACCTATTGATAGCGCTGGGTTTATGATAATTAGAAGCCCTCTGCAAAATTGTATAGGGGTGGCCCAGTATGCATGGAACCTAATAGCCCCTGTTGCATGGTCATTAGTATCAGTTGTGCAGAGACACTTGAAAGGTAGGGGACCTCAGGTCCCATTCAAGAAGGATAGACCATCTTTTCTACTTTTCCATGGCAATTGTCATCACAGGGACATTGCAATAGTGTGGATCATCTGTATTTTTCTAAATAGATGATCACTCATCAGATCCCAACTCAGAATAGCAAAGTAAAACAAAGCATGCATGTGGCAGGAGATCCAAAGTTAATCTGAAACTATCAAAATAGAAGATCCAAAGTCATTCTGAAACAATGTGGAACAGATTCCAAAGGGAGGTCTATTTTTTTGTGCTGGTCCTTTGTTGCCATTTTAAAAAAGAACTCGGGGAGTATGCTTTGTCTTTTTTCAAGATGCAGAAAATGTCCCCAGAGTGTGAACACTACGCCAGTGTGGTGTAGTGGTTAAGAGCTGTAGACTTGTAATCTGGGTAACCAGGTTCGCGTCTCCGCTCCTCCACATGCAGCTGCTGGGTGACCTTGGGCTAGTCACACTTCTCTGAAGTCTCTCAGCCTCACTCACCTCACAGAGTGTTTGTTGTGGGGGAGGAAGGGAAGGGAAGTTGTTAGCCGCTTTGAGACTCCTTTGGGTAGTGATAAAGTGGGATATCAAATCCAAACTCCTCTTCTTCTTTACAAAAGAACTAGAAAATGCCGGCACATAAGAAAAACGGCGATAAGGAACAGAAGTAAAAACTACACAGAACAGAGTAATAACAGCACTCCCAATTATTTTGCGCTCACCGAGTTTCCAGTGGTAAGTGTTTAATCCTTGCTCACATGACTTTATCCAAACCACAGGTGTATCCTGTACTTTGTTGCAAAGTATGGCTTTTTGATGTGGTGTTTCTCAAACCAGCTTCACACTGACTGGAGTCCTTAAGCCTTTTCTAATTAGCTTCTAGCCAAGGTGTGAACATGTTTGCTAGGGTAAAGACATATTTGCCCTTCAACGCACCCTGGTGTGTATAGAAACAGAAATGAATCTAAACCATGCTGATGTGAACATCTAAGGGTTGGGGAGAATAACTGTAAAAAGCACACAACTCCCCCTCCCCAAACCTTCATTGCACTCCAAGCGGTCAATGTGAACAAACTCTGTGTTTCGGTCTCATCCATATTATTTCAGTTCTGAACCAACCATGGGTTTCATTCTTACATTGCACATACACACATTTTCAGTAGACACAAACAGGATGCAGATTAGGAGAAGGAATCTGTTGTTAAATCACCGCTGTAAATGCCAAGAATTCAGCAGCCATGGGAATTCTGATCCAAAAGTCAGAACATGGACAAGCTTATACTACAAAAAGGAGCATTTTCTCAAAACTGCATGTATAAAACATCTACCCCCCATCCCCCAGTGTTCCTGCAAATGGTTCGCTCCGAGAATACTAGATAAGCAATTGTGTATGTGCCGGTTTTGTATATGCACAAAATTCAGTAAGTTAAGCATTAAATATTTCCAGCCTTTGTTTCTGCCTGCCTGCAGTTGATGTCTTCTGATGTTGCAGCAGGTAAGCATCAGCCTGGCTAGGCAAAACAGTTGGAGCTGAAATGTTATCCTGGGATTTTACTGCTAGTTTGTGTGAGCAGAAATCAGTTGAGACATAGGGCGGGGGTTGCTTTTGATGAAAACTGGTATTTGGTGCTTAAAAGGAAGGGGAGAAGATTATAAGAGCAGAGCTGTAATTAACATCCCATAAGAGTTGAAACCGTAAAGCTACAAAACCACTGTACAAGGAACAGTTAAAGAACTATTAGGCCTCCTCAGTTAAGTTGTCATGTGGAGAAGTTCCTGGACTTCAGTGACGTGACACGTAAGCTACATGTGTCAGCGCTTAGAGAAGACTTTAATCTGCAAATGCGGATTAACACTAAATACTCAAAAAGCTTCAGGAGAATTCAAACAACATGCAGGTTATTGAACATGCGTAACAGCCTTTAATGACTTGTTATGCACAAACCAGATATAGAGTGGTCTGAAACAAAACTTTGCTTAATTAAATACATCAGCTTCATAACCCATGGTTTGAAGATGGCTTTTTTTTTTTTAGAAACCGATCGTTTTGTTTCAAACTGTAATCTGGGCCACGCATAACAAAAGGATTCTTTAAAAAGTGAAAACTAAGTGTCTCTCAGCCACAGAGGTGGTGGAGAGAGTGTGTGCATTCGAACCCAAGGCTTTGCTTGGGCTCCCTGCAGCTCATGTGTAGCACTAAACCACCTATTAGCATTTCCTGAAATGCATAACTTGAGCTACTGGTTCTCTCAATAAGGGATATAATACGACACTTGACTCCTGATGAAAAATTAGCAAAAGGACAGATGACACTTTTGAACAGAATTTATTTATTCCAAATATCACATAAATACATTTCCCCATGAATATTCCAAATATACATGAAATGAACATTGCAGCAATTTTTTATTTTTATTTTAAAAAAGGGGTTTGGCTTTTGTTTCATATAACAAGAAGTGCCAAACATAGTTGTAACACATATCTGTCTTTCATTTTCTTTTTAACCAAGTACAAAAATGCGATTAATAATTTATATTTGTACATATATACACATACACCCACACTCACACACACGTAGACATACACACTTTTCTTCAACTAGCTTCAAAACAGATAAGGATTTTGTTTCAAGTTTTATCTACATAAAATACGTTTTCTTTAAAAAAAAAACAACTGGTCACAAGCTCCAAGATCTGGTTTTTGTGGGTGCTTTGTTGATACAATCATTCCAGAGCTGCAAAATTAAGGCGCTACCAAACACCAGGCCTTCAGCTATGTATGACACTGCATGACTTACGCATACAGCTTTCTGAACACCCTCTGCCATTGATTCTCTTTGAAATTAACTACAGCAACAAGCCAAAGGAGCAGAAATCTGCTGATTATCAGCTCACTGGAATCACAAAGCAATCTCAGTGACTGAAAAGAAGAAAGGAGATTTCGAAAGCAGTAGATAAAAGGCCACAAAAGCAAACAACTGGTATGACCCGTGAATTTTTTTTTTTAAAAAAAGAAGATTTAATTTCACTTACAAAATCTATTTTTTTTATATGGAAGCCTTACACAGCAGGCTTGTAATGGAAAACAGGTTTTTGCATGTTTGTTTAGAGGGGAGAACGGAATGCCTTCTCCTCCTTATCATAATCAATAAACATGCCTGGAACATTTTTCTGCAAAGCTTTTCAGACCATAGATACCCTAAGCCCTACTTCTCTTAGGCTGCCAGACCAATCAGCCTAAGAGAAATTAAAAAAAACCCATTTTTAAAATGTTGGCTTTCGTCATGTTTTTCAATTAATGCGTCTGCTCACTTGACAGACGTTGATTATTAAAAGAGCAGACAACCTGACCTTTAATTTCAAGGGCTAAGTGTACCATGTTGAATTCTGCCAGAAAAGTCCTCCAACCAAAACAAAACACCAAATAAGAATATCAGCGGTGCTGCAGAGAACAGAATTTAAACATGGAAAGTGCTGAAACAGTAAATCAGCAGAACAAAATAAGTTTCCTGTTTATGTTCAACTGCCGTGTAACTTCAGATATTAACAGAAAACGAGACAAGGAGGGAAAATATATGAAACAACCTTTAAGCAAGCACAAAGGTACTGTGAGAAATCATGAAGATTGTCCAAGTTCCCTGCCAAAAATTAACGAGGGCACATTTTGAAGGGATTTTTATTTTTTTTACTAGATACCTTGGAAGCTTCTAATGTTCAGGGGGTTTACAGGAAGACAGATGTGTTTCGGAAAGTATGATAGCACCCAGGGAGCAGATCGAAGGGAAAATTCACCAAGACGGTCCTTTCTCTAGCTTAATGCTAGCTCTCTTGAAGGAAATATAAACACAGCTCTGGTAGAAGGTAGCAGAACTTGCAGGAAGGCTATGGTAGAGATTATTAGATCATTGGTTGCAAGTTATGCAGTTTACAATTAAAAGTGTAGTCACAGGTCATTACTTTACTACAAAAGGCGAATTCAAGGTAGAGGCAACTACAGTACATTCAGGGTGTGTGTTGATCAGTTCCTAGGCAACTGCTACTGGCAACTTCTGACTAGATACTTCTGCCAATCATCTAATACCACTCGGACTACAGTTACGGTACGGATAATGCAGTCAATCACCTTTTAGATGATATTGCTTCCTGAATTCACATGCAAGTGTTCACACCTTCATCAAAAGAGAACACACTTTGTAATTTAAGGAGGAGGCACTTCTGAAATATTTTGGTATTGCCACTATTTTCACCTTCCTGTCTTATTTGCACGTGAACCTGTGTCTTCAGTTCACACGGCATTCCGAGATTTGAACCGGTGTTATTTCTCCCAAGCTGTTAACGCAATTGTTTTCTACAATTTGGAGAGTTCAGCAGTTTGCAACAGTGCTTTTGCAGCTTCACGTTCACTGCTAAAAATTTCTTTCCAACAGGCTGACAGACCTCTTTTTAAAAAAAAATTAAAAAAAAATTATTAACAATACGTACTGAGACATCAAAATACAGCTATATTTACAGAACCAACAACTAATTGAAGGTTAACACCTGGTTTAAGCTTGCATTGAAATTTGCCTTTACAGATTTCAGTATGTGCCTCCTCTCAAAGTTGTCACTGAGGACCAAGACTCCAAGCACAGACAGTGGTCGGTACATAACGAGTAATAATATTAACCTTTTGGTTAAAAAAAAATGTGCTAACAAACATTGTTCCAGTATAACAGGTTAGGCTGGCATGGCTGTTGAAAATATAGGTGGAAACTGGATCTTACCTGTTCTGAGTTATACTTACAGAATGAGCATGGAAGGGTAATTTGAAATGGCAATTCTATATCTCAGCGGCCTTTTGAGAGATTACCACAGAACTGCTTGAACCAAGTATATATGTACATATGCTAGAAATGCTGGCCATGATCCAGCAATGAAGCTCAGCATGCTCAAGTGGCTCCAATGGCAGCAAAAAAAAGCATCCCGCGCACACAGGGAATTCCATCCGGCACGGGAGCCTGCAGGATCCTCATGCGTACCGATATCTAAGTCACAACCACTGACAACAGGCTATCCATAAGTAACTTTTTTCCATATTGTAATGCGGGTCACCTGAGGTTATTCTTTTTTTCTATTTGTAGGAAGGGGGGGGCGGTTTAGGGGAACCCGACCATCCTATACATATATCGAAACACTATTTCCCATTACACACAGCATGCAAGTTACAAAGACAGGGAGGGTTGATCAGCCGCAGTGCTGTCACCAGCTACTCTTTTGGTCAAACACTGTCTTGCAAGGCGAACGTCCAGGAAAACACATTTTGCTTCACAGATCAATCATTTTGTCAATATGCTACAGACGAAAAGACTGCCCCCTGTTCATTTAACACTTGTTGTCTTGTGCATTCTTCCTCTGGAGGATATTTTGGGGGGATTTCCCTTCAACTGGCAACCTCTAAGAATTGTTTTTCAAAGTTTCTTTTCAGTTTCTAATCCACTGTTTGTTCCGAGTTCTGCTGTGTAGAATTCAAAATGGCTGTTTGGGGCTTCAGGGGCATCTCAGGGCTTGTGACTCAGCTGTCTCCCCCCCCCCCCCGGTGATAAAATGGACAGTTGGTTGCAAGTAGCGATTCCAAGTTGTTGCCTGCAGCGATCGGCTATGCTGCGATTGTGGCGCAACTTCTAAGAGGCTCAGATTTCTCCAGGACAAGAGGCACAGAATGCTTGGTTAACTACTGGGCAGAGTGTGTGCAAAAAATAAAAAATTGTGAGTGCTTAGATGAGCAAATCAGTTTCATTGGAAGGGAAGAATGTGTCGGTCTCTTGAGAATACTTAGGAGTATTCACAACCATTTGTTTTCAGTGTCTGTTCACAAATGAGGATGTGTCATCTAGGTCTTTTGCGTGTCACAAATATTAATACGCGCCGTATGGCGATAAGACGATCTTTAAGTGAAGTCATGGCAAGAATGGCCAATTGGGCCCTGTTCTCCAGTGGCAATACTGCCAACAGCCACCAGTACCAAGCTGGACCACTTGGGTTGCTCTGCAAAGGGAACAACAAAACAATACATCTTTAACGTGCTTAATATTTATAGAAAAATCTAAACAACAACCCTCTGCACTAAAATGTCTTACTATTTATAGGGTGATCCAAAATACTGCATTCTGCAAAATCCTCAGGCGACTGACAGTGAGAACAGACCCTCTCTTCCTCTCACCGACCCATCTTTTGGAGAAAACAGTACTATAACAGGGAGTCGGCCCAAAACCAAAAGAGCACTCTCTTTTCTGAAACTATTTCTATTTCTAGCTTGATCTCTGTCAAGACAAAATTATACCTGGCTAAAAATAATTGGCACAGAATAGGAACAAACAAAGGTACAGTATGACAATAACCTTTGGTCTGTTGTAATACTGGTGTTTATCATGCTAGTTAGAGAGAAAGAGAGAGAGAGAGAGAGAATGTGTATTTGTTTAAAGAGATTGAATATACATCTAAGTCATCCACTACCATGTTTAGGTTGTAAGCCCATGTGAAATCATACAGTTGGCATTATAGGAATGGACATCTTGAGGCCATCCCACAATCTTTGTTGATGAAATAGGAAGAATAACATGGGTGGAGATTTTTCCTTTAATGAGAATTGCTTTTTCCATTCTGGCTTTAAGCAGTTTTGAGCGCTAAAAGCTGAACTAGGAACAACACTGATCATTCATGCAGATTTGCTCCTTTCTAAAATTTCCAGAGAGTGTTTTCCACACACACACCAACCACTCACTATGTGGTCTCTCAAGTGCAATTGTCAAAGGAAGATCTCTGTAACTGTTTCGATAGAACAGCCCCGTGTTACTGATAAGGCTGTACTTTCACCCTGTACTAGCACAAAATGATTGGTTTATAATCTCAGAAAAGGCTAATGCACAAAAACAGACCAAGGAAACAAAGCTAAACTGAAGCCCGTACAAAATTTGCCCCGATGTCTGTCTGTTAAAATGAGTTATCAGTCTATGTGAGCAAGTCCAAATGTAATTATGACACAAATGAGGATTTAACATCTTAATGGATTCTCCCTGGGGTGGTAATCCAAACGTGCAAGATTTATTGGTGGCAGCAATTTAACTAGATGTTTTTAAAGGTGGTGGTTGTTGTTTTACTCCCAGAAGCAAGTGAGCATAGACCACAGTTTAGTATAGCAACTAGCTACCAATATATGTATTTTTAGGGCAGAAGGACAGTGTCTCTCTCTCTCTCTCTTTCTTTTGAAAAATCTAACGGTGGATTACCTGTAACACTTCCCCCAACTTGAACAACAGCATGAATTAGAGCCCTTCCCCCTCTAATATATCTTTTTTTTTTTGGCAGAAAAACAGTTTTGGGAGGAGGTATTTGGAGCAGAGAGAAGTAGCAGGTTTTCTCATCGTAACTGCCTCATAAATGTGTGCTGGAACCTTGTAGAGGGAAAAACAGCCAGGGAGCAATTTGGCAGCGGCAAGAGGTGGGCGGTGGGGGTTAAGCACTCCCCCTGCTGTCTCTACATTCCAAATTTCTTCTTCTCAAAATTCTTTTTTAAAGAAAGGAGGTTGGTTCTAATACACATTTGCATATAATGCATACTTAGCCCCTGGTGAAAAACGTACTCTGCACGCTCCTATCTTTGACCCTTTCTCAATTTAGTAAATTGAACTTCTTACAAATTTCAGCTCTGAGAATTCTGCTGTTGTTCTAGGGACGGGGTGTGTATGTGTCGGTGTAAAATAGCATATTTTGTTCTACTCACACTGCAGTATCATCACTGGATGTCTATTAGGTTTATACTCCTTTGTTGGGGCCTAGGGATGTGGTTTGCATGGACCCTATCCCTATACTGCACATTTCCTGGGCCCTGCTGCTCCACACTTTCAAGCAGCAAGCTTTGGTCTGCAGGATTGGTCTCCAGGAATTTCCCCACCCTTTCAGAGGAAGGGTGAAGGGAACTTATGGTCCACCCCCCTGCAAAAGTCGATGGAAAGTATCCCCTACTCCGTGCTCTTAGACGTTCTGACCCACAAACATCTCTTCAAATGGAGACTTGAGGTATGTATAGCACTTACCTGTGGCTCAGGCTCCTTCCCTGGCATGGACCCAAAGTGGTTCAGAATTTGCGCTTTCATGTTGTCTTTAAGAGAAGTAAACCAGGCGACAGCTTGATCATAGACTGAATCATGAAGGCGGACAAGTTCTTCATACTCTGCCCCTTCAACCTACACAATGTGCAAAAAGGGATTCAAAGTCACGTTTCTCTCATTTGCAGTGTAACAAAAACAAGGCAGATAATATGAATTAGGGTTTATCTACACTTACTTTCCGGGGCACGGTCCGTGCTTTAAAGCTCTGTGTCCGAGTGCCCCCCCTTTTTTGGCTTCAGAACTTCCCCCGCAAAACCCCACTCTTTAAAGCTGAATTGGAGCCAAAGGCAACCCAGGGGAAATCTGAATAGCCATTTGCTCCAATTCAGCTTTAAAGAGTGGGTTTTAACTGGTAAAGATCGGGGTGGGGGGGGAGAGCACTTGGACACAGACCAGGAAAGTGTGGACCTGTACCTGGAAAAAACGGAGCAAAGGGTAAGTGTGGTTAAGGCCTTAAAGTGCCGCCTAAACATTTAAGCCACTTTCAAAATGACTTGGGGCACAGTAACTTGATTTTTGCGCTAAAATGGGCACTGGGACAGAGGACAGTGTAGCCTAGAGAAGGTGTACTCCCTGAAAGCTCTACTCAGACCCATTCTGTCCCCTAAGCGTGTGGCAGAAACTGCAATAAGTTTGTGTAAAAAACCCACCAACACTTGCTTTGCAATCACAAGGGCCACAAACTTTCTCCTTCAAAAGCAAAACAGAGATCCTTTGGGTGGTAAAGGTGTTCATCTCATTTGGGGTTTTTTATACTAACTGTTTTAGAGAACTTTTCGTCTGAATGTTGAATGTGTAAATGTATGTCTAGAGACAATGGATAAAGCGAACACCATCAGATGTACCACTGGATATGTGTTTAACGCTAATTGTATTTGTTTAAAGACCAATATAAATTGTTTTTAAAAACAATTTAAAACATAGGTTATAAATATATATGTATATCTTAAACGTTAGACAGGAACTCTTTCTATACTTTTTGAGAAGCCAGCTAAAACTTTTAATTCAGCAAACCTATCCAGACACAGATCACTATTATGTATGCATGTTTTTAAAATGTTGGTTTTTATCTGTGTATTATTGATCACCTTATATTAATTGATGTGTGTAGATTTTTCATTAAGGGTATACCGTATTTTTCGCCCTATAGGACGCACTTTTTCCCCTTCAAAAATGAAGGGGAAATGTGTGTGCGTCCTATGGGGCGAACGCAGGCTTTTGCTGAAGCCTGGAGAGCGAGAGGCGTCGGTGCGCACCGACCCCTCTCCCTCTCCAGGCTTCAGGAAGCTATCTGCAAGCCTTGCGAGCCCGGCGGGAGTTCCCGCGGGCTCGCAAGGCTTGTGGGCGGCAGCCTGAGCCCGAAGCACGGAGGACGCCCCGTGCTTCGTGCAGGTGTCCGCAAGCCTTGCACGCCCGGGGGGAGTTCCCCCCAGGCTCGCAAGGCTTGCGGGCAACAGCCTGTTCTGGGGGCTGGGGACGGAGGAAGCTCGGGCTTCCCCCGCCCCCAGCGACGCAAGCAAGCTCCGGGAGCGATGGCGAGGTTGCAAAACCTTGCTATCGCTCCCGGACCCATTCTGGGGGCTGGGGATGGGGGAAGCTTGGGCTTCCCCCGCCCCCAGCCCCGCAAGCAAGCTCCGGGAGCGATGGCGAGGTTGCGCAACCTCGCCTTCTCTCCTGGACCCCCAGCCCCGAGGCTAAAAACGAAGCCAGGACAGTGAGCGGGATCCATCCCGCTCGCTGTCATGGCTTCTTTGCTCTTTGGGGCTCGGGGGGGGGAAAAATAATTTTTTCCCCTTTATTCCCCCCCCCCCCAAATAAGTGCGTCCTATGGGCCGGTGCGTCCTATAGGGCGAAAAATACGGTATATTTTTTTCCAAAATGAATGAAACATTAAAAACAACTGTAAAAAAATAAGCCCCACCATACTTCAACAATAACAGTAAAAAATATTCCAAATCAGATGATTAAAATCAATGCAATAAAACAAGCATCTGCAACCCCCCCCCAAAAAAAATAGATTAACAGCAAACCACGCAGCACAATACAATAAACTAAATATAATTCAAAAACCATCGTAACGGAAGCATGACACCCACACCTTATAGAAGCAGTCATACAGAAGAAGCTTTCTGACTGAAATGAGTGGCTCCTCCACAATTATTCAAGGAAGAACATTACAGTGGTACCTCTAGTTACGGACTCGATCTGTTCCGGGGTGCCGTTCGCACCCCGAAAAGCCTGTAACTGGAGCACCGCTTCTGCGCATGTGCGAAGCACGCAGAACGCTTCTGTGCACACACGCGCGGCAAAACCCAGAAGTATACACTTCTGGGTTTGCCGCGTTCACAAGCCGAAAAGACGCAACATGAACCTAATGCAACACGAGGTATGACTGTATTCCCCAAGGCCTGCTAGCATGGGGAAGCAATTTCTTTGTACTGGAAACTTGTGGCAGCCACCTAAAAAGTCAAAACTTCCATCTCTACCACTGAGCAGAAGGGCCTAACTTGCTATCTCCCCTCATAGAGCCTTAAACTCAGTGACTGCTTCCAACAGCGCAATGGGTCTGACAGCAGCGAGCCCTCCCATAGCCTTCATGCATTTGGGTGCTATTCTTAAGGCAGATCAAACCTCCTTGACTCAATGTGGCTTCCGCATTAAGAGGATTTCACTGTATTTAAAAGGGACAGTCATCCACAAAGACAACCTTCTTAGGGGAAGGATGGAAAGTGACGAGCAGAGAGTTCAACAAAGTGCATGAAGCACAAGCGTACAATTTTACACACATTTGCTTCACGTGGAAACTTCTCGAGCCACTGTTTTATGGCGAAGCTTTTGTCCAGACATTCGCATGGGAATCAAAATGGCGCCCTTGATACAAAAGAAAGTTCTGCCATATTTTGAGGTAGCGGAACGTGCGAACTAAAAAGTGGAATTCTACCAGATTCTGGGAGGGACCAACACCTTGTCGCCTCAAGCATTTCCAAAGCCTGGTATTCTCATGGTTTAGCGCTGCATTAGTGTCCTTCTGATACAGTGAATAATGTGTGTATGTGCTTTCAATTATTTACACAATCGTGTTGCAGATTAGTAACCTCAGGTCTGGTAAACTTCCAATCCTCCTTTTGAAGGATGGAAAGATGGCAATCAACAGCGAATGATTATATATATGCACGCTGTTTGAGAAGCCACTTGCTAAACAGTCATCTGTATTCTCCCCGATGTCCATGACTGATGTGGAGGATGTGAGTTAAGTCTCTTTGCAGAGTGGATATTAGGCAAATATACTTGTAAAAGACCCTTACGAGACAAGTTGTAATTTGAGTATATTTGAACAAATGATTTTTTTCTGCTGCCAACTCTTGCTCTGCATGTAATAAAAGATCTATTTCTAGTATTCTGCCCAAAACTCAACACAGTAGCTCAAGTTATTTTAACCTTCAAGATCAGAATGATATCCTATTCTCTTTGCCTTCATCTGTTCCTTCCATCTGAGAACAACTTTACGCTGCGCTGCTGGAGAAACCAGTTGCAGAAATTAACAGGATTAAGCACCAGTGACCAAAGCATGCTTGAGCAATGCGTGATCCAATATAGAGCTTTCTAATGCCTTATCATCAATCTAAAGCAGAGCACCACTATTTAAGAGGCATGATACAAATTACAGGCAGATTATATATGCCAGTCTTACATTTGTCCACTAAATACTCCTAGCAGCACCTATAACCACCAATTTTAGTGAAATTCCAATTTCTCATGTTGCTTGTTTCCCCAAACTGCTGCTGCTATAAACTCATGTTTTCTCACTCAATATATTTTTCAGGCTGTGCAAGGCATGTACAACTAGGAATGCTACAAATAAAGTTATAAACATCTCCAGGAAAATGCTTCCAGTCATTGTGAAGCTTGGTATGATGCTGTCTCTTCAAAACTTGTTGAGCATAGTGTTTCGATTCAAAGTAATCAAATATTAAATTTCCTAATGTTAGTGGACCAATATGCAGAGCAGGCGAGAGGAAGGAAACGGCTTAAGCTACTGGGGAAAGAAGGTTCTATGGTTGGTAGAGGAGGAGAAAATGGCAAGGGATGAAGAGAGTTTAGTATTAAGAGGTTGGGATAGGGTTGTCTAATGGGGGGGGGACACCCAAAAACCAACATAATTTATTTTGTAGTTAATTACATAAAAGGATGCATACTTGGAAGGCAAGTGTAGAAAAAAGCCTCACAAAACTATACAAGTTACCTTTTTATCTTCCATGTATTCAATGTTTGCAGTATTATACCCGTCTCTCTGACCATGGCTCAAGACCCTGAAACGCCGGACACCAACTGTGTCAACAACTGAACGTCCGTCAGGGAAAAACTTCACATCCCTGATCTCTAACATGCAGCCGTAATCAGCAAACCTGAAGGGACAAAGAGAGCCATATTAGTCCTGTGTATTAAGTATACCTAAAAATTCTAAGCGTACTTAAGGAATGTGTCTCATTGATTCAATATGGAATCATCAATTCCATGCATAAGCATGTCTAGAATCAAGCTGTAAAAGGTTCTTGCAGAAATTGTGCATATACGTGATCAGAGAGATGCAACGCATGTGGAACTAGGTTGCCTATTCTGTGACTGATGAAAGACTGGTGAACACATTGGTGTTAGAAGAATGCAGGGACTACGTTCAGATGGCTGGATTTTCTTAGCACTTTGCAACTCCCCATGAGATTATTGAGGGGGAACAGTTAGGAGTTCTTTAACTCTTTAGATCAAGGTGCGTATGTGCTGCAGGATTTGCCGCCTGCTTGAATTGTCGTTTTGTCATCTGAGTCAGCACGTAATACACACAAGTCACTTTCAACACATGTAATAAAACAATCTTTCTTTATTCCTTTTGGGTGAGAACTTCTTGTCGGCACATGGTTACGGATAAACACATATTCATAACAAACACACATCGTAACTCTAGCCATAGATCCTTAAAAGTTCTTGGCAGTGTGTGTATGAATACACCTGAGCGCTGGACACACAGGTGGGTTCAGACACACACACTCCATAACACCAGCATCTCTTTCGGGAATTTAATATTTTCAAGTCTGCTTCCAAATCCTTTGCTTACCCTTTCAGTTCATCAGCTAAGCACATGCCAAACTGCTTGGTGCCAGTATCCATACATCTTCTTATCATTAACCGATAGCGGGGTTCAAAGATGTGAAGAGGGCAAGGAATGGTAGGGAATGCCATGGTGCACACGAAGATGGGGACATCTTTATTCAGGCTGTAAGAGAACGAAGAGTCGTATTAAATCAGCACATGCAGCCAAAAGCTATTTTCTGAAACCTGCCATGAAATAAGCTTGGCTGTGTTGACATTATTATTTCCCATTTCCTAGGCCTTCCTTCTATCAGAGACACACCCACATGCAACATTAATCCACAGTTTTAAAATCAACTGGAGCAGGCCTGCACGCCATGTTTGTTCTTGGCCTACTGCTTGTGGTGCGTTTGAAGGAAATAAATCATGAGCCCAGAACAATCGTGAGCAAGGCACACATCATAGCAGGCTTGTTTCCTTCACCCCTGCCCTCCTCTCTTTTGTAGGAAGGCTGCTTACTTTGACAGTTCCTTCATTTCTTCTTCGTAAACTTTCTTCCTTTCAGACAACTCTTCTGGCAAGTAACGAACTATTAATTCTTCAGTAAGGATGGTCTTCTTGTAAGTTCGGCCGGCCAAAAACTAAAAATGAAAGCATTCAAGAACTCAGTAACAAAGCTGGCTTAGGAGCAGAATCTAGTGATGAAGTTAGTGTGGTTAGCCAAACCTTTCCATACTTTAAAAGCATTGGTTTGGGGGGGGGGCCCTGCAGATGTTGTTGGATGGCAACTCCTACCATCCCTTATCATTAGATATGCTGACAGGAGTCTGACTTCCAACATCATCTGTAGGTCCCAGGCTCTGCCATCCTTGCTTTAAAGTCTGAAGAAAAGAAGAAAAAGTGTGTGCAAAATACCCAAAGATGGCACAATCCTGTATAGTGCAGTGAAGGGTTAACCCTGGTTTTCAACAGCCAGGACAGATACCTGGGATAGCAAAACAGTAGAAGGGGGGGCACTCATTACTGCATCTGCAGAAGATGTTGTAAAAAGAAATAAAGAATAGGACCCATTCTATTATTGTGGTAAAGCCGTACTGCAAAGAAATTTCCAATTACGTTCCTTTTTTTTTTGTAGTCAAAAACGACCTTGGAGGAAATAATTCATGTTTAACTACTGCTGTAGAGTATATTCATAACTTGCTAGCGAAGCTTCTTTGAGATGCCCAGCTATAAAATGAGGTTCACATTAACAGGTAGGGAGCCTGCCAAAAGAGGGTTGTTGTTGTTTTGCTCCTCTACTAATGCCTCCCCCAGGTTTCCTGGCTCTGTGGGCAACAGCTGGAGCCAGGAAGAGTCCAGCTCAGACATAGCAGGACTGTGGCAGGTCCCTGCGGGCTCAGTGTTCATGAGGCCAGTTCCAGAAATATTTGACACCTTCTCTTGAGTTGGGTGTGTGGATCCAAGTCTCAGGAGGTCCACAATAGCCCAATCCCTTCAGCGGTGTCTGGACTAAAGACTGTGTACATGAGATTCCTGCCTTCCCTTTGCCCTCATACCAAATGAAAAACCTCGTTGTTCCCCCAAGAGGAAAGCCTTCCGGAGCCTGCAATAACTTTGGGGGGAAAGCATACAGCTCGATCTCCTTTGGCCTCCAAACCCGCTCTGGGAGCTTAGGCTGAAGGGTACCACATAAGAAACACCTTGCTTCTTTTCAGCCTAACTTCTATTCACAGATGTTTAGAACCACACAACTTTATAGAGTTGGAAGGGACCTCAAGGATCATCTAGTCCAACCCGTTGCAATGCAGGAATGTTTTGCAAAACATGGAGCTCAAACCCACCACCCGGAGATTAAGAGTCCCACACTCTTTGCATTACTTTGCATTTTATAATGATGCTTTAAAAACGTTGCGAGCCACCTTGATTCCCAAACTTGGGGGGAAAAGAAGGATATAAATATATAAAATAAATATAAATAAAACTGAGCTGAGCTGTGCAACTCTTGAGCATGCCTAGCCTTGTGTCCTGCTGCAATTTTGAGTGGAGGGTATTTCACCCACACCCAAAAGTTTTCCGGCATACCCTGAGGGCCTTTATCACTGGAACACACCTACTTCTGCATCACCAATTCCTTATTTTGCAAGCCCCACGCCTGATTTGCTAACAGTAAGTATTACCCAACCAAGAGGCTTCCATTTAAGCAGCCCATGGGAGATAGTGGAATACTTACTTCAGACAGCTTTTCCTTACAAAGCGGACAGTATGGATTATGGTCCAGGCAACGTTCAAGGCATTTGAGGCAGAAGGTATGTCCACAGGGAGTAGCAACAGGTTCGTAGAATAACCTGAACGATCGTGAGCATTGAAAAAACAACTGGTTACTCCACACTTCCGTTCAAAGCACAACTCCATATTTTTCACATGCATTAATAAAGGCATATGTGATTTCATGAGGTACAAATAACAGCTCCCCAGTGTTAAGATATTCAGATATATAAGGTAGACGCCAAATTGCTCCTTAAACCAGGGTTGCAGGTGCCAAAACAGAAATTCTAGTTGCTATTTTGGGCCAGACGGCTCAAAAGTCGTATTTTTCAATACGACTTTTGGGTTCCTGAAATTCATTCTGACTTTGCAGATAAAATATAATGGATAGAATTCTACAGGATGTGGTATTAGTGTGTGAAAACAGTCAAGATCCAAGGACCCCCAGGCATGCACCTCCAGATGGTGGAGACGTCAGGCGCCATCCTGGCACCTGGGCATCTTCACTTGGTCGCAAGTGGCCAATGGGCAGGTGCAAAGCGCACCTGGCGCCTGATGAATTTTGAATGCTGCTGCTCCCAAAATGTCAGTGGCAGTAACTCACTCTCTGGTACATTCAACTGTACAACTTTTGTCGAGGCAAGTAATTTCGTAAGCTATATGACTGAGAGCTCGGTTTTTAAAAAAGAGTTTGAGCATAGCTATAGAGCACATATTCCACAGGAAATCAATGTGATGCCCTCCTGAAGTTTTTGTACTGCAACACCTAACTTCCATGACCACTGGCACGGCTGGCTAGGGCTGATGGGGAGCTGAGAGTCAAGAAACATCTGGAGGACCAGTGCTATTTTTCTAGAAAAAGAGGTGCCAGAACTCACTAGGAACACCTCCCTTGTTCGCTTATAATTGCAGAGGTGCCTGCAAGGCCCTTTCAGCCGAGCCACACCCACCTGCCTGTCGCCCGATTTCATAGGACGTTCCTTTGGCACCGCACCTTGTTGTGCTGCTTTCGGCAGCGACTGAATACACTCAGGAGTTCCGGGTCACTTCCAAGCATACCTGATCCCTGCCAAAATTAGCACAGCAGGGCAAGGTGCCAGATACGAGCAGCACCCAAAGGTAAATCCCCTGTCGCAACAGGAGAACCTGCAGCACACTCCAGACGGATCCTTTATCTTTGGCACTGCTTGAATTTGGCACCTTACACCGTCATGCTGCTTTCAGTGGGTATAGGATGCACTCAGGAGCTCTGGGTCTTTTATGGCATTGGGTGACTGGCAGGTCGGCCATCCTGTCAATGTGGCCTGAAAGTTGACCACTTTCAGATCCAGCCCTCCAGCTGATGAGTAGTTCCTCACCTCCGTGGGTAGATAGATTGATAGATATGAATTAAATAGCTTAGTGTACATAAGTCAGGATCTTTCCCTCTTTCCTCCGCCTTTAAAATGCCACACAATATTTTCCAAACAACATTTAGCCCATTTCTTGCTAATACCTCATGCAAAGGGAACACTCAAAATCAGATGCATCCACAAGGCTTGCGGGTATCGCTGTTAAGGGAAGAGAGTTGGGATTTTCGCAAGAAGCATCTCCATCTTAAAAAAGAGAGAGAGAGAACACACACACATTGAAAATCAGCAAGGTTTACTGAAGGGCCCTATTATTAATTTTAATTGTTCAAGGTCATCCTACATTAAGAGCTTTTTCACTAACTAAACCAACAATTCACAAAGAGTTTGCTGGAATACTGAATTTAGAGTATTATAGAGAAGGGCAAGCTCAAGTAGATATTGGAAAGAGCGCAGCGTAAGGCACCCATTTTCCTATCAGAAAAATAATGCGTTTACATCATTTGGAATTGCTATCTCCAGCTCCGGAGGAACAGATAATGAATTAATTTTTCACATCTGAAATTACTGAAAAACATCAAAAGCAAATGAAAGCTGCTGCAGAACAAAGCCAATGAAGTTGGGTAACTTGTTGAATCAGATGAAGTAAATTCCAGTCCATGAAAGCTTATGTTACAACTAATGTGTTCATCTTTAATATGCCACAAGTTCGTCGTTTTTGCTGCAAAAGAACAATACTGTAAACTGGGAGTTGCATCAAAACTGCTCTCCAGAGAAGGAACACAGGTCTGGCTGTATAATTTCACATGTTGCCCACTTTATTGTTTATTGTATATGACCTTGGTGGTTAGGAGTGAAACTCTCCCTCCAAAGAGTTGTATCTGGCATTTTCTTTAAACAAATTTCAGCAAATGCCGATGACACACTCTTTACCCTGGCTTCCAAGATGCATAATTTTACAACCGACCTTATTTATGTGATTGGGCTTTGTCTTAAAATTGTTTTCAACATTGTGCTGTAATTGTTATAAGCTGCCCTTGGGGCCCTTAGGGTGAAAGGACAATGAATTAAAATACTATTTCAACTAATAAAGTTTTTTTTTTAAAAAAATAAAGAATCCTACAAATTTATCACCAAGTATCAAATTAAATTCAAAAGCTGTGACACAGGCATAGGTAAACTCAGCCCTCCAGATGTTTTGGGACTACAACTCCCATCATCCCTAGCTAACAGGACCAGTGGTCAGGGATGATGGGAACTGTAGTCTCAAAACATCTGGAGGGCCGAGTTTGCCTATTCCTGCTGTGACACATCATGTCATCCCACAGACGTTGCCAACCTGGTGCCTGTGTATAATGCCCCAATTCCCCAAATTCTTTAAAAAAACAAACACCTTCTACTATTTTAAGACCCTGATATATGAGATGAGGTGTAGCAACACCACTGTTCTCAGTTTTCTGTGAAAAATTAGCCAGCTCTCCCCTATTCAGTGTTTCGCTTTGAGCCACACTCTAAGTTGAGAAAAATTCCTGTAGATACCCGAGTGTGAGAGAGGGAGAGATGAACACGTGTTGTGTGTGAGAGAGGTGTGTGTGTGTGTGTGTGTGTGTGTGTGTGTGTGAAACAGAGAGGCATGTATCCATGACCTGTATGTGGGCAGCAATTGTGTACATGTGCATGAGAGAGGGGTGTGTGTTATGGCCACCTGCCGCGTTTCTTATGGTTCTGGAGAATGTTCCCTTTTATTTGACAACAACAGTATCCTTGCATGTGCGCACGAGAGAAAAATCAATATCGTGAGATTTTCGGAAACAGGCTCAGTAGGACATGGATGACTTCCAGAAATTGTCTGGGGCAGGAAGGGGCAGAGAAGCAAATTATTGTACTCTCTTTAATTATGCCACACCCCCACAGCAGCTATGTGCCATTGTGCCACATCTTCATGGCACAGGTGTGAATGATGCCCACAGCATTTTCTCAAAATTCAAAACTTGCCCGCTGATGCCAAAACATGGTTAGTGACCCTTTTTCTACAGCAAGAGCATTCTCTTATTACATTAAACAGTGTATATATTACAAACTTTTAACTTTTTAACTTACACTACTCATGGCAGAACTTGTCCAGGTGCTCTTAATGAAAAATAACCTACCAACCACAGAAGCAGAGTAGCACGAATTTCCTTACAAAGCAAGGAAAAGGAGAGATCCTCATTCAAAAAACACACCTTTTCTAGGAATTTTGATAGGGACGCCCAAGCTCTGTAAATCCCCATCACTAGAAAACTTTCTTTTTAAGCTTGCGCCAGGCAGACTGGAGAGGACCGTTCCCAAAGTTTTTTTGTTGTCTTCAAAAGAGAAGTCCAGTATATGATGAGAAACAGAAGACTCTGTACTTCGATATGCATCAGTCTCTTGGGACAGGTTTTTAGTCAGCTTCAAGGTGGCCTCCTGAAAAAGATACAACAATAGCATCTTCAATTCAGGAACAGTTTCACAGACCGCTGTTGCATGACCTTTACAACTGCTGCTTATAAATCATCTCCTACCCCAGTTACATAAAAATGGACTAAGTGGATAATTATCCAAGTCAGTGGAACAGTGGCTCATGCAGGGCTCTATTTGCATAATTACTGGAACAAACAAGCTCTGGCTTGTATCTCAAGACTGCAAGTCTCCCCAGTATGCTTTAAATGGGACTTCTCAAATTTGCAAAACTTTACAGTTTCAGCTTTTCGTGGGCAATTTCTTTCACTTAGTTCTCTTCCCATTAGCAAAACACTTCCTTTGTGAGCTACCATGTTACTGACTTTGCTGATCTAGGACCAAAGCTGAGAAACTTCTGTACACTATGCTCCAAAGTGCTGGTGTAATCACTTTGCCGGTGTATTCTAAACCTCACTAAATAAAGAGTCAGATAGGGAGGTGATATTCTGATCCCCAACTTTTATTTTTGAAGCATACGTGCTGTAAGCCTTACCTTTGAGGTCTCTGCAGTTGACCCATCTTCTCCAGAAGACTGTGTGTTTATGCTACTTAGAAACACAGGTTTCAACCTTGTATACGAGGTCCGATTACAAAAAGGTGTTGTTAGATTATCGTGCACGTTTTCAAATGCTGGGAAAAACATCTCACACATTATCTAAACAAAGGAAAAAAGAGGGGGAAAAGAAACAAGTTTTGAAATGCTGTTGCAGTTACTCGGGCTAGAGAGATCTTGGGGGTGAAACAATCTCACCCTATTCTCAGGACTTTAATAGAATCACGGAATTTGTAGAGCTGGAAGGAACCCCAATCCTCTGCAATGCAGGAATCTCAGTTAAAGCATCCCTGAGAGATGGCCATCCAAACTCTGCTTTAAAAACCTCCACGGAAGGAGAGTGCACAACCTTTCGAGGGAGACGTTTCCACAGTCGAGCAGCTCTTACTGTCAGAAAGTTTTTCCTGATGTTTAGCTGGAATCTCCTGGGTAAGAAACCCAGCTTGCAAATAACTTCTGGTTAGCAGTGCTGGTGCTGTGCCCAATGCCAGTGCTAATCAGGCTGCACATAGTTTTATCTGGTAAAGTGAATGATTAGAGGTCTTTGGCAGAACAGTATAATACACTAGAAATGAAGGAACTATAGGATATGGGGGGGTATAGAGATCAGCTGCAAAGCTGCAGCTGTAGTGGCCTATGTGAGACCTTCACTGGTTGGTAAGCTAGTTGGAGGACATCCACAGGTTAGATACGGTTTCAAAGGCTATTAGCTGCAGACCACGGTCTTCGTGATTATTTTAACCAGCAGGCAAATCCACAAGCAACAGTGGCTATTGTTTCATTGGAATGATCAAGCTACTCAAGCTATAAATCCCTCTGCTAATTATCATGAGCTGATTAACATGGCAGTGAGAACCACACCCATGACTAACACACAATCTCACTGTTAACAGCAGAACTGTGCATCAGAAGCCTTTAGCAAAACACAAAACGCACACCGTGCATATATTATTCCCTGCACTGACCACATGCAAAGTTGGTACAGTTATCCTACCTTCTGAGCTTCCATTTTCATTGAGCTCCACTCAGGATTTAAGGCAACACAATAAAGAAATTCCTTCAATGCTTCTTCAATCCTTCCTAATCCAGAAAGAGCTTGTGCTTTCACATAATGACCCTGTGTGAACATAACACACAGAAAAACCTCAATGTATCTCAGTTTCAAAAAAATTGTGGGAAACAGTACGGTTTCTTACATGCATTTCGTTATTTCATATTTGCTACCCACAGGCAAACAAAAACGTTAGCCACCTCCCCCATAGCAGCTTATGAACCTTGTACCTTAGGCCAATGGGGTTTATTTCGGCAGAGTGCCTCTGCATCATAAAGAGCTTGTTGATAATTCTTCATAGCTGTACAAAGTTCTGCCCGCTGTGCTATTAACGAACATTTACAGGAAGCTGAAAAATAAGCAGCAGATGAGAAAATGTAAGGGAAACTTTTGTCTATCATTATTAAATCTTGCTAGTTTTACACAGGCACAATCAAAACATAATCGGTTCCTACAATCAGTTCCTCTCTCTCTTGTTTATAATAGCATTCGTTCCTTTTTAAGAATATGATGGTTGAGACACACATCTCTGCTAAAAGGCTGCATATATAAAGCATTGTATTTTTAGAGCTACCTAGCTAATCGCCAGGCAGCTTTCAAAAGGGGTATATGTGGCAAGTTCGAGATCAGTGTGACATCAGGTTCCGTAAGGATTATAAAACATGAGAACACTTTGGCATGCCATTTCACTATGACCCTTGGGCTTAAGTTTCTAGTAGCTGGCAAGCTTACTAATTGGTAATATTAGCTCATGGTTCACAATTCCTGAAGACCAAACTCTTCCTCTGCAGAAACAAGAAGGCTTAGAAGCAACGGTATTTTTTTTTTAAAATCATTAAAATGATTATTGACCCTTCATCCAGATTGAGGCCATCAGTCTACTATTGTTTTTCATACATTATTATTTCTGAATTATATAATTTAAATTCCCAATGCATATATATTTAGGAGGAGATTCTTTTGATAAATGTTTTCTTTATATCTATTAAAAAATCAGCATCAAAATCAACTGGAAAGTTTGGAACAGCAACTGCTTGGTTCGATGTTATATAGCCTTCCTTGCAAACAAATTAGGATGCTCAATAAGCAGCCAATATCATATAACCTCCCCACAAACCTTGTACCAAAGCTTGTCTGGCAGTGACCTCAATATAAAACCAGGAAGCTTTGCTCCATTTGTGTGAACAGTATCCTGCCCCTCTGCTTCCCTTCAAAGATAGAGAAAAAACACTCAAACACTTATTGGCTTCCTTAATTAAGCAATAGAAGGTCACCGGTGAAAACAAGAACTAAGTCTCTAAACCTACTTCAGCAAGACTCCACTCATGTGGTTAACATCTCTCTTAGAACTTTCAAGCCTACAGCTCCTCTTTGCCTCCCACGGGCTCAGTTCTCTTAGTCTGTCCTTAGAAACCATACTCAAGTTTTGTGAACAAAGATGTTTTGAAAGGGAACTAATTAAGTAGGCATGTGACTAAACCGTTACAGTTCCTAATGAAAAGCTAGACAACAGGTACGAACAGATGAAGATGGAAGAGTGAATGACACCATTGATGATCAAGTTATTGAATCACCTGCTAGTCCTTTATGCTTCTAGCAGGTACTCATGCCTTATAGCAAACAAGTCAGGTAGACACTCTGTAAAATACTCCGATGGTTCGATCCTATGCATTTGTACTCAAATTTGTACTAAGTCCCACTGAGTTCAAGAGGTCTTACTGCCAGGTAAATATGTACAGCAAGGGCAGCTAACCAGTGACCCTACAGATGCTGTTGGACTACAAATCCCATTATCCCACTGGCCATGGTGGCTAGGGCCATCTGGAGGATCACATCTGGACTAACCACCCTGGTCGGTGTAAGATTTCAGGCTGAACTTTCCACACTCTGTATCAGCATTGTCCCCAATGCTCTGAACCACAGTTTTGCAGGCGTTTCTACATATGTTCTACATATGCTAGTGGATCTCTTAAGGTTTATGCTTTAAAAGGGGGGGGCTCTTTTTTCCTCCGTGAAATTTATAGCAATGAAGGGTGAATCAGAAAAGAAATATTTGGCTAACTTGTTGGGGGAGTCTTAACCATTCTGGTTCAACAAGGATCGCTCTTAAGGAAGGTGTGGCATGTTTTCAACAAGTACTTTAACATCACCTACGGAACACACACACAGTCTACCAAAGCTTACAAGGAACATGTGTTTTACCATGACTAACTACGTGACAGACATGGGCACTTAAGATATTTTTAAGCACAATTCAAAACATGTTTGTGCAAGCACAACGGAAGCGTTTTAAAACAGACTGAGACTGTGTATAATATGCAGTTACATCAGTCTTTCCCTAAATGTATTTTCTTCCCCCACACCCCCAAGCTTTAAAGAAGCCTTAGGTTTAGTGAGGGAACAAATGGGGGAGAATCTGCTTAACCCTTTCTCCCAATGCCCCTCACCTAGGCATTTTTTTCTCACTACAGGGGGGAAAAACACATGTTCATATATTTCTTCCTGTCTGGGTGGAACTAGAGAGAGGAGATTTTGACCAGAAAGAACAGCTGGCAGGGGAAAGGTTAAGCAGAGCCTCTCAAAGCTCCTTTTGGACAAAAGATCCCCACAACTTCGTGCCATGCATTATTTTGGCCTCAATTAAATTATATATACAGTTTGTTATCTGATCTCAACATTATGCCACCATAATGGGATACAAGCTGTATGAGGCATATGAAATATATTTAAGGTTGTTTCCAGACAATTCAGTCCGAGCATTCATCCTGATTTGTTTGCAGGGAGGTTGTATGAGGTTGTGTCATTTCAACCCTTATCCCACATTTTCCAATGTATCTTCCTATCACTTTCCTTACTTAAAGAAAGGTTTTGGCTTTTGGAAGCGTGTTGGTCATACAAGACTGCCGAATCCATTGAATCTGCATGTGTGCAGCTGAATCCCACCCACAAAACAGAAATGGTTGGGAGGTGGCCCACGTTGTTTGATACGAGATTGGATCCAGGCATAAATGGTACTAGGAAACTACACTGTGCTGCAGAATGAGTTCAGTAAGTGGCAACACTCTTGTTTCTTATGTGTATATTTTGAAGAACTTTTTTGGGGTGGAGGGGGTGGGGAGGTTTATATTGGAACAACATCCTTTTTGGTGATTTCAACCATAATCATGAGTGCAGACCACCAACTGCTGTCAAAGTTACAGGGGAAAACTATTTGCAACAAAGAGGTAGGTTTTCATTAACCAGACACATAAAGTAAACGCTAATACGCCAGAGCTTCCATGGGCTTGAACACTCATGCTGTTACGATTCATGAAACTATTTAAGTATGTCCTCACTTTATTCTGCACAGATCACGCTGACATCCTGCCTGTTTCACAAAATGCTGTGCCAGAGATTCTTCCCTGGGTAGTTCAGGATTGCTCCTAAACCCATTTGCTGGCAGAGCGCAATGCCAGGCTTGCAGAAAATAATCACACTGGAAGCAGCAAAAGGAGACTGCTGGGGCCCTTACAGCACAAGGAGGGAAACTGGGCAAAGTTTTTGGTTTGTTGTTGTTGTTGTTGTTGTTTCGTAAGGGGCAGGGTGACGGGCGAGTAGAAAAATCACATCTCTACATGCTAATTACGGGGTTCCCCCAACCAACAATGATAAAACTCTAGTTCTGCAAAAGGAGTAGTCCAAGTAAAAATGGAACAGAGATTTCAGTTTATTTGAGGAGGGATTGTAGCTGAGTAGGATAGCATCTGCTTTACATGTGGAGTTCAATTCCTGGCATCTCCAGTTAAAAGGGATCACATAACAGGTGCTGGAAGACCTCTGCATGTTCATAGAACGATGCAGCTATTATTGTGAGTTTGACTTCGCTTGCCGAAGAATTGATGCTTTTGAATTATGGTGCTGGAGGAGACTCTTGAGAGTCCCATGGACTGCAAGAAGATCAAACCTCTCCATTCTTAAGGAAATCAGCCCTGAGTGCTCACTGGAAGGACAGACCCTGAAGCTGAGACTCCAATACTTTGGCCACCTTATGAGAAGAGAAGACTCCCTGGAAAAGACCCTGAGGTTGGGAAAGATTGAGGGCACAAGGAGAAGGGGATGACAGAGGACGAGATGGCTGGATAGTGTTCTCAAAGCTACCAGCATGAGTTTGACCAAACTGCGGGAGGCAGTGGAAGACAGGAGTGCCTGGCGTGCTCTGGTCCATGGGGTCACAAAGAGTCGGACACAACTAAACAACAACAACAACAAATTGGTTGGCAGTTTTGTTCTCTCTTACTGGAATTAGCTCCAGTGTATAGAATATTACTGATGTAGAGGATACAGTGGATATACTGGGATTCATGATTGCACTGTGACTTTCTAGAATAAGTAAGGAATGTTTTCACAACATTTCAAGGGCATCTTTAAATAGAACTCTATTTAATTCCCATTACTACAGCGCAAGAAGAAAACTAGATTTAAGAACCAATAAAACTGGTGCAAGGCTTATTCAGGGAACGGTATTACTAATTATTAATGCAGAACAGAGTGAAGTAAATTTAACATTTCATTTTTACTGCATTCAGCCTAAAAAAAAAAAGTACTGCATTTATCCCTAAAATATTGCCAGTGTTGAATAATCTTCACCACCACTACAAATTTTCAGAGTTATAAAAGGGAGTTGCAAAAAATATACCAGTTTATGCATCTGCAAGGTACATCTAAATGCAACTAAAAATGAATGTTGTCTGTTATAGCAGGAATGCAAATAAAAAACATTACTGCAGCTTACAGTGAAATAATTAAAAGTATAGGTGACATCATCATAACACTTGGAATAGGGCAAAAATTCAAAGCGACTTCGCGCTGGGCTCCCACGGCTTGCGGAGAGCTGCCTGTTCTGGGGGCTGGGGTTGGGGGAAGCTCAGGCTTCCCCAGCCCCGCGCCTGGGGGGGAAATAATTCCCCCCCCTTTATTTCCCCCCCCATCTAGGTGCGTCCTATGGGCCGGTGCGTCCTATAGGGCGAAAAATACGGTATATTGGGACAAAGCCCACACTTGTCATGGGGTTCCAGGGTTTGTTGAGACTCACCAGTTAAGGAGGTCTCAAATGGAGATAGAAGTCTCCCCATATCCACAACCTGGGACATATCCAGCAATGTTCTGTCAAGCTCCATCAGGGAGACCAAGAGGCAATCAGTACACTGACTGGAAGGCCTATTCTGTCCCAAGCTTCCCCTCTAATGGAATGTCTTTTGTAACCAGAAAAGAATAAATAGTTCAGTAATATATAATCAGGTGGCCAGTTGCATTTCCTTCACCTGTAGTGTTTACTTGTGGTTAAAGCATCATCAGGAGTCCTTTAATTATATGTTGCACATCCAGCCTCTGCTGTTAACAGGAGAACAGTCATTCCAGAGCTGCTCTCTAAGTTCATTCTGTATAGTCCATTTCTGTCTGCCCTACATTAACCTTCTGCTGTCCCAGAAACAACCATGTTTTTTCAGCAGTATTTCTCAACTGCTAAAAATTCTGCTAAATGCTGGCTACAATCTTATAATCGCAAAACAAAGGGAAACGTTAAGAGTAGAAGTGCAGGTTTATACCCAGGAGCTGCAAACTAGAAAGCCAGCTATCACACATGTTCTCTATCTGCCAAATGCTTCCACAAAGGCACATGTCTGTCCAGAAGTAACAGCATATCACTTAAGTCAGGATGGGAAGTACAGTAGGAAATGGCTAACCTTCTATGTGAGCAAGATAAAAGAAATTCACCTGGGGTGCACTGAAGTCATGTCAAGGCTTTGGGATATACTACTCTCACTTTTCATAGAAACATTACCTAATTATTGTAGCAGATTCATCGAGTGTGGAATCTATTTCCCATTTAAATCAGTGGTAACATTCCTAGCTACCTTTAACAGATGACGGTTGAGCCATATGCGTACAATTTTATTTTATTTTAAACCAACATAAAAATGCAATACAGCTTCATAAAGATCAGAGCTACTGACAGTCTCTAGGTAACCACAACTCCCACTGCATGATATTTCTTCTGTGCACGTGTACTCAGTGGAAGAGCGGATTTCAGAGATGGCAAATGTGATGCTTTTGAAAAGGAGTGGGATGATCAGTTCTTTTTCTAAAGGTTGCATCAACCGCGTTTTAAAACACCAGACACATTTGTCTGCTTCTCGGTCACGTTGAGGCAGTATAACAAAAAATTTTAAGCTCTGATTATCACTTCTTTTTTATGTGAAATCTGGCAGGCTAATTATTATTATTATTATTATTTTGTGAGGCAGAGGAGGAATGAGCGAGAGGCAAACCCCCAATTGTCTACCTAAACCTACCTTGTATTAAAGCAGAAATTAAATATTTTGTTCAAAGTGGATTACTCCAGCCAGTTGGACAAGCAGCGCTGAAGACAGCATCTGTAGGCCTGACCCTGAAAAGATTACGAAAGCCTGAACTAAGACCTAGGAAAAGACACAACATGCTTGCTGGCTCAGTGAATGCCTGTAGTCCAAAAGGCATGTGGGACATCTTTTCATTGCCACGTGAACAATGTTTGCATACACGTTATCAAGGGAAGCTAGGGAAAGAAAAACAAACTTACATAAGCACTTCCAGCTTCTGAGTTATATTTTAACCAATTCTTTAAGGGAAAACCAAAAAAAAAACCCCAAAACGCTCTTTCAGTTATCCTTGCTCTGTTTTGTTGTGAAAAAGAAAGAGGAAGGAGGAAAAGGGAGAGATGGCCAGATAAAAACGCTGTGAATATACAGTGGTACCTCGGGTTAAGTACTTATTTTGTTCCGGAGGTCCGTTCTTAACCTGAAACTATTCTTAACCTGAAGCACCACTTTAGCTAATTGGGCCTCCTGCTGCTGCGCCACCGGAGCACGATTTCTGTTCTTATCCTGAAGCAAAGTTCTTAACCTGAAGCACTATTTCTGGGTTAGCGGAGCCTGTAACCTGAAGCGTATGCAACCTGAGGTACCACTGTAATATAATTTTCCATCCATGCCCCAATCGTGAAACTGCAGAAACCATTCGCAACGATAGGGCAGTGGCACAGTGATTTGCTTTTTTCAACCCTCAGTTTTGAAGCGTGCCAACAAAGTGTCTGGCCCAACAACATGTGAGAACATATGGCGCAGGCTGTCTACTAGAAAAGAAGACTCCACACCATTAACTTCAGCTGGGAAGCTGCATAATTCCAGTCAAAGTATTTGTCTGTCGGTCTGACATTGTCTACTTGGACTACCAGCAGCTCTCCGCTGGCATAGGGAGAGGAGTCTTTCCTATCCCCTGCTCCCTGATTCCTTTAACTGGCGACAGCAGGGGCTGAACCTGGGACAATCTGCATGCAATACACATGCTCTACCCACTGAACTATGCTGCCTCCACCAATGGTTCCCGGGGGTTAGTTCTTGTACCTCGGCCCTATATACCTGAAGAAGCATCTCCATGTGCTTAGGTCCAGCTCCGAGGGCCTTCTGGTGGTTTCCCTCACTGTGAGGTTACAGGGAACCAGGCAGAGGGCCTTCTCGGTAGTGGCGCCCGCCCTGTGGAACGCCCTCCCATCAGATGTCAAGGAAATAATCAACTATCTGACTTTTAGAAGACATCTGAAGGCAGCCCTGTATAGGGACTTTTTTTTAATGTGTAATGTTTTATTATGTTTTTGTATCTGTTGGAAGCTGCCCAGAGTGGCTGGGACAACCTGGTCAGATGGGTGGAATGCAAATAAAACAACAACAACAACAACACTGACTCATGGGCTTAAGGAACAAAATCCTAAGGGATCCCCATTTTGGAAAAAGCAGTATTTGTATTATGCGGTAGCTCTAGAGGGTTTTCTACCCCTAAACATTTTGTGAATCTTTGTACTTTTGTCCATTTACTGTATTTATTTTCCCCGATTTGAACTATAAAATGGTGATTCTCCTGAGTCAAAATGAGAGTACCTCTAAACATATTTTTTTTAGAAAAAAAGCACTGGGTAGAACAAATTGCTTTGAATCATACTTGCTTTGATGGCTTTGATACCTGCCATCACTGAAAATTACCAAGCATTTATTTTAACACATTTATATCCCACCTTCCCATGACTAACAAATGATTGAAATAAAACCACACAAGGTCACATAAATCTCCCCATCACTCTAACCTAGGTAAAACACGTGTTCATATAAGATTACAAAGATAGTCACCTTACGGACACACTGTTAAGACAATATTCATGGAAGACATTTTTCTCGACAACAAGTGATCACCAAAGAAGACAAAAATTAGACAATGTGGAAATGTAGCAGAACTTTTCCTGCTATCAGCAACAGTGATGGGCACATTATCTCTGGGACATGCCAGCTCTATCATGTATTTAACAATAAGTCTCTTTCCAATGGTAATTGAAACACTCTATTCCAAATGGCTTGACACGGGGTTTTGCTTTTGTATCTGTATTAATTACCAAACAGCTGCAATAAACCGTTTATTCAGCTGCACGTGATCTGCAGGAAGCTGGCAGCTTAGTGCAAACCAGCAATGGGCATATTAAAAGAGGTCACGAAGTTGCTGAGAGCTAACAAGAGCTGAAAGGAACAAAACCTTCAAGAAAACCAACATTACATTCCTTTATCCCATATACTTCTACCTCCAAGAAAGTGTGTGTAGGATTGCAGCTTTAGTGTGTTCCTAGCTTTAGAAGCAACATGTAGGAAGCGAACCAAGCAGTTAACACAAAAGAAGAAGAAAAAGACCATATTCAGGAAGAAGAGGAAGAGAGAGAAAAGGCGCAATAGTGGTTGACTTAAACTTAGGCACATAACACAATGCAACGCTGAGAAAATTGCATGGCATTAGCTGGTAGAGACAGCTTCTTCCCACTTCTGCATGTAGTCATAAAATCATAAGAGTTCAATACTGAATAAGCTAGGGTTATGACTTCCTTGCTAGTAGTGCACAGAATTTAGATAGTGTTATTTCAACTGTTACACAGTCCTGCAAGGTAGGCTTGCTATTGCCATCCTGAAAGGGGCTGAGAGCGAAAGCTGCAATATTGCCACCTGGTGAATTCATTGCAGAGGTGAAATTTCAAGCAAGGACTTTCCAATTCACAAATTTAGCCATGAAGCTACAATAGCTCAACCTTCCAAAACATTTCAGCAATTTCCCCGCCCCCCCTCCGCTTTTAAAAAACTGAACAGAGTTTTTTGAGCTCCAGAGATAGCACCGTACCACATGCTTGTGTTGGCCTTTTTTATTTATTAAAAAAAGGTCATTATATGGGAAAAACATAGTAGTGTCCATATGGGTACCACCGTGCTCGACTACGCAGGGAAATGTTTATTTATTACTGTCAGAAGGAAAATGAACTGACAGCTGAAATTGGAAAGTCACCTTATGCAGAACCACCACCCTGCACTGAACACCCAGCATCCAGCCAATTTTAGCTCAACCTTTAACATCTGAGCAAAATCGACAAGGCAATCCAGTGAAGAGTACATTGAGTTGAATGTCTCTTTGTTCACATTAAGAAAGAAACCAACCACTTGCTTGCACCTCTAATTTCCTCCTCTCTACCTCCACTACTATTTTTAGCAAGCGCTCCAAACAGAGCATAATCTACGCACACATTTCCCCAAAAACACACAGGAAGAGAGGAAAGGAAATGTCGCTTCTGAACTATATTACACATGCACCTTTAGTCCAATGTATTTCAGAGCTTCCGGGTGGTATTAATTAAATTTGGCTTTGCATGTTCCTTAGCTACTCTTGGTGCTCTTCTTACCTCAAATAACGGTGTCAACAACATAAAAGCAAAGTTACAGTCAAAAGTCACCTCCTAAAGTAGTTCACACACTGAGACACTTAAACCAAACTGGGTTGCGGGGCGTGGAATCTAAGAAAACAGAGTTATTTGCTACTGCGGCACAGGAATGCCTGCTGAGACACACAACGAAGGTCCAAGCTACAAAAAGCTATCTAGGAATATAATAGCAGGGGGCCTATTTATAGCAATTTAAGTTGGGCAAAAAAAATCTTTTTAAAAAAAAAAAAAAAACCTCAGCAATTTCCCTTGTACTATCAGGCAATCCTAGTACATTTATCCATTCAAACAACTTCTGTGAATCATGCCAGTTACAATGCCAGGAGTGTCCCTGCAGAACTGGCATTATCTTATTTCAAATTCTAAAAGCAGGGCCTGTTCTTTTCTTGTCTAGCATTGTTGGGGGAGAAGAGAAGCCTCGTTATACTGCGCTTCAGTCCTTTTTTCCCTCTCATTACATCATTTCCCCACCCCCACCCTCTTTGATTCATTTTGGATTTTAAAATCCAGCATCTAAGAACTACCTTCAATCAGGTGTCATTTCTGTTCTCTTTTTCTAAAATAAAAATGGCTCTCTTTTTTTTTTAGTGCCCCACATTACTCAAAATTACATATAGGTTAATAGAGGAAGGAAATGCCATTTGGGAGGAGTTCTACAAAGAAAAAAATCACTGTACAATAGTAGCCTGTCACAAATTACACAGGAAAAGAAACAGAAAGACAGAAAAAGAAAGAAAGATCTGCTGGTGCTTCTGGAACAATCTAGAACAGGGGTAGGCAACTTAAGGCCCGGAAGCCGGATGCGGTCTAATTCTCAATCCGGCCCGCGTGTTTTTACATGAGTAGAATGTGTGCTTTTATTTAAAATACATCTCTGGGTTATTTGTGGGGCATAGGAATTTGTTCATGTTTCCCCCCCCAAAATATAGTCCGGCCGACCACATGGTCTGAGGGACGGTGGACCAGCCCATGGCTGAAAAGGTTGCTGACCCCGATCTAGAATTACTAAGTCACCCTACTAAATCCCACTTAAGAACTCGTTCAAACATTAGTAACCAGTATGCAACTAGTTGCTGAAGCTCTCTCTACTTGCCAGTCATTTAGGGATGCCTCAACTTAGATAATCTCTGTTGCTATGAGGATTTTTCTCTTTCTATAGTTTTTGCACTGTTCCCCATTGCACCAAGATCATCTTCAAGATGCTGGTCTTTAATTTCCAGCAATCCCTACCTGGATTTCTTTTACAACCTCCACTTTCTCATTTGCTTACTCCAACCCTCTTGTCTCCTTTCTCACCTTGGTGTTTCCTGTCATACACGGAACTGAATTCCGGTTATTCCATCAGGCTAATGCTTCCCCCTACAAATCCCCTGTCCCCGCAAAACCCCACAGCTTCCACAGAGCATGTTTAGGATCAGTGCAACCAAATCATCACCCCAATATTCATTCTATCCTTTTGTGAAGCCCTGTCCTTATTTCCAGGACTGGATCTCTCCACCTTGATGGTCCAAACAGCACCAAATAGGATGCAAGAATTTAAGAACTAAAATACTGTAGTACAGAACAGCACTACACTTGCATGGTTTCCCCTAACCTCTCTTTACGTTTTTCTCTTTGAATGCAAAACCCTGGGAACGGGCTTTCATAACCTCATTGGTTTCTATTAAGATGAAGATTTGAGCAGAACAGAATTCTTACAAGGAGTATGGCTTAGAAGAACCCGCCCCCCAAAAAGGAGGAGAAACTATCCTTGGAGGTAAACATCCTCTTATCACCAGCTGTATTTAAATCTTTTTGCAACAGAAAGACCTTATGGTGCTTGTACAGGCATGTACAATGCTAATAAAAATACCCTTATGCAGGGTGCATGTAACCCCAAAGTAAGCTTGCATTTTCCTGCCAAGTGCTGGGAAAACTTTTATTCCACACTTCTGTGCCTGTTTTGAAATCCAAAGGTAGAAGTGGAAGGCTTCTGCTCCCCCCGTCACAAAGAAACGCAAGCCAAGAGCTTGCCACACACCTCGCGATAAACTACCACTTGGTTGGTTGGTAAAGGGCTGTCACCACTGGTTTTCTCAGACTTGCATTTTTCCAATTCCCCACAAAATGCTTGTGTTACTACAAAAGCAATGCCACATCGCTCGCAAGGAGTGCTGACCCAACTCCTTGGGTACTGCTTAAATGAATTTTGAAGCAGGCCAAAAACTGGACTATTCTTCAACTAAAGAGGCTTCCCTGTGTTCTGAGCTTGCAAAGAAGCAGGATTAAGAATGACACCGCTTCTGCGCACTGATACAGGTTTCATTTTGGGTCCTTTTCCAGGTGCTACATTGCATTTCTAGATTTACCGTATTTTTCGCCCCATAGGGCGCACCTAGTTTTTTTGGGGGGAAATAAAGAAAATAAATTTATTTTCCCCCAGGTGCGGGGCTGGGGCGGGGGAAGCCCGAGCTTCCCCTGACCCCAGCCCCCAGAACAGGCTGCTATCCGCTAGCCGTGCTACCGGAGAGCTGTGCGAAGCCCGAAGCTTGGGGCGTGCTGAGCTCACCGCGCCCCAAGCTTCTGGGTGCAGGCAAGCTCTCCGCTAGCCGTGGGAGGGCTGCGCGACTTCGCGCAGCCCTCCCACAGCTTGCAGAGAGCTGCACTAAGCCCGAAGCCGGGGGGGGGCGCTGAGCTCAGCGCGCCCCTAGGCTTCGGGGTGCAGGCAGCTCTCCCCAAGCTGTGGGAGAGCTGTGCGAAGTCGCGCGGCTCTCACGGCTTGCGGGTAGCTTCCTGAAGCCTGGAGAGCGAGAGGGGTCGGTGCCCCCCGCCCCCTCTCGCTCTCCAGGGTTCAGCGAAAGCCTGCATTCGCCCCATAGGACGCACACACATTTCCCCTTCATTTTTGGAGGGGGAAAAGTGCGTCCTATAGGGGGAAAATACGGTATTCCTAATGTGTTTTAAGTGTGTGCCTAAATTTGTAATGGGGTGGGTGGCAGGGAACATAACAGATGTATCTCTGCAAACACAGAGGTGTCGTGCAGGTACACGTGTCAAGCAAGCTGAGACCAAGTGCAACTCCCTGTTGAGTGTACACTTGATGACATACTCCACTTCGCTTGTGCACAATGTGTGGAACCCCGATCTAGCCACCAGCATATAGTCTGGCATAAAGCTCCCCCCGCCCCTCAAAATAAAGAAAAAAAGAAATGTATGATTCTTGTTAGCTTATCTAAGCTGGCTGAGGCTTGTTCTATATTGCAATTTGTTGCCCACAAGCCAGCAAAGGTTGGCAGCTTTGATTTAAACCGCTGCAAGTTATTTTAGTGATCAAACCACCCTTTTGCCACGCAGAAATGTGAAGGAATAGTTCTAATGTGCCTCTGACTGCCTATTGTCTCAGAGTAGAAACATCAACACATTTTACATAAGACTCTTTTCGTCACAGACCAGGGAAAAGGCTTTTCTAGAAATGCTGCAGGATGAGTCATAAACTGCAAGGCAGTAAAGCATTTCACTGTTGATAACTTGATGCAGTGTGATTAAGCAAGGCTTTGTTTTCCTTTTTGTTCCATTTACCAGGCTGCTATCTCGCCCATTTTAAAGTATAGGCTTGTCTGTGATGCAGCTAGGCTATGTATGTGTAGTAGGAGGTTGTTTATGTATGTCACTGACCTTCTGTACACAAGATAGCTCTAATCTTACGATAGGCAATGCTGTGTAACACAGAGAGAGAGAGCTTATTCACCTTGTCTAACTGACGTATGTTTAGGAAAGGCGTAACTTCAGTTAGAGGTCAAAATCGCACCAGCTTCCCTGAAATCCATCTTTCCCCACTGGCGTTCCAGTGACTAACTTCCTGTTTTACCCTCTTTACCCTTTGCAAATACTTATTTACAGCTTGTTCAACATACTCGCAGAAGAGAACTCGACTATTGGAAGGCAACTGCAATTTTGTGGTCGTTCCTACTGATGATGGTCTCTGCAGAGCCGTAGCTAGGGGTGGGGTGGGGTGTCTAGCCAGGGTTTAAACCTCTGGGTGAAGCTGCCAGAGGGGTACCATTGAGGCTCCCAGCTTGTCTGGGCTTCAGCCAGAGAGGAAGATGAAAAAGTGATGGCAGCCTTCCTTCCCCTTTACCCATGAACCTCTGGGTGAAGCTGCCAGAGGGGTGCCATTGAAGCTCCCAGCATGTCTGGGCTTCAGCCAGAGAGGAAGATGAAAAAGTGATGGCAGCCTTCCTTCCCCTTTACCCATGAAGCTGAATAAATAATAATAATAATAATAATAATAATAATAATAATAATAATTTATTATTTATACCCCGCCCATCTGGCTGAGTTTCCCCAGCCACTCTGGGCGGCTTCCAATCAAGTGTTAAAAACAATACAGAATTAAATATTAAAAACTTCCCTAAACAGGGCTGCCTTCAGATGTCTTTTAAAGAGAAGATAGCTGCTTATTTCCTTCACATCTGAAGGGAGGCTGTTCCACAGGGTGGGTGCCACTACCGAGAAGGCCCTCTGTCTGGTTCCCTGTAACCTCACTTCTCGCAATGAGGGAACCGCCAGAAGGCCCTCAGCGCTGGATCTCAGTGTCCGGGCTGAACAATGGGGGTGGAGACGCTCCTTCAGGTATATAGGACCGAGGCCGTTTAGGGCTTTAAAGGTCAGCACCAACACTTTGAATTGTGCTTGGAAACGTAGAAGGCTCATTTACAACACACTGCAGGGAAAGGGAGAGTTGGAAAATCTGAAGAGGCTGTGTGGCTCTCCCCAGTGAAGCAGAAGATAGGTTCCCCTGTGGGCTTGCTCAGGTTTGAGAAAGAAATTCTGGAGGGAGGGAGGGAGGGAGGGAGGGAGGGGCAGGAAGCTGAGGAAGAGAATCAGATGGACTAGATGAACCTTGGGGTCCCTTCCAGCTCTACATTTATATAATTTTATGATCTCTTCCGAACTTTGAATGTGTTGAGTCATTTTACAGTTGAGTCATTTTACAGACTATACATGATCTATACACAGGAAAATAAGGGGTGTGTGAGCATTTTCCCTGCCAGAGCCAGTTCCCTGGCAAGCTCTGGTATCTTCCTTACTTTTACAAACACTTCTAGCAAAAAAAACTGTTATGGCTCCATACTTCTAGCGCGGCCTCAAACTACAGTAAGAACTACTAAAATAGCCAAAGCATTTTCGTAGTTCCAGAATCAAACTTTCAGCTGCATTTATGTGCTGAACCCTCCGCTCAATATTAAAAATACAGATCCAAGTAGCCTTAGGTGTGTTATCAAACCTTTGGCAAAACAATATTTTAAAATTTTAAATATTAATATTTTAAATATTAAGTATTAATATTTTAAAACCCTTTAACAACCCATTGTGCATTATGATTGCTAGTATTTAGGTACTGTTTCATTATCCATATAAGCACTGGGAGAGTGAGAAGATGCGTTTTTAAAAATCTCCCTAAACCTGAGTTAAATGCTTTCCAGTATGAGATGGGCCCAAGGACCACAGAAATCAAGCTTTCCCAGGGGAAATTCTATTTGGGCAATAATGATCTGTGTTAGGTTTTAACCAAGTGCTTTCCAAAAATTTATCCCAAAAGTTTTATTCTTAAAAAACAACCCCGCAACTCATTACAAAACTGAAAAATGCAGCATTGCTTTAACGCTTGCGAGAGAAAGAACTTCTCCATGGTTAAGTTGACAATGACAAAGGAGGCACAGCTAGGTAGATCAATTCCACTGATTTGTTTTACTGGGTTAAAAAGAGGGCACTTCGGTATCACAATATAGAGATATTTCAAGATGCAGAGACGTACAATTACAGAAACTTTCCTCGTATCAGAATGTGTTTTCCAATGAAACAATGAGGCATGAAACAAATGTAGTTTTGCTGCTTGACATGACAAAAGGAAGACAATTTCAGCTCCAATGGTTCTCTCTATTATTGCAGGTATGGGAAGCCCCTGGCCGTGCAAATGTTGCTGAACTACAACACCCACTGGTCCCAATAAGCACAGCCAATGGTCAAGAATGATGGGAGCTGCAGAGGTCAGCAACATCTGCAGAGCCGAAGGTTGCCAACACCTGCTCTACTTGGGAAGGTTTTTGTTTATGTCTAAACAGTTACATGTAATGACAGCAAAATAAAAAACATCTTTCACTATATACAAGCTCTGTTCCCAGCCTATTGAAATCACCAAGAAAGGCCCAGCTCCAAAAACTTTGAAACAGCCTATCAGAAGAGAACCAACAGTACGCCTCCCTACTGGCATTTCAAAAGGTCAGGATGACCTGTGAAAATTTACCCTACATCAAGCATACGCAGCCAAACCTGGAACCATGGCATTCCAGAGTGTTACAGACTCTCTGATTCATGCATTAATTCACACACACCCGTATTTCTGAAATTTTAATCACAACCAGCAACAGTGAAACTTTCACTCTGCCTGTCCAAATGCACTATTTGATGTTTCTGGAGACATGGCTTCCTTTTCTTAGTCACACGGATACCAAAAAGGTTTTGAAATCCATCTATATTATGCAATCAGTTCTGGTGGTCTTGCAGTAAGCATGTCAACATCTTAGGTATAAGGTTCCGAATGTGTTTAGAGAAGTCACACTCTCTTACACTGTGTTGTGATGATGAGTATTCAGGGAAACAATATTATGCAATTCTGATGTTGCTCCCAGCAAGTACACAGTATCTATTCTCAAATTCTCGCGAATTTGTAGATGAAAATGGAACGTTGTACATTCTTTGTTTTTTTAAGAAATAAGTCCTCCATCTCCCACCATGAACAAATGAACAACACACAGATAATCTGCAGGGTGCCCAACTGCGTATCCATAAGTTCTGTGGATACAGTAGCTGCTGCAAGTTTTGCTTTGAATTGTAAGGAAGTCCCTGAGGTAAGAGAAGTAAGTCATTTATTAATTTCCCAAGGTTTGGGTAAAGACGATTGGCAATGACCTTAACCCACACTGCACATGTTTTAGAGATTCTGCCAAGCAGGAAGTGTCATCTTATATATTCCCAGCTATTTTGGGGCTAGTCAAAAGGCTGGCAGTGAAAATAGTATGTACCTACTGGGTACTGGCAGGGCAGTAGATGAAGATGTATTGCTGCATTACAAAAGGTATGTGACGAGGAAGGATTTGCTCGTATCTTCAGGTGCACACCTTACACCCTTTCTGAGTTTCCAAGATGCTCAAAGCCCCACAAACCTCTGTGTTGACAATGTCACAAAGCATTGCCACGCCTAGGCTACAATTATGTTTCAACTTTCAATATTATACAATTTTAAAACTCTCTAGAATTATTTCCCATAAAGCTGTTTTCTTACTGGTGCCTGACCCATCAAATGGAAGTCAGAAACCAATACAAAATAAGTGGCTTTAGTTGTGCCAGAGAAAAGGAAAGCTAATTTGAAGCTCTTGAGCAGAAATCTGAGCCACAAGGCACCAGGATTGAGAAAACCATGTGGGGTATGAACTTTTCTAACTCCCGGATGAAAATCTCGATTTCTCGCAGTTGCAAAGGCCCTTAACATTCTCCACAAAGCAATGCACAGAAGATACAATATGTGTTCCGATGTCGGCTATTCCCAGTATTTGCTCTCACCCCTGCCCTGGCTTCAGCTGGGAAGCATCCTGGGGCTGTAACTGCCAGCCCTCAAGAGCACACCTTACCTCATTCTAATAAACCCCATGGCTGCTTCTGGTCAATGTTAACAAAAACCCAGTTTTTTTTTACTGAATGGGCAAGGCAGCTGGAACCCACCTAAACAGAATTCATTTCCCACATAACTTGAGAAGTCAAATTAACGCTTTACCCAACACCCCACAGCCTATTTCCCCAATACACATGCCTTCCAAGCACCGAAACACAACTGCGCCTATGTCACAGACCCTTCTGACCCCTAGAAATCATTTCACCATTGGGCTGTCACACAGCCCAAGCACGATCACATAGCAGTTTGTAAGAACTGAAGAGATTCCTGTTCTCCTTCACAAACTGCAACAGTTGGGAGGGGGGCGCCTCCCAACAGAATATTGGGATCCCCAACTGCACAGAGCCAGGAAGCACAAGCTTAGTGGGGGGTTTCTTTTTTTAGAAAGTGACACACTTCCTCCCACTTTCTACACTTCACATATAGTTTGCAAAAACACCAGGCAGTGCAGAAAGCGCCACAACGCACTTTCCACCCAGGTGTTGAGAAGGGGCCCCTTATTGTCGAATTCCTTCTCATCCATGTATCAGGCAAGGCCTGGCTGCCCAGCGTTGGCAGAAACACCCACTCCTGGAAATGGCCCCCATTACACTGCGCTTTCTCCCCGTCGGGAAATCCCTAATCCGCTTCCCACATAAGGAAGGGAGCTCAGGAACGCAACTGGGCCTGTTTCTCCCCTTGTGAGCCAAAGCAACCCAGGTCGGAGTTGTGGCGCAGCGTCGCCGAGCATATTGACAAGGTTTTTGCCCTTGCTGCTTCCAAAGGCGACAGGGAAGCTTTCTTCTGGGGGGAGGAGTCGGGCGTGTGCGACGGCGAGCACTCACCGAGGTCCAGGGCCTGGTTGTACTTCTCCAGGGCGGGCGCCAGCTCCTGCCTCTCCTTCAGCGCGTCCCCTTCGGCGCCCAGCCGGCGCGCTTTGCTCTCGGCCGGGAACCACTTCTCCAGCAGGCTGCCCAGGACCACGTTGACGCGGGGACCGGCGGGGGGCTGCGCGACCGGGGCAGAGGCAGAGGCTGGGCGCCGGGCGGCGCAGCGGGCGCACTCCCCTCCGCCGCTCTGGGCGCAGCGCTTGCAGTGGGTGTGCCCGCAGTGCAAAGTCACCGGCTCGCAGAGCAGGCGGCGGCACACCGGGCAGCCCAGCGGCTCCGGGGGTCGGCAGCAAGGCGGGTCCGCCAGCGGGTCGTCTCCCTCCGGAGCTGCTCCGCCGCCGCCAGGCCCCCGCCACGGCGGCAGGCGCAGCTCTTTGTCGCGGAGGCTGAGCGCGAAGCTCTCGGCCAGTTCGCGCAGCTCCTCGGGCCTCAGGCGGGCCAGTCTGGCGGCCGCGCTGTAAGCATCCAAAGCCTCGGCCATGCGCCCCGCGCGGGCCAGCGCGTCCCCTTGGCGGAGGCAAAGGCCCCGCTCGGGCTGCGCCAGCTCGGCCAGCTGCGAGCTCAGGATCTCCGCCGCCAGGGCGAACTGCCCGCCTCGGAAAGCCTCCTCGGCCACTTGCAACATCTCCGCGCAGGGACCGCCGCCGCCGCCGCCTCCTCCTCCTGCCGCCGACGGGGCCTGGTGGTGGTGGGCGCGCTGCTGCGCCTGCTGCCCGAGCGCGGCCCCCAGCTCCATTTTCGCCGGGTTGGCTGACTGGGTGGGTGTGGTGGTGGCGGCGAGCGCTCCTGCTATGGCTTCATCGTCGAGTTCAGCGCCTCCGCGAGGAGCAGGAAAGCGGGGAGGCGGCCCCTCGTCGCCGCTGCGCCTCGCTCAAGGAGCCTGGTGGCCGCCAGGGCTGGGACGGACGCCGTTATGAAAGGGCTGCGCGGGGGGGGAAGGCGCGCCGCCAGCTCCGTCTGGGGCGTCCCCCGAGGAGAGCGAGCGCGTCGGGGTCAGGGGGAGGAGAGCAGGGCGGCGCTGGCCCCACTCCCGGAGCGCGCCAGCAGGCAGCTGAGACTATTCCGGGCTCAGGCGCTTATGCAACGCCGAGCGGTTGTATAACTCCTTCTCCCCGGCTGAGGGCAGCACCGCCCCGCCGAGCGCCCGCCCCAGTCCCCGGCCTGGTGAGCCGAGCGCACATGCCCTACGACAGCCGCTCCGCCCGCAGCGCACGTGTGTGTGACGGGGGAGAGGCCGGCCAGCGCCTCGCAGGCTTCCGGGAAGCGGCGGCGCGGCTGCTTTTCTGTTCCTCTCCAAACTGGCTGCGTCTCCGCCTCGCGTCAGCCCCAGTTCTGCGTGGAGAGGGGCGGCTTTCAGTTCTCCACAAAGGAGAACTAGGGCGAACCGTGTGGCCGTGACCCTCATTTTTAAGCCGGCAGCTCCGCATTTGCGATGCTCCCTTTTGTAAAGTTTCACAGACCGCTGTGTGTAATTTTGGCCGAGTTTGTGTTTTTCAGCGCAGTTTCACGTGCGAGGAGAGGCCAGCAGAAATCTAAAGAGGGTTAAGAGAGGGGAAGCGCGTATATTTATATAATAACCCATCCTCCACTCCTCTCATCTGTCTGGTTGTAAGTCATACGGCTTCTAGGTATGACTGGACAAAGTCTCATCATCCATCATCCACTGTGAACCTCTCACAGTGCAATCCTATGCATGTCAGAGCAGGAGGAGGAATCCAGTGGGGCTTACACCAAAGGAGCCTTGAACTACAGCCTTGTTCCTATTTCCATATCAGGTGAGACAGGCTTAGCTCATCTCCACACCCAGATAACTTCCCTCGTTATCCACAGTATGGCTAGAATCACTTTTTTAAAACCCACGCTAAATGCCATCTGTTTGAATCGATTATTTAGAAATCAAGAACTCTGCAATGGATCTGATGTTTGCCTGACACACTAAAATGGAACCTCTTCTACTGGGCTGCTGCTTCTCTCCCTCCGTAACTTATGGGAAATGATCACCTGAAGCTGCTCCCTCACGTTTAAGGCCCCAAGTCACTTGGGCCAAGTGAAGCCCTGGTCAAAACAGGTAACCTTCAAGTTCTGTTTCCAAAGGCAGCGCTGATGGTCCTGGGGTTACTGAAGTTCTGTTGAAATTCCCATCAACCCCAGCCAGCATGGGCCATGTTGGCTGGCTTGGGGCTGCTGGGAGTTATAGTGCAAAACAGCTGGAAGATTTCAGGCTGGCAAAGGCTGTTTTTTGGAGTGCACCAACTGTAGTAATGCAGAATGAGCAAATATTGCAAATGAAGCTGTAGTGGAACGGGGGCAGACAAAATCCAGAAGCTAGGAGCTGCAGGCAACACCACGCCCATTTAAATAGCCTGCTTCTGTCAAATGTGAAAAAGGATTAACTTTGCAGTTGCACTGGTAGATTTTGCATTACAGTAAATTGTTCAACAGGAGAACTTAGGCGACAGTTTGGACTCTTGCGTAAATTTCCAGCAAATCTGCACACTCTGAGCTGTAAAACAACACAGGAAACCTGTGTTTTAGTATCTTAATAGTGTTTTATGTGAGATTAGGTGGTGCTTTAGTATGAATTAGATTTGTAGCACACTCCTGTGGCTGTTTTAAGCCCCACTGAATTCAGCAGGACTTGCTCCCTCCCAGGCAAGTGTATTTATGTAGCCTTAACAGAAGCAAGCTCCACTGTCTTTGCTGCTAATAAAGAGATCTGAGCCTCAATTCACCATGCGAAATATACCCTTTGCCTTTGCTACTAGTTATAAAAGTGGGATAGGATAATACAGTGCAGTCCATTCCTGAAGCAGCAAATGTGGACCTTTGATTCCAGAGGTAGCTGGTGCCCAGGGGACCCCAGGGAGACCAACAATAGGGCAAGCCAGAGCCCATGGCAGGCAGAACCAACAAATTCTGATTTTGTCTCCCATCTTCCTGTTGAGTTCTAAAAGGGCAAACACTCAAGACTAAGGAGTAGGAGGAAGATGGCAAGCAAGGAGATAAGCAGGTGGAGGCTGGCTAAGGGCAAACTGAGTCTGGATAGACCAGCCTCCATTGGAATTGGGGAAGTGATGGATGAGTGCCAGCCACCTCATTTCCTGGTGCACTGCAGGGCATAAAATTCCATAGCATAACTATATAATTGCCCTTAAGCACTGCCTGAATCACTCAGCGACTACAATAATAAACACCCTTACTGAAGTGTAAACCCAAAACAACAATGTGCAAAACTGAATGTCGTGGGACAACAACTGAGTAAATGTGCAATTGCATAAGGCTCTGAAAAACCTGAATACAGGAAGTTCCATTCAAGTCCAATTCATTTACACACAAATGAAGAGTTACAGAGTTAAGAGTGGGGGACTACATGTCCTCATTTTAAACAATGCCTTTGCACATGGAAAACTTGACATATCAAAGAAGTTGGACAAGGAGTCTTGTCGCCGAAAAGCTAACTTTTCATACACAGGAATATTTTGTTTTCAAGAAATATATGTGATCACTCCCCACCCGCTGTCTGAAATGGTACAGTCCCAGGATTTTTTTTGCCACATTATTGACCTGGATGTGATACGGACATTAAGCCTTTGCTATGGTGTGAAACAGCAGAAACATAGTTTATACCTCACTCACTTTCATATACTTTTACTTGAATTGTAGAGTTGGAAGGGACCTGAGGGTCATCTAAGTTAAGGTTACCAGATTTTTTTCAATGAATCCGGGGTCACTTTTCAACTTCAATGGATTTTGTATGGGGACTGATTTGTAAATCTGGTGACTGTCCCCGGGAAATGGGGCTATCTGGTAACCTTAATCTAAGTCCAACTCGCCCCCCCCCTCCCCGGCCATGCAGGAACCTCAACAACTTGACTGTTGAACTTCATTGGCTTCAGCTTAGCACATATTCATGTGCTTGTGGTTGTTACCATAGTCACTGGCAGTCCAGCACCATAACAGTTTTTGACTAATACTGTACTATATATCTATGCTTGGGTCATGCTCTCAATGACTGAAACAATGGTCCACTGGGCTGATTTTAATTGGGTTAGGACGACTTTAGGGATCCTGTAATTCCCTCCCTATCATCTGCTGTTACACCACCAGTCAGTATTAATTATATACACCAAGATGCACCAATATTGTATGGAAGACTTTTATAACAGAGATTTGGCAGACATCCTTGCTTTTTTTCACTGTCAAGAATCTTTTTTTTTTTTTTATGCTGAAGAGCCTATGCCTCTGTTTGAAGCTTTTTTGGTTGGCCAGTCATTTTAATGATTGCTTCTTGCTGTTTTTAATTAAGCACCCTCATATTGCAGTATGTTCTTTTATAAATAAAATACTTGCAGTGGTTACAGTTATTAAGGTGCATGACAAATCATTATCAATGACAGTAGCTGCTCATATGTTACCTGTAGTAAGATACACTATTAAATCACGTACAGTGGTACCTCGGGTTACATGCGCTTCAGGTTACAGACTCCGCTAACCCAGAAATAGTACCTCGGGTTAAGAACTTTGCTTCAGGATGAGAACAGAAATCATGCTCCGGCGGCGTGGCGGCGGCAGGAGGCCCCATTAACTAAAGTGGTGCTTCAGGTTAATAACGGACCTCCGGAATGAATTAAGTAATTTACCTAAGTTACCACTGTACCGTATTTTGCCTCATAAACACTAAATTAATATGTGACTGTAAAAAGAATTGGCTAGGTCTGGAGATGTTTTAAGAGTTGTTTACTGGGGACATCTAGTGGTGGATCAAAATAGCTTTCACTTCTTTGTTGACCTGGAAAAAAGACTTGTCAATTCAGAATGTAAATCTTGAAAAAGGTTACTCTAGCTGGTTACAGAACAAGAGTGATGGCGCAATCATAATTTGTACCCAACAATAGCTCAGATATGGATAATTGAAGATGACGAGTCCAGGAAGCCAAAAATGTTTTAACATACGGTAATTTATTCTTTCAGCATATTCTTATAGATCTGGGGTAACAAAAGTCTGGGGGTGCAAGGCCACCTGTAACTGCTAGAATTAGGAAATGTTAGAAATTAATAAATGGCAGAATTTAGATAATATTTGCAGTATTGAAGGGAAGATGCCAGACGTTAAGATTTAACAAGCAGACTAAACCAGGAAGTCACCTGGGGACAAGGACCATCAAGGTGTCATTACAGACAATGGCCAGTCACTGACCTTCTGCCTGAGCTCTGGGTAAATAGCAGAGTTGGGAGAGGGATGTTACAGGAGGTGTGACATCACACAGGAAAAATGTGTCCTTTTGAAATTTATAAAGGTTGGGGTAGAAGGGGGAGAACTAAGAGCTGCTCATTTCTTGGCGAGGTTGAAGATAAGCACAGAAATGTCTGGGAATCCAATGAAGGACAGCTCCTCTTGAGATATGAGTGCCGCAAAATCTCTCTCCATGGAAAGCTTCCCAGGAGTCACCCCAGCTGCCAATGCACCAAGATTTGGCTCCCTACTTTACTCCCAATTGTCTGAATACCAAAGCCCCAAATACACATAACCATCCTAATGATCAATTAGCATAACACAGAGCCTTGCAAACTCTCAGCACAATACCCATAATCACTCTCTGGGTTGATTAAGTTAACACAGGATTTTTGCTAAATCCTGACATTTCCAAGGCTCCACAGTGAGTCCATGGTCAAGGTGGTAATTAAAGGCAAGCTTTCAAGATCCATGTCTGGCTCCATAGGCACTAGACCGCAGGATCAGAAAAGAGGTACCAAATGTTACAATCCTTTGCAGTGAAAGCAAAAAGGGCATCATAAAATTACCTGCAGCAAAGCAACTGCCAAATGCATTTTAGTTTTGGGACCTGTAAGCAAGATGTTATCCTTTTTGACTCCTTGCCAGCTCTTGGGTTTTATATTCGCCATCACTAACTTAGATTGCATGCCTGATTCTGTCCTTACAGATACAATCAAACATCTGAAGGCAGCCCTGTTTTAGGGAAGTTTTTATTGTATTTTTAATATTTTGTTGGAAGCTGCTCAGAGTGGCTGGGGAAACCCAGCCAGGTGGGCAGGATATAAAAAAAAATATAAAAAGTTAATTATTATTGTTATTTTATAAACAAGAAAATCATCCTGATTATTACTACAGAAACATGATGGAATCATGTTCAGGAGCAAATGCTGTGTGATGTATTGAGTATTGCGTCTCAGTCTGGATAGCCCAGTTGGTTAAAGCATGGTGCTGATAACGCCACGGTTGTAGGTTCAATCCCCATAAGGGTCACTTGCATATTCCTGTAATGGGGGTTGGACTAGAGGACCCTCAGGGTCCCTTTTAACTCCACAAATCTATTATAGTCCTCTTTCATCATCATCATCAGATAAATATCCGAAAGAAATTATGGGGAGTTGAGTCTAAAATATAGAGGCAAGTTAGCGTCCAGGATTAAACTCCACCAACTTAAAACATTATGACTGTGAGCCAGCACCTTTTCTAAAACACCCTCTGCCCCACAAACTGTCTCATACCTTGCAGGTTTTTTCACACAGCTCGATGTGCAAGTAAGTGGTGAGCCTGGTGCAACCCAGGCGTCTGCCAAGGACATGGAGCCAGGAATGCGAACATCTGCTCTGCCCCCCCCCAACCAGACAAGAATGCCTGTATCTGTAAAAGCATTCTCTTTCAAATATTCAGTCCAGGGAGTGCCAACTAATTTTATCTATTTTTTTCCCCCTTATCTGCATGGCTTCCACTGCCTATTTGCTTCGAACCCTCTTGAAGCATGACTCATATGAAGAAGCTGAGCAAAAGAAGCAGCCTTATTTAGCATGACCCTGTCATTTAGAATTTTCTTTTCACTTCCTTCAAACCCAAAACGTGATCTCTCACTCACACACAGAGCTCTCCGATCTAGGAGGCAGTAATTTGGATGTGACTCAGAGGGGTGGAACGTAAGCAGCCATTTCACTTGTCCAAGAAATCCTACAGACATGGCAGCTAATTTTGGTGAATCACCCAACACTCAGCCATTGCCCAGTGAGGTGGCCAAGCTGCCACTGAGCTACGGGCACTAGGCAGATTTGAGATTTCACAGCCTTGCTGATTTGTTGGAATGCTTTTTCGAGCTGCTAAGCTCCTTACACCACTATGAGAAACAAAAATGGATGCCAACAATGGAGGTTAACTAAACAGTTTTTGGGGCTGCTAAAATGAAAGCGTAAATTAGTCATTATTTTGTCATTCCTCCCAAAACCAAGAGCACTGCCCAATATTGTGTTATATTTGCTATTGCTGAGGCGATATAAATCCACATTTAGTTTACTGGAAAACAGTGTAACGTTAAACATCCTTGAAATTTAAGCAGTGCCCTGAATCGTTCAGACCAGCGAGATACTTTGCTTGAGAGATTTGAAAATATGCTCCTCTACTTGAAAAAATACTAGTAGAAAAATCATTGTATTAAGTCTTCACTGTTGCTAAATTTTCATAGCGCCTCACGTACATTGCCACAGGCATTCTTACAGAAACCCTGTAAAGTAGGCTGATGTTCGTATGACATTGGTGGTGTAGTGGTTAAGAGTGTTGGACTAAGATTTGACAGAGCAGGGTTCAAATCCCCACCTGACCATGAAGTTCACTGGATGACTTCAGGCCAGTCACTGTCTCTTAGCCCAACCTACCTCACGGGTTTGTTGTGAGGATAAAATGGGGAGGAGAAATATGTATGCCACCTTGGGTTCCTTGGAGAGAAGGTTGGATATAAATGTAAAAATTAAAATAAAATAAAAAATTATGGGAAGTTGAGGTAACCATCCGTGAATTAAAAGATTCCACCTTGCCCAGCGCCCCCATAAACCTGGCAGCACTCTGAGAGAAAAACTTACTTTATGGGACTAATGCAAGGCACCATCCAATAAAATAAAAAAACAGGATTAAAATGGCATTTGTTGTCACCAAACACACTGGATTTTGATGCTCAGTGGTACAGTATTGGTCTTCTATTAATCTTTTGGCCACTGGAGGGCCGTCCTGTGATTGTCCAGAACAGCGCAATGGAGGGCATGGATGTCATATACTGTACTTTAAATCAGTAATCCTGAATTTATTCGGAGGATGCTGCAAGCCTGGACATTCTACAAAAAGCAAAGTTGCTAAACGGGGAAAAATACTGAACCACTATTGTGTAGCTTGGATCTAAAATCAGTTGACAGGGTTGTAGTGGGCTATACTTTTCAGTCTCATAGACTGAAAAAAAGACATGAAATTTACCACAATTGCACACGGGCAACAGAATTCACCATCATCTTCCTTTTTGAAAATCTGTCTTTTGTGCTCGTCTTTCATGCCAACAATAAATGCTTTTGATATTTTCATACTATTGATATTTTCATGCAAGGGATCAGAAGGAAATGAAGACAGTCTGCTAGGCCTTCTGTACGAGAACCAGAAATTGCTGCCATAAGCAGTGCTCAGCCAGTACCAGAGCAGGAGTTTTAAAAGCTGGAGATAGGTTTAAGCAGCAAAACATTAAGAGAATGAAAATTGTCAAGGTATCTAAAGAACCTGCACTATTTAATGCACTCTTGCAGAAAGAACTTTGAAATCCATTAGATGAGTTACCGTATTTAGCTCCTCCTCTCCCAGTTCTGTCTCCTGGCTGCTTTATTACATAATGTAACACCACAAAAAAGGAGTGATGTCTAAATTTGCTTATTTACCTCTTCCCTACTTAGTGGCGCCATCGGGACAGGAATTTGTGGCAAAAGCCTAGGGCTGGGTGATATATCACTATATCATCCAAAATCCTGTTGAAATCCATATTGTGGATTTCATAATATTTGACCTGGAAATATATTGTGAATCATGGTGTGTGTGCGTGTGTGTGTGTGCTATGCAAAAAAACAGTGTGGGGAAAACCATTAAGCCAGCCAATGCCTCTAAGTAGCTCCATCCTTATTTCAGACATCGTGATATATATGTAGCACAATGCAATGCTGAAAACTAGATATCGCCCAGTCCTACAAGAGACTAGGGCAGAATGAGCAGGAGGACCCTCAAAGACAGCAAAACAGGCTTAACATATTTTGAAGCTAGTGAAAAAAAGTGAAATAATATACATGATAACCTAAGACTGTCCCCCACCCCCTTGTGAGACCATTATGTCCAGAGTTTAATGTTACTTAAAGCAGCATTCTTCCATCTTGGGTGCCAAGATATCATTGGACTACAACTCCCATTAGCTAAGCTGCATGTGGATGATGGGAGTTGTAGTCCAATATCATTTGTGGGCCCAAAGGCCCACTGACCTACCTGCACCACTGTTCTTTTTGTATCATGCACCTCAGTCGTTACTGTCAGTTGTATGCCATTTTCCTTCTAAAGGACAATGCACTTTAACAATGGACACCAAATAAATACCTAAAACAAAAACTCCAAACATAGGATGGATAAATAAATAAATATTTAAGTATATAAAAAGCTAAGAAATCCATAAGAGCAAACACAACAACTGCAAACTAGAAGAAAATAACCACAATCAAACAGACACCAAAATTACTTTATGAAACCAGAAACTACTCAAGTTTAGCCTATCACTAAATGGGAATCTATCAAAAGATACACGGAGTTTATTAGAGAAAGAAGCACCAGCTAAAGGGGGAAAAATATACTTACCATGGAATTTGCAATGCGCCCAGATTCTATACGAAGATTGCACAAGGACACACCAATAATATTCTCGGCAATCAGATCACAGAGAGAATGAGGGAAAATAGACTTCATCTTCACTTTTTTTTTATTAGAATTAGCTTTAAGGCCTTATTTTGCTATACATTTCTCACATTGTTACATTTTAATTCAGCAGAAAGGTAACTTGATCAGCTCATTAGTCCTGAATTGCAATTTATTTTCTAACACGTCGTATAAAAATAACTGAGCTGTTACATCTTTTAAACATCAGTTAAGACCTATTGTATACTTTAGATCTTGTAAATGTGCCCCCCCACCCCACTCCCACCCCCCAAAAAATGACAAGAGCGCTTCAAGCTTTGCCATCTTGGACATATCTCTTGTTATCAACGGTAACTAAGGGCAGCTTCACATGCAATTATTTCCTGGCATGGATATTACTTCTGTGTAGGAAATTGCATGTGCGTACAAACATGGCAATATAGATGTACATCCCCACTGCGCACACAAACGTGCATATGGTTTTCCTACACAGGCGAGAGATCTCTGTGGGAGAAATTTCCATGTCAGAAAGAGCCCTTAATTCTCCTCCAATAAACTGGAGCCATTCTACACATTACAACAGAGGGAACTAACATGGCAGCCCCCCGATGTTGTGGACTCCAATTCCCATCAAACCCAGCCAGCTATCAGCTATAGAAAACTATCACCAGGAAGAAGTGAAACTAAACCATCCCCTGCTCCAAACGTGCTCTCTTCAGGGAGTATTATTATTATTATACAAGGGTGCAAAGAAAAATATAGCTATTCCCAACCTAATGTCTGAAGTGGTATATAGTGTAGAACTCTGTCATCTCAATCGTTGTGCAATATATAGAATGGCTCTCAAGTCTTTAGAAGATTCCCACTGGCAACAGATCCAGCTCACAGAATATATGGGAAGCAGCAGTTTTGGCACTGATTTTTTTTTTCTTCAAGTTTGCAAAACACATCTTACGAGAAGACATGGAGGTTTTTCTCAATTTTCTCACCATTCTGACTACTCCTGGCCAATCAAGTTAAGACAGTACTATAGCAGGATTTCAACATTTATGTCAAGTGTCAAAATTGTGTTGACCAAAATCAACTTTTGACCCACTGAAAGCTAAAATGCAACTATTCCTTTCTCCTGGCATCACAGTGGAGCAAAGCTGATCAACAGGAGATTATTATTATTATTGCTGGTGAACCTAAAAATAAAATGAAAAAGTTGCCTCTTATGGACAATGACAACACAAGCACAAATCAGAAGTATTATTGTTGTTGTTCAGTACATGTATATTACACAGACAGAACATCTCTTTATAGTCCCGGTGAATTTTGCCAGTTATTCATATGGAAGTGGGGGGGAAGACCCTAAAGTATATTAAAAAACAGACAGGGCTCTTTTGTGGAAAGATTAGGAATTTGGATTCTCCCCCCTGATGCAACAAATCTGCCTGCTGAAAGGGTCAATTTACACATTCAGTTCTGGAAATATCATGCTTGCACCTGGGCAGTGGCAAAGCTACATGCTCTGGCACCGGGGGCAGAGAGGTGGTGTGCATCCCGGGGGCGTGGCACGCTGCCTGCGGGGGCGTGGCACGTGTCCGGGGGGTGGTCGTGATGGTACCCCCCTCCTCGATGGTGCCGGGGGCGGTGCACCCCCCTGCCAGTGCACCTGGGCAGCCCCTCTGTGTATATAACTCAGTGTGACAAAATACAGTGGTGCCCCGCAAGACGAATGCCTCGCAAGACGAAAAACCCGCTAGACGAAAGGTTTTTCCGTTTTTCGATGCGCTTCGCAGGACGAATTTCCCTATGGGCTTGCTTCGCAAGACGAAAATGTCTTGTGAGTCTTGAGATTTTTTTCGTTTCCCCCCCCCCTTTTTCTAAGCCGCTAAGCCACTAATAGCCTTTTAGCCGCTAAGCCTTTAATAGCCACTAAACCTCTAATAGCGCTAAGCCGCTAATAGGGTTGCTTCGCAAGACGAAAAAACCGCTAGACGAAGAGACTCGCGGAACGGATTAATTTCGTCTTGCAAGGCACCACTGTATGCACATGTTCATCAACATCCATTTCTGAGTCTTACCATCCTTTTTTTATACTGTAAAGATATGAATATCGGACATTAAATCTTACAATACTATGTTAGTGTTGCACATGCAGTGGAGATCTTAAGGGAGGCCCACTGCCCCACTGCATGCATGGGAATTGGTCCCAGGAGACGCGACGATACCTGGTTTGAACGGAATATTGATCCAATTTACTTTGGCAGCACTCTAAAAGTTTCACGGCTTGTGCGATCATTAGGATAGCCAGCACCATTTAAAAATAAATAAAATTAAGAATGGCAAAATGCACATGTTTACCAAACCCTGCAAATGCACATTAGGTATCTTTCACCAAGGTGTTCAGCCTCACTTTTGACTCCTTCAGCTTTGCTCTACAAATGATTATACAAAGTGTACACGAGCTCCCCTCCCTAACACAACTTAGGCTCCATCTCATTACCATGGGAAACAAGGGCCCAGAATAGTTACAAATGCCTCACTCTGGCTGGACACAGCCAATGCAGGCATGCAGCTCAATTTGGCTGTTCATTAGCTTAAGGTGGGAACTAAAGTGCAATTCCAAGAAGTACTGTCCATGCTGCATTTCTTAAGACCGGTCCATCACCTTGGTTCAGCATTTTTGCAACCAGTACTTTCAAACTTGGCATTCAATCTTACACACACCTCTAAGTTTACCCCTAACTGCCCTGAGGAGTGGAGGGAACAGACTTAAAAGCATCCTGCCTCTTCTCATTTCATGCAAATACACCTTGTTTTGGAAACATATGCGTCTTTCAGCCAGATTTGCAATCTTCCCATTTGATTCAGGTAACCCTGCACCCACAAGAAACAGAACCTTTTAAGTTCTTGTCCCCAAGTGGACACACAGTTCAATTGGTTCAGATTCCAACGGGTTGCTGGCTTCCCTGCCTCCTCTACCCTGTTCCTTGCCTCGCCTCAATTTTTGTCATCTTCTTCAGGATCCTAAAGCCTGGTGTCATATCCCTTTAGCCATTTTGGGAGGGTTCCAGAAGAACCCAGATTGCTTGCTTGAGTACTGCACCATTTGGGACTCAACACACCCTACAAAGGCCTTTTGTCTTTGGTCCCCCAACATAGTCTTTTTCCTGCTTGCTTGCATGTTATCTCAGAGCCAGGGTGTCAATCATCCCAACCACCTTGGCATCCATCTAGAACTCCAAACTCTCCACTCACTGTGAAATCACAGGAAATTACTCTTTCCCCTGGCTTTGTAACAGGTAATTATTAATGCTTCAACATTGCAGCTTCTCTGCTGTTTTCCCTGATCTTGCTGTTCTCTCTATCCAAATGCAACCTCTGCTTTCATCCAAAGAGGGACTATGTGCATCTACATACTGCTATTTCCCCTTTGTGGCCAAAGTACAAGGCACTGTCTCCACGGCACACTGTGACTTTGGCTCAAGTTGTTGAATAATTTCGCGTCTGAGGTGCTTGCTTGTGTGCTCACACTGAATATGTGGTCAGGGACACATGTGGGCTTGGTAGCAGTAATGGTACCCAAGTCACTCAAGCGTATACAAGAAACATCACGTTTTTAATTTCCCCACATTTTTAACAAGTAGGATCTGTAGCTTCACTTGCAGAAGATTTCTGATCTCCTATGACCTCAAAGGTTGTCAGTGAAAAATGCCCAACTGTTTGACTTGAATGGTTAGTCACTGCTATCATAAGGCTATGGCAAAGGAACCCAAGAAAAAAGACCTTCAGATTGACATCAGAATCTGGAAGTCTTTTCCTCATTGATAAAATGCTTTCCAATGCTTGGTCCCATGTTGACATCCAAGTTTCATATTCAGGGCCTTAGCCCATGAACTCTAGAGAAAGCTGCCTCCCTCTTTAAATGTTCTTTATAAATGCAATCACTTTCAAGTTCATTTATAGATTACTGGTCCATCCTCTGTTGGTTAAGGGAAAGAGGAACGTTTGACATTTTCTATCTTAACAAGTTTTGCTTTTAACATATTGCAGTGCCATGTATTAAAAAACTATTTTCAGTAGCTAGCGATTTGCAATCCCTAGTTGCTCCTACATAGCAAATCTTCCAACAGATATAAGGAACAAGTTTCTGAAACCTACAAAAGATACAGTACCATCTCAGTTACGCAGAATATTATTTTGTACACTTTAATCAACTATACTCATTCATCCACAGTTCCTAGGTGTCAGTTGAGTAGGAAATCTGGCTCTGGGTAGCCAAAAAGATTAAAATCACCTTCAAAACGGGCATAAAGGCGGCGGATGTCCCTCTTGCTAACTCCCGAGAAATAGCGTTCCACCTTAGTTTTGTTATACAGTGTTATCCCCGGCGGAATAGTAGGATAAGACACCAGATGGTCTATTCCAGCTTCCTTCAAGATGTATGGTGCATCCTCTTCCAAGGTTTCATGATGTCCAATTACACTGTATGTTATTTCACAGGGGGCACAAAGTTCCACGTAGGTCACCCAATGAATGATGCGGTCTCCAAATTGTATATCTAGCCACCGATGATTTGGATCACCCAAGTAGCGCACGAAGTCCTCAAACTGCAGCCCCCTGGTCTCAGTGCGATTCTTTCTATATTTTCGAATGATGCCGGGAGCAATTTCATGCCTATACCAAGGTTCAAAACGAGGATTGCGGACAAACTTGTCTTTGAATGCAGAAATAAGCCTCTCGAACGGATCTCTTACGATAAGGAACTTGAAGTATAATTTCAGCCTGAAATAGGTAAGAAAAAGAGGAAACAAGTTGTAAGTGGCAATTTTAAGAATTTGTTATCTGCTGGAAATTCACAAAGCTAAATAAAATAAGCAATGGTCCACACATGCATGTTCCTCACTTGATGGCTGCAGCAGCAAATGGTAACTTGCATGTGTGAATGCAACAGCAGATAAAGGTAAAGGACCCCTGGACGGTTAAGTCCAGTTGAATTCGACTATGGGGTGCGGTGCTCATCTCTGCTTTCAGGCCAAGGGAGCTGGTATTTTTCTGCAGACAGCTTTCCGGGTCATGTAGCCAGCATGACAAAACCATTCCTGGTGCAACAGGACACCGTGATGGAAGCCAGGTCACACAGAAACATCGTTTACCTTCCCGCCGCAGCGGTACCTATTTATCTACTCGCACTGGTATTCTTTAGAACTGCTAAGTTGACAGGAGCTGGGACAAGGCAACAGGAGCTCACCCCATTGCACGGATTCAAACTGCAAACCTTACGATCGGCAAGCTCAAGAGGCTCAGTGGTTTAGACCACAGTGCCACCCATGTCCCAAATGTGACAGCATAGCGGTAGTGTTTTCAAATGAAAACATCCTGAAGGTCCCAAGCCACAGAGATGTTAGGCTGGCCTCAACTAGAGCCAGGGCTTTTTCGGCTGTGGCTCCAATCTGGTGGAACGCTCTGTCACAAGAGACTAGGGCCCTGTGGGACTTGACATCTTTCCGCAGGGCCTGCAAGACGGAGCTGTTCTGCCAGGCCTTTGGTCGGGGTTCAGTCTGACTCCCTCTCCCCTTTCATAAGAACTTGCATGAAAGTGGCCTCCCAATTTTTCTCACAGGCCCATATAAGCTCAGCACAAACAGTTGGGCCTGGTGAGCATTTAAGGTCCCCAGCCCTAATCTGCAGGTTGCCATCTGATTGGATTTTATTCTGATCCTGATCTGATTTGAGGATGTATTTTAATTGATTGTCTGATTTTATGTTAATGTGTTATACATTTGATGTTAGCCGCTCTGAGCCCGGCTTCGGCTGGGGAGGGCGGGATATAAATAAATATTATTATTATTATTATTATTATTATTATTATTATGCTGCTCTGGTTCGCCAGAAGCGGCTTAGTCATGCTGGCCACATGACCCGGAAGCTGTCTGCAGACACACGCCGGCTCCCTCGGCCAATAAAGCAAGATGAGCGCCGCAACCCCAGAGTTGGTCACGACTTGACCTAATGGTCAGGGGTCCCTTTACCCTTTACCTTTATATGTAAGGCTATATATAGCCTAATAATGTTCTGGATCACTCAAAAGCGTGTGCACTATCATGTGACATTTTGGTTAGCATAAAAAAGATTCTGCCTTAGAGGTCAACATGGGTTACCTTTCCTTTCAGCATGCTTACTTTTCATACACGCCACTTAATTTGGTTAAGTGTGGCTTTTCAAAACAAGACATCTGTTCAGTTCAGACACCAAGTTAAGCTAAAGTTTATCACCTACCGCTCTTGAATTTCTGAGTCACTGAAGGAAGATAAGCGTGGCAAACCATTCTTCTCATGGTCATGCACAATGTTCTCTGGGATCTCCTCAATGGAAGAAAAAGCTCCTGGGGAAAAGTAAGTTAGTACATGTTTTTAGAAAGATACCTTTCTTTTTAAAAAAAAGAAATAAAATTACTGTACTTTTCTGTGTATAAGACGCCCCCTATTTTGGGGGACTCAATTTAAGAAAATGGGGGGGGGATGCCCAGAGTTGTAGAGCTTTTGTGGGGGGAGGAATGCAGAAATTCACTAATCCGAATGCAAACGCTCATAAAAGATCACGTCGCAAAAGTAGAGGAGGAGTTTGGATTTGATATCTCGCTTTATCACTACCCTAAGGAGTCTCAAAGCGGCTCACAATCTCCTTTTCCTTCCTCCCCCACAACAAACACTCTGTGAGGTGAGTGAGGCTGAGAGACTTCAGAGAAGTGTGACTAGCCCAAGGTCACCCAGCAGTTGCATGTGGAGGAGCAGAGATGCGAACCCAGTTCACCAGATTACGAGTCTACCGCTCTTAACCACTGCACCACACAAGCGTCTGCCCGCTTGTCTACAGCAGCCAGCAATCGAATGCCCAGTTGCCACAGCAACAGCCAATCCATGACAGCCCTTGCCACAGCAAACAATCACCCACCAAATCGCTGCTGATAAGCTGTAGCTCGCGGCTGCAACCAGTCACCCGGCCCCACAATACACTGCCCATGTATAAGACGAGCCCCGTTTTTTAACATTATTTTTGAGTAAAAAAACTAGTCTTATACATGGAAAAGTATGGTATTAGCTCTATAACTATAACTTTATTCTAAGATGGGAATGCCTATGGACTATAGATCTTTGAAATGAAATGAAGTCAAACTGAAATGCTAATGTAACATTGCAGTAAACTTTAGTTAAAACTTTGGTGGCGCAAAGGTGAGTATCGGAAGATATCAGGATTTTTATTTTTGAATGAAGTGTTTAAAAAACAGAATATAAAAGAAGAGGGAGTGAAATGCTGGAATAAAAAATAAATAATTCAGTGGACAGAAACAACCTATTTTTATACTATGCTAGTTAATTTTTTTCTCTAGCCAACCAAGCACACACGTCAGAAGCTTTAAGAAGTAAACAGATACCATTTAAAACAATCAAGACTTTCTTCCACTGAGTATTGCCAACTTTTGGAGTTTGACAGAAGAGGATCTTGTGCTTGTCACATACAAATATCCGATCCAAAACGAATTTTGAAACAGTAGTGTGAGTGAGGTTTTTTAGCGATGCATCTTGGCACACGTTCCTGAGTAGCTCAAGCCTTTCCATATGGACCAAAGGTTGATGTATAATGTCTTCAGATAGACCTCTACCTATTGTCTTGGTATAAAATGGGAGAAGAGGAGGGAGGGGGAGGGGAGGGGGAAAGGAGAGCATAAGGAAGAATTTTATTTTCCAGTTCACATTTTAAAGGAACATGAAATTAGGCATATACAGCACAATTACTCTGGACTGGTCTCGGGCAGAACACCCATTTGTGGCATCCTATGCTTCTACTGGGTGGGTGGGTGGGTGTGACACAATTTGCAGACCTGAAGTTGCTCATTTTATTATTATAAAATGCTGAAGTTGCTCATTTTATTATTATTATTATTATTATTTTCTCAGTGACTGTGATTATGCAAACCTCTGTGAAAACTCAGTCTTGGCCCTAAGTACAGGATTTCCACTAAACACGCAGCACACTTTCCAGTTTGCCTTCATCAGAAGAACAAATCAATACCTTTCCATGTGTTGGTTGCCAGGCTATATACATACTGCAGTGGTGGGAAAAGCCTTCTACCACTGCCTGCCCCCATGCTGAAATTATGACGCACTAAGCACTGGAACACAACTTTTTATAGAAAAATTATCCCACCTTCTCGTCTTCCTTGAATTTATGCACATTATTTCCACAATATAATTGCACAATGGATTTCAGAATTATAATAGTTAGTGTATACTTGCCTATGGTTACATTGGGCTAAATTTCCATTCCATGGATGCGGGAGGAAATTAAGAATATTTAGGATATATATTCTGCCCTAAATATTCCTACCAGAATAAAGAGAAAGGTTGGAACAGGCCTAATGATTAATCCTTTGTAAGATAAAGCTGTTTAGGTTTTAGAATCCAGCAAACAAGCTGCTACAGGTTGTGCTGAAAAGCAGTAAACCTTATAGCTTCTCTGCAGTACCATATAGACAAGAAGGATATTGGGATTGTATTAAAATAAAATAAAGTAAGTCATATACCTGGCACAGAAAATACAAAGTTCTTTTTCAGACAATGTGTGACTGATATACAGAATTCACTACAACAAGTTGTGGTGATGGCTTTCAATTCCATATTTGTTGTTGTTTAGTCGTTTAGTCATGTCCGACTCTTTGTGACCCCATGGACCAGAGCACGCCAGGCACTCCTGTCTTCCACTGCCTCCCGCAGTTTGGTCAGACTCATGTTTGTAGCTTCGAGAACACTGTCCAACCATCTCGTCCTCTGTCGTCCCCTTCTCCTTGTGCCCTCCATCTTTCCCAGCATCAGGGTCTTTTCCAGGGAGTCTTCTCTTCTCATGAGGTGGCCAAAGTATTGGAGCCTCAGCTTCACGATCTGTCCTTCCAGTGAGCACTCAGGGCTGATTTCCTTCAGAATGGAGAGGTTTGATCTTCTTGCAGTCCATGGGACTCTCAAGAGTCTCCTCCAGCACCATAATTCAAAAGCATCAATTCTTTGGCGTTCAGCCTTCTTTATGGTCCAGCTCTCACTTTCATACATCACTACTGGGAAAACCATGGCTTTAACTATGCGGACCTTTGTTGGTAAGGTGATGTCTCTGCTTTTTAAGCATATTAAGAACAATTAAAAATATAGGATGTTTGTGCATTTGTGTATTGTATTGTTCAGCTCATATCCCTCAGGGATGGGGTTAGTCTAGCATCTCTGAGGGGAATTCTACAAATGCCTCAAGCTTCCTACCAACCAAGCTTATTTTGGTAGAATACAACTTTTACTCTGGGTTAGCAGCACATACCTGAATCTCTCCAGGAAACCTTTTCGATTTTGTCACTTGAATTTTCTCTACTTTAGTTATAGCTGTCAATGTTAACGGCTCTTGCTTGACACCATACACTAGGTAACAAGAAAACAGAATAATAGAAAGAAAAGCATACATATATATTATTACCAATTTCTGGTATCATTTATCACATGCTTTGAGGGTGGGCAGCTGCACTTGCTCAATAAGAGAGGTACTCTGCATGCGCTCTAAAACACTTTTGGCATATTCCATGTCTAGAAGAGATAATAGCTGACTACCAAGCCCAGCTATGGTCTGAGAACCCTGTTCATGAATCTACTTAGGGTAAGGGTTAATACTTCACATGCCATACAACCATCATGTCTGAAGTCATTGCATGAGTCTGTGCATTCATCACCATGAATATTCAGAAGGAAATGGCTACTTCCATCTTTACTGTATAATATGCCATTTTGCCTTGAGCCATATTTGATAGAATTAAATTATTTTAGCTTTGTTTACTTGTGTGTATATGTATTTATATATGTGTGTGTGTATAGATAGATAGATAGATATAGATAGATATAGATAGATATAGATAGATATAGATAGATGATAGATAGATAGATAGATGACTAGGAACTTCTGCTGTAGATTTATTTTTTTTATTTTTAAAATTTGTTTGTCACTTTATCTTGCCCAAGTCAACCCAACGTGACTTACAGACAAAACAGACAAAAAAAAAAAAAACCCCACAGAGATGCATTAAAACCAGGAGGAAAAAGAAAGTTTGTGGAAACAGCCAAACCTCAGAGTAAGACCCTGTTGAAACAAATGCATTGTAGGTTATTATTATTATTTATTAAATTTGTATGCCCACAGGTCTCTGTTTGCATTTGTATGTCATTTTTCACTAACTACCTTAAAAACTGAATGGAAGTGAACACTGTGTGTTGAGTGTATGGAAAATGTGTAGCTCCCCTCAACAATAATTCTATCTTAAGTGAAGATGACTGAAGTGTATGCAGATAAGTCATGCAAGGAGTCTAATAGTTTGCTGGCACTAATCTTCCTCTTTCAGCCAACTAAAATTTGACTGCAGTACATAATACTTCCTTTATCAATTTGATCACCACTAAATGGCTTATTATGGGAAAATGCAGAAATTGCCACCATGACATATCCACACACAAAAAGCACTATGTCCCCTGCCAATGGAAGACTTCTGCCTAAAGACCTTATCAGAGAGAGAGAGAGAGAGAGAGAACAACAAGACAGTGCCATCAAATGGATTTAAACTCATTAACAGTTTAATACCATCTGGGCTACTTAAGATAAGCAAAAGACTAGCTGTTATTTTTCAACTAAGCAGCCGAGGACAGAAATCAATAAGAAGCAATCCAGGGCCAATTTGGGATAAAGCACAAAAAAATAACTTGCAAACATGCCCCTGAAAACCAAGCATTTAAATCACTACTCGGGATTAACATGTAAATGCTGTACGTAGTAGAGAACGACACTATTTGTACTTTTCCATATAAATTTTCATGTTGCACACAAAATCTTTTGCATCTAACTCTCATTATCACACGTATTGTTTCATGTCTTACTGTGTTTTAATTTATTGGAAGCTGCCCAGAGTGGCTGGGGAAACCCAGTCAGATGGGCAGCATACAATTATTTATTTTTATTTTTATTATATCAGAAAAAAGTGGTCCACTTCTCACCACCTGGAACCTTCAACCCAAGATCACATGGCCCAGTGTTAGCAAATGGGAGCAAGGAAGAGTCGAAGTGTTCATTCTGTAGCAACTTGCCAAATGACAACTTTTTTTAGATATGGCAATTTCTAAAGGTGCCGTATTTTTCGCTCTATAACACGCTCCCAACCATAACACGCACATAGTTTTTAGAGGAGGAAAACAAGAAAAAAAAATTCTAAATGAAACAGTGGATGTATGATTTTTGTGGTTCATGCTGTGGCCACAGACATGTGATCTGACGGTGAGTTTGGGGTAGCCCAATGCAAAAATCCTGAGGATCCATGTGGATCCGTGCTTTGTAACCACGTTTTTGCACCACTGCGGCCCCAGGCAACAGTGGGTGCATGATTTTTTTGGTGCAAGCTGTAGCCATGGACATGCTATGTGATCTGATGATGAATTTGGGGTGACCCAGTGCAAAAATCCTGAGGATCCATGTGGATCCGTGCTTTGTAACCACGTTTTTGCACCACTGCGGCCCCAGGCAACAGTGGGTGCATGATTTTTTTGGTGCAAGCTGTAGCCATGGACATGCTATGTGATCTGATGGTGAATTTGGGGTGACCCAGTGCAAAAATCCTGAGGATCCATGTGGATCCGTGCTTTGTAACCACGTTTTTGCACCACTGCGGCCCCAGGCAACAGTGGGTGCGTGATTTTTTTGGTGCAAGCTGTAGCCATGGACATGCTATGTGATCTGATGGTGAATTTGGGGTGACCCAGTGCAAAACTCCTGAGGATCCGTGTGGAACCGTGCTTTGTAACCATGTTTTAAGTGGGGAGGGAAGGAAAAGCACTCAAGAGACAAGGAACACGCGTGGGGTGGGTGGAGAAGGATGCTGTTAATAATGCAGAAGAGGGGTATAAAAGGAGAAGGCTCTTATAAGAGGAGTGGGGAGGAGAGAGAGACAGAGAGCCTGCTTGAAAAAATGTTGCTGCTATTTAGCGAGTGGGGAGGAGAGAGAGACAGAGAGCCTGCTTGAAAAAATGTTGCTGCTATTTAGCGAGTGGGGAGGAGAGAGAGAGACAGAGAGCCTGCTTGAAAAAACGTTGCTGTTATTTAGCGAGTGGGGAGGAGAGAGGGACAGAGAGCCTGCTTGCTTTAAATGAGCCAACTGGACAGGAGCCGCTTACACTCATGTAAGCGGCTCCTCTCCTCTCCTCTCCCACTTTGCTCCTTTAAAGCAAGCAGGCTCTCTGTCTCTCTCTCCTCCCCACTCAGCGGCTCTTCTCCCACTTTGCTGTTTCAAAGCGAGCCACGGAGGAGGGAAGGAAGGGGAACCATGGATCCTCTGCTCACGACTGCAGCAGATCCCCCCGCCATCCGTAGGCATTCGCTCCATAACACGCACAGACATTTCCTCTTACTTTCTAGGAGGAAAAAAGTGAGTGTTATGGTGCGAAAAATACGGTATATATTGGTTCTTTCTTTTTGCAGATATACAGTTACATTGAAGATGTATACTGCTTTATACCTATCTTTCATGTAGACAAGCTGTTACTTGTTCTAAAATCAACAAACACAATAAAAAAAGCAGGCAGGGGGAAAGGAATGGAAATTCGGGAGATTTGTATTATTTCTCTCAACTTTTTCTAAGCTGCACAAACCTCCATTGCTGCACAGCATATTTGATTCGTTTATCTTAAGGAAAGCAAGTCATGGAAAAATATGCAGCTTCAACAAGCGTAATTCAGGTAATTTTTCCAACATGTGATTTAGAAGTGGGTAAGCACATTGTTAAAGGGAAAGCATTTTCATTTACTAATTATTTATACTATGCATTCTGTAATGTTTGTAGAAAAGACGAGCAGCAGCAGCAGTATATAAAAATAATTCTTCGGATGTTAACACTGCCAGTTTTTTTTTGGTCCAGAATGAGCATCAGTAAAAAAAAAAAGATATCTGAACTTACCATCAGGATTTTTGAAGGTCAACGTGATGAACTTGCTAGCAACCATGAACATGAATACAACCCAAAAGCATGCAGCTAACAGCAGCCACTGGCGGTGCATGATGTTTCAGATATGATCCATATATCGTCCGTTGGTTCCTGCTGCTCTTCCAAAACAAAACAAAAATAAAAAATAAAATGTTCTTATGAGTTTCTATGTTGCCTGTCTATCTGTAACAGATCCAAAGCAGCTATAAAAAAAAACACATATAAAATGCATCGTAAACAAGCAAGCATGAAAGTATCAATTTTCACATGTACTTTTTTATTTTCTGAGAAGCAGCCTCTTCTATAACTAAAGAAGCATCTCCTTCCATTGCAGTCTATTCCAGTAAGAGGATTAACAGTACAGCCCTTGAACTACCCTCAGCTATAGAATTACTAGAATTCATTATTTTACACAGCTATCTTCAAAAAGAGATTGCCTCCCACATGCTAATTCCGGTACAAATACATACACACTAAAGGTGAAATGTTGAAATTAAGAGAGGTGGCTGGCGGATGCAGACCTCCAAGCTATAGGAAGTGGCCTGCGGACTCCGGGCAGCTTTCTCTTCTGATCGAACGCTAAAACTCTTTGTCTGTTCTGTAGATGGAGATCTCTGAAGAGCAGAGAGAGCACTTTATCTACCAAATCAGGAGATAAAGAGATTCCTCCAGCTGCCATTGAGCAAGGATTTCTAAAGAGCAGCCAGAAGGGTCTTTTTCTATGTACCATCAGCAAATTATCTGTGCAAAGCAAAAGGCAGCATTTTGAGACACCCCACTGTTGGAGTGGGAATGCTGACTGTAATTGTGTGTGTGCCTGTGTGCAAGAGTGTTATATTTAAATGCTTGCTTGCACGTTGTTCGACAGTGTATGTGCGGTGACTCTGTGTGCGCCGCATGTGGGCTATGTACATGTGTAGTGAGCGTGCATGCATGTGGGCGTACACGCATGGTCCACATCCGTTGTTGGCGTACGGTCCTCAGAGGGGTAGTTGTCAATGTGGCCGTAGGGTTGGAAAATGTTAGCCACCCATGCATTAAAATAACAAGAAAACTATGCAGAAATGGATGGAACTGTAAAAGACAGTAGCCCAGTCTGCACATCATTAAACCATAGTTAAATGTTTAACTATAGTTTCACATGAACCAATAGCATGCTGCTGCGAACTGCTCAGAATTCCCCACTGCTCAATGCCACGCCTCACCAGAAGCAGCAAACCACAAGCCAAGAAACCCACAAGGTTTGTTCCCTATTGTTTCGAGAAACTAAGGCCAACCTGAAAACTATTACCAAGTTACCCCAGTTAACATTATTGACTTCAGTTGATGCAGCCTGAAGTATAAAGTGCAAAGAATGGATCAGCCACTTTTCACTGGTTGCGTGTGCAGACATGGCCTCGGCCTGGGAAACAATGGAAGGAATTTCTTTAAACAGGAGGTACAGGCAGGTGTGGCAAATTGCCCACCTGGGAAGGTTAACCCATGTTATGAAGGTGTCTAGAGGACCAAAGGAAATATGACAAATATGGCTTGGCAAAATTGTATTGTGCACACAAATCAAAGAGAACACGAGTATTCGGGTATATAAAGCTTTTGCTGTCCCGATACAAGACTTGTCACTATTTCTGACATTTTGGTTGTTCCTAATAAAGGCTGCACAATTGTGGATTTTGGAGCAATTAAGCAACGAGTCTCAAAATCATTTCAGTAGATTACATAGGGTAAATATTAAATGGACTATACTCTGTGGTGTTTTTTTTTTTTAAAAATGAGCTTGCAGACTTTTTAAAGGAATGTACCCTTGTTCAGAATGGATAGATTTGTCAGTGTAAAATAAAAGTTTAGTAGAGGAACCGTGCTAATCTGCAGTACCAAGAGGACAAATGGAACGAAGATGGAGATTAACCTGTTTGTTGTGAATACTGTGTATTTTTGTAACATTTGATTCAGCTGTGCAAGTCTTTCCCCCTTATACGCAAAGGCCTGTAAAAGCTGCCTTAAACATCTGATGAAGTGGGCAGTAGCCTATGAAAGCTCAGCCGTGCCACAATAAGCCAGTTATTCTCCAAGATGCCACAGCACTTTTTGTACAAGCTTTTAAGAATCACGCTTGAGCACATTTGCGGAAGCCATGAACAAGACAGCGTCACAGAAGTCTGGACCCGAGTTCTCTTTCAAGCTTCTGAAATGCTCTTGCCAGTCTTAAATTGGTGCCAGTCTAAGACAGAACAAACAATTGCGTCCCCTGCATACATAAAATTCTAACAAAACAAACCATTCACAGAAGTTCTACTAAATATATCTACACCACAGAAAGTGGATTTTATGTAATTTAAAAAAAAATAAAAATCTTCGGAATTGTACTGAGCCTACAAAGCAATTCATTGTTCTCAATGCTGCCGCAACTGAACACGTTTAAGAAGTTCTAAAAGCATGCTGCAGCTACACCAGTTCTGCACTGTAGAATATACGTATATGCATGCATGCACATGTATTTAAACCCCAAGTACGCACATCTGGTGACTCTGGGCCAGAGCCAGATGTACACAGACATATCCCTCCACATATCAAGTGTGTGCTGGAAGAAACACCAGTGTAAAATCTGTACACACGTGCATCAGCTGTGTGACGTATGGAGCTGCCTTCAACTCTTGCTAGTTTAAGACAGGAATCCTGATGTCTTTCATTAAATTTCTGGCCAAGTTTACTTTTACTTCCTGCTACGCTCAATAGAATGATCTGAATGCAGACAAGAGTAAGGAACCCAGAAACGAACATATTGCTTTTATTTGCTGGGTCTCAAAAAATACATTAAACCATGACCTAGATTACACATCTCTCTTCATGCAATATTTTCTTTAAAGTAACAGGGTCCAGCGAGACAGACTGCTTTCTTTCCCCTGAGCTCATTCTTATAGGATTGTGGAATCATAAGGAGAGAAATATTTGACCCACTTAAACTTTTCAGCATCTGCAATTATAAAAATACACTTGGTTGGGCACCATGATATCACCATGATACCTAGGTTCTCCTCTCCATTTCATCTTCACAACAACTCTGTGAGGTAGGCCAGACAGGGAAAGTGATTGGCCCAAAGTCACCCAGTGAGCTTCATAACTGAGTGGGGACATGAACTGCTGTCCCCCAAGTCCTAGTTCAAAACTCTAATCATTATACCACACTGAAGAAACTCTGGGTCTAACTCCGAGTTGGGTAACTTTTTCAGCCTATGAAGGAGGCAAATTCCCTCATAGGCAAATTTATGGGAGCCACATGGTTTTTTTGGGGGGGGTACTGTTCGGCATTTTTGTGTTTTTATACTGTAAACTGCCCTGTGATCCTTGGATGAAGGGCAGTATATAAATTTAATTAATAAATAACAGCTGTGAGTGTACAAGAGGGAAAAGTCTTGCTCGTGGTTTGCATGAGACAAACCATGAGCCTGGGTTTGCACCAAAGCTGTCAAGTGTCCCTTATTTGAAGGGACAGTCCCTTATTCCAGCGCCATGTCCCGCTGCTGTCCCTTATTGATGGATGTCCCTTAAATGTCCCTTAAATGATGTCCCTTAAATTTTAAAGGAAGCAGCTCCTCTCCCTCTCTCCCTGCCGGCCAGGGAGGCTCCAACTGTGTTGCTTGGCTGTGTTGCTCACCCAATAAGAAGTCTAAGAACGACAGGGGGGTGGAGCTTGCATGCCTTGTGTGTGGCTAGTTAATGCAAGCTGAGGAGTTTTTTGAATGCTGGATGCCATTTTGTTGCACGTGCTGTTGCAAACTTTGCAGTGCAAAGCCAGGCCGGGGAGCCATCTTAAGTTGAGGCTGCATAGGCCTTGTGGTGCATGTGATTCAGATTCTCTTCAGTTGAACCTCTGGTTACAAAGTTGGTTAGACAGTGTTCTCGAAGCTACCAGCATGAGTTTGACCAGACTGCAGGAGGACAGGAAGACTGGAGTGCCTGGAACAGGTGAGGCTGCAGGTCCCTTATTTTGGCTGCTAGTCCCTTATTTTCAAATCTGTAAGTTGACAGCTATGGTTTGCACGTAGTGCTGAAACAAACCACGGCTTAGCTTTATGTGGCACGGTAACAGCAGGGCTGATGAAAGAAAGAAGCAGCCATGATTTTCATTCCAGGGTTCTGCACATTTGACTGTTCTCTCCGGCTCAGCGTTAACATGTCAACAAGGCCTTTTAGCAGTCTGACCCTTAGTAAGCATGGCTCATGGTTCCTTCCCATCAAACTAAGCTAGTGCAAGGAAGAACTCTTTCTTTCTGCCAGTACTCACAATCCCAAAGCAGCCCAGCATCACACTTTGAGAAAGCAGCTGCTACAGATAAGTGTGGATTGCTCCTGACTCATTAAATGATAAAGGGATCCTAAAGGATTTAGATGCATCAACCTCAGATGAAAAGTTGAAATCTGACACTTGTCTAGTCCACTGCATCCCTAATTACTAAGTGAAATATGAAAATGGGAATCCCCAACCCACTCAAAACACAGGATACAAAGGCCATCTCACAAAAACAGCAGCAGATAACCTAGTTTTGGGATTCTGTAGCAGAGAATAAGCTAAGGCAAAAATGAAGTTGAATTCTCAACAATCGGAGGGGGGGGAGTGGCAGAAGCCTGCAATAGTAGCCAAGAACATGAATTTAAAAAGTCATATATATGTGAGATTTCACCCTTTGCACACTGTAACAATTGTCAGATTGTAAGGAAGTTATATGACATCTATGAAAGCTACACTTGTAGACTGCAAGTTGCATTTTATAATATAATCATGCTCATAAAACTATTAAGAAGTCATACAAATGGGCAAGGTTACCGGTAAGTAAGGAAACAGAGTGTAGCTATAAAACTGCACTACTGCATTCTGCAAAAGTAGGTGTTTAAGGCTTCCCCCGCCCAGCTTAAAATCTGCACCATATGTCCAATTTTTTTCAATTCTACAATTGGTATAAGATGCATACCAATTTAATGCAATTTGCACAAATTGATATGGAAATCTCCACTAAATGTGTTCCCATTAATTGGTGTTGTAGACCAAGTAGAGAACTGAAGTTGTGGGTCTATGGTGAAGAGATCATAGTGTGAACTCAGCAAGTTCTTTCTACATACACAAACATCTAAATAAAACATTCAGAAATCCTAGTTATTGCAAATAGCATTTTTTATTTCACTCTATTCCACTGAATCCTCAGTGCTCACCTCTCTGTGGTTTGACATCTTCCTAATATATTCAAGGAGGTTGCTTTGTTTACAGGGCACTGGGTCTTACTCCTATAGCATTATAGGATTGCACACTTTGGCAGCAATCTTAACCTCACTTACCCGGAAGTAATTGCCACTGATTTCATTGGGAGATGTATCCATTACAAGCAGCACACAAGGGTAAAAACCATTCCCAAGCCCTCCATCAGCCCCACCAGGCATGACCAATTGTCAGGGATGATAGAAGCCGTAGCTCAACATCTGGATATTCATAGGTTCCGCATTCCTGCTCTTATTTGTCTCAAACACCTGGCACTGACAGGTCCCTTAACATGGAAGGTTGTTGATAGATAGCAGACACCAGTTTATCTTTCTTCTATGACTTTGTTGAATATTTTAGATGGTAATCGCTACATCTGGACTCCAGATTGCCTTTTAAGCAGGTGGCAGTCAAACAAAAAACCACAGGCAGATGTTTGCTTCTCATCAACATGAGACCTAGCACCCCTGATAACCAGCTCTCAAACTTCATTTTTTAATTGGCCTCTCTGCTCCAAAATTCCTTCCCTATACATAGTGAATTTCAGCTTCAAACCTATTCTAACACCTTCCCTGGCAGGTACTCGTTGCTCACCTTCGAGACCCAGGCTGAGAATAAACTAAGGTTAAGAGCAGCTGCTATCTCTTCATTTTATACATTAAAAAAGCAAACCTATAAAGATAACAACCTGTATAAAACTAGGCAGATCACATTTCTGAGCTCTCATAAATGCTATTTGTTTGTTCAAGATGGTCATATTCTACCTCTCTGTAAGTGAAATGCAAGCAAAGGGTAAACAAATGTCATAAAATAATTAAATTGTACTGCAGCCTTGTCTTAGTTTTCCAAAGCTATGGTCCTGTGCACATTTATCTGGGGAGTAAACCCCACTGAACGGTAAATGGGACTTACTTCTGAGTAAAGGTGCATAGGTTTGCACCGTCTCCAAGCCTGGATTAGCAAATGGCCTTTAGGTTTCTTTCTGAAAAACAACTGAGAGGTGTGTTCTTTTACCTTCTCCAGGAGTTCATGTCAAGCGCTTGGGCACATGGCTGAAAGAACCTTGATCCTTACTGCTACAATCCCCATCTCATCAGATGAAATCCTGCTCAAAAACTCCCTAGCCAAAAGTTCTTAACAGGAGGTGAAGGGCCTTTAGGCCAGTTTAGATATCACTTGTACAATTGATGCTAGGGGTTACCTGCTCCTGAAAGGTAGCAGTCTGGCACCTACACATGGCTCACCACTGCATCCAATTAATTTCTGTGTCTTATCATGCATTATGTCAAGATGCTTCCATTCAACTACTTTAAACTGACTGCCGGTCCATTTCATTGGATGAGGCGCCAAGTTCCAGAACCGTAGAAGAGGAAAATGTCCACCTAGATACTCTGCACACGCCGCTCATGCCTTAACGTTTGTTTTGCCTCCTTAAGAAAGATAACCCTCCTCTAGCCCGCTGACCATTTCAAATGACAGTCCTAAACATACTTACGAGGCAGGATGCCCACTGAAAAACCATGTGACCTTTCTATAGGATTCAGCTACAGTGGTACCTTGGGTTAAGTACTTAATTCGTTCCGGAGGTCCGTTCTTAACCTGAAACTGTTCTTAACCTGAAGCACCACTTTAGTTAATGGGGCCTCCTGCTGCCACCGTGCCGCCGGAGCACGATTTCTGTTCTCATCCTGAAGCAAAGTTCTTAACCCGAGGTACTATTTCTGGGTTAGCGGAGTCTGTAACCTGAAGCGTATGTAACCTGAAGTGTATGTAAGCCGAGGTACCACTGTACTCATTGCTCTTTTCAGTCGGGTTGACAAAATTGCTCACAGTGGCTGTGCTAAACATGGCATATTTAGAGAAAATGACAATACGGCGCTAACAGTTTTATTTCCAACCCCCTTCCTAACAATTCCCTGAATCATTTATTTATTTATTTATTTATACATACTACTGCAGCAAACTGGGGAGCCAAACGCAGTGCACCTTCCACCAAGACATCAAGATCTCTTTCCTGAAATCGTCGTCCCTCACCTCCAAGGAATCCACCCGCTGTTCTCTTGCCCAGTCAACCAAGTTGGAGGGGGGAGGAATCCTTCTTCACATACAGGAAAATACATCTTCCACCTCACAATTTTAGACCGTATATACGGATTAAAGACACCTAATCAAAAGTACCTTCCTGTGGGGGATTTTGTGAAAACACTGACTAGGGTCTCACTACACCTAGGAGGCTGTGGCTCAGGGATGCTTTGCAAGGTTCAATCCCTGGCGTTTCCAGATAAGACTGGGAGCCTGGGAATGTCCCCTTCCTGAAATCCTATACAGCTCAATGGACCACCGCTCTGACAGCTGCCCATACCCTGGTTGAAAACAAACAGACCCGCCCCCCTGTTAACAAACGCGGCTTGAAAAGCCAGGTACTTACTCCGGAGGAGGCGGGGGAGAAGGGCCCGGGGCTGCTCGTCGAAACAGCCAGCCCCTCTCGGGGTGGGGCAGAGTCCTTCGCTCCCTCCCGGGGAAGAGGGCCAAGGGCCGGGGCTCCTGTGGTGGAAGATGCGTCCTTCCCTGCAAAAGCCGGTGCCCACCCTTTTGCAGCCCAGCTGGGGCTACTGCTGCAAGCAAGCGGCCGGCCGGCCGGGCGCGCCGTCTCCACCGCCGCCCTCTTCTCCTCCCCAAAGGGAAAGAAGGCTCCCCCCCCCCCCGGGGCCTGAGTCGCTCAGCCACCCGCCGCCGCGTTCCTCTCATGCATTGCCCGCCTACAGCTCCGCTCCTCCCACAGACCCGCCACCAGGCCCTGCTGGTGCAGCAGCAGCGCGAGCCGGGGAAAGCGTCTCCCCTCAGCAGGCGACGCAGACGCGCAGCCCGGGCTGCAGCTGCATCGCCTTCTTTGCTTGCTGCCCCCCCCCCCGCTCCCCGCTTTGATATATATATAGATAGATAGATAGATATATTATTGCCTCCGCAGCTGCAAACAGCAGTAGGACCGTGTATTCTCCTCAGCTTCCGTTGCCCGGTCCTGCTGCTCCTGCAGCAGCAGCAGCAGCCTCTTCCTCCATGTTTGCGCGCCGCCTCGGAGGTGGCGCCGTCGCGGCGCGCAAGCTGCGCTGCCTTCCCTAAGCAGGCGGGCAACAGAGGAGGCGGAGGGAAAGAGGGAAAGGAGGTGGGGAGAGGCGTGAGGGCCCGGGGTGAAGGAAGAGCACCTCCCGGGCACGACGCTGACTCAGCCCCCCCGAGGGGGCGGCCGAGGGAGGATGCAAAGGAAGCCTCGCCCGCCACGGCGAACAGGCCAATTGCATGTGAGTCTTACACGTATGGTGAGCCGCGCAAGAAACAATCTTCTGTACGCGGTGAATGGTAGAAGCGAATCTCATATGAAACTTCAGAATGATTAAAATCTGTTCAGGTTTCAGCAGTCAGAACGGCAGTAACAACAAAGGTGGTCAAGGCTTCAGGGACAGCGTAGTTGAAAATGAATGTTTTTAGCAGAAGTGGAAAATATATTGCATTTGCTGGATAATTAAGTGAGCTTTGGGTAAGGAATGCTTATGCATAGGCACACGGCAGTCCAGTGCATGGCTACTCAAAAGTAGGTCCCATTGAGTTCAATGAGGCTTCTAGGTAAATGGATGTAGGACCTACTGCAGACCAAATACAGATACAGGGGCATTTGTGCGTTTCTCCTGTGAAGTGCCACAAGTATGCAAAAGTACATCCCCCAAGAAGTATTTTAAGGTGCCGAAATACTTTTGGTTAGGTTGCAAGACTAGATGAGGCACTGGCCTAATCCAGCAACCAGGTTCTTAAAGAGATCTGTTGTGATAGCAGAGCATCAGTGCCTAGGAGCAGTCTACCTCTGAAAAAAGATGATCGGAAACAACAGCTAGTAAGTGCTTTTGCACTCATGTGCTGCTTGTGGGCTTCGCCTCCATTATGGGCTGAGTGAGTGCCATCTATTTGGCCCCAGTCCCTTGCCCCAGAGGACTTCAGTGGGCCCTGCAGCCTACTAGGCAGAAATGGAAGGGGGAGGGCACTTTGGGAGCTCCTTGGGGCTATGAAGTGCAATGTAAATATTCCAAATAAATGAATAAATAAAGCTGAGGTTCATATGGCTAGCTCAGAGACCCTCCTAGTGTAGCCTTTTTAGCCTCGGGTGAGAAGAGCTTTGCGCCCAGGACAGGGAAAATGGGAGTCAACAGACACTCAAGGAATAGTTTCAGAGAAAAAGCTTTATTTTTACCTTCCAGGCTGGTAGAAGGAGCAAGTGTGATAACTCACAAACAAGCACGAGTTCACAGCCATTTGCACAGAGCATATATTCCCCTTCAGTTCCCTCCCCTTTCTCCTCCTCCTCAAGAGTCCTGCCCCATGTTGAGTTTCCTGAGCATGAACAGAAAGCTCCTGTCTTGGGAAAGGAGGGTAAGAAGCCAAGGGGGTCGAGGAGCCTTGCGGTTCAGCATGTCCAAGATGTGTTGCTACTAGAGTGAGATAAGAGTCAGTTCTCAGGCTTGCTTTGACAGAGCCTATTCATTAGCTTTTGAAGCCTTCTCGTACTGATAAAAGAATAACATTTTGCCTTTGCAACAGCATCTTGTGAGAAAACAGAGGAAAACTTTAGCTGTGGATTTTTAGAAGAGAGAAAATGAATTTTGGATAGTTTTTAGGCCTAGTGTGACTTCGGGTCTAGGTGGGGCACCTGTCCTCACCTCCTTCACTAGCATAGGCCAACAGCAAGTGGAAGCTGCTATCTGCCTGCTGTCTCTCCTACCAATTTTCCATGACAGGTTCTGTGGGAGAACAGAGCATCTTAGAATCAGGGGGCTGGTCAAGTCAAAGGGGTAGGCCACTGCCACCCACAATCAAAAAGAGATCCCTTCCTTGTTCTCCTTAGCTTTTCCAAATGGGCCATGTCCTCCTGCCAAGTGGTCCAGCCCCAAATCTAAGCTCTGCCTCAGAGACTCTCCTCTAACTTCTCTGCCTTTGCTTGTCTTCTCCCTGCAAAGCTGTCCTCAGATCAGGGGCATCTTACCCATAGAGGCTAGTGGTGCGGGGCGCCAGGCCTCTGCCTCATCCCCGCCAGAGGAGCCGCCCTCCAGCTACTGCCCGCCTCCTCCAGCCCCGCCGGCAGTGGCGCCGGCGGGAGCTTTGTACCATGGCACTGGATATGCTTAAGACAGCCCTGCCTCAGGTAAAACAGTCAATCATCAGGAGCAGAGTAGGGTTCCTCACATTTGGGGCGGGCCTCACTGAGGAGGCCCCCAAACAGCAAATTCAGATGCTCTTCTACGTCCTGTTTTCATCCAAGTGGGTCCATGGAGAGCTGTGGATATGGCTAAGGGTAAAGGGACCCCTGACCATTAGGTCCAGTCGTGGCCGACTCTGGGGTTGCAGCGCTCATCTCGCTTTATTGGCCGAGGGAGCCGGCATACAGCTTCCGGGTCATGTGGCCAGCATAACTAAGCCGCTTCTGGTGAACCAGAGCAGTGCATGGAAACACTGTTTACCTTCCCGCTGGAGCGATACCTATTTATCTACTTGCACTGCATTGCTTTCGAACTGCTAGGTTGGCAGGAGCAGGCACCGAGCAATGGGAGCTCACCCCATCGCAGGGATTTGAACCGCCGACCTTCTGATCAGCAAGTCCTAGGCTCTGTGGTTTAACCCACAGTGCCATCCGCGTCCCTTTGTGGATATGGCTAAAGGTAAAGGGACCCCTGACCATTAGGTCCAGTCGTGGCCGACTCTGGGGTTGTGGTGCTCATCCTGTTTTATTGGCCGAGGGAGCCGGCATACAGCTTCCGGGTCATGTGGCCAGCATGACTAAGCCGCTTCTGGCGAACCAGAGCAGCACACAGAAACGCCGTGTACCTTCCCGCAGGAGCGGTACCTATTTATCTACTTGCACTTTGATGTGCTTTCGAACTGCTAGGTTGGCAGGAGCTGGGACCGAGCAACGGGAGCTCACCGCATCGTGGGGATTCGAACCGCCAGCCTTCTGATTGGCAAGTCCTTAGGTTCTGTGGTTTAGCCCACAGCGCCACCCACTTCCCTGTGGATATGGCTAGGTGTGTGTTAATCTGGGCCCTGCTAGGCCTACACATCCATTGCACTCAGCAATTGTTTTATGTTTTATGCATGCGGTAGAGCTGCCATGATGGATTAATATGGATATCAGTACGCCCTGCCTGTCTCTGTCCCTTTGTGCACATTATTCTTCTTGTTGTTGTTGCTTTAGGTAATGGAGACATTTTGCCAGTGCTTCACTCCAGCCAGGCAAAAGCACACGAGGAGGGTACATAGCAGTGCCAGTGAGGGGTTTGGCCTGGGGAGAGCCTGAGGGCCTGATAGCAAGACACCAGTGCTCTATTGAATGGCAGATTCAATTGGACGCAATCCTGCTTGATTTGGGGCTATTGTTTTGGTGTTTTTCTGAGATACACGTTTACATGATTGTGATCAAGAAGAGCAGACATACCGTACTAGAAGCTAAGCCCTTGAACTGTCAGTCATGGCCTGTGGGAGTCTGGTGTGTGGTCTGAAAGGCTGACAGCCTCCACCTATTCTCATTTTGCTTCATTCTAAGTTGGGCTAAACGTAATTGTTTAACAGACAGAAAATTTCAATTTTTTTTTTACTAAAGCGGACATCTGAGATATGCCAACATCTGTGCAATTGCATTAGGTTCTCTGCATGCATGCACATATTATTTTAGCTCTCCATATGCAGTCAAGTGGAAGTTCCCGGCCTCTTCAAATCTTCCTAGCTGGAAGGTTTGGCCACTGGCCTAGATGGAAGATGGAAGACAAAGAACAATTTGTGACAGTTTTTCTCACTATCACCACCACTCTTCAGTAGTATCGCTTTGTGGTTGTTAGTGGTCCCTGAAAGATTATCTAGCCATACACTTCAGTGTTTACTTGTTAATGCAATTAATTAAGCAAATTTATTGAATCCTAAATCAGGACAAATATGCCTTTTGTTACTGTGTGGACTTACTGCACAGGGTCATTTTTTGTAACTAGACAATACTCAGGTTCACCCATAGGTGGACCTTATGCAGAACTTGCATCATGTGTATGTTGCATATTTTCTGAATTTGTTTATGTGTATGTTGCATGTTTTCTGTTTGGTTAATGTCAGAAATCCCAGCTCTGACGTTCTGTTGATTCCAAACTAGTACAACAAACTGATAAGTATCCAGTGAAAGATCTGGCCAAGGTAAATTAATTGCACTAGAAATATTGATTTAAACCTATTTGCTTTCCTTAGCCCAGATCAGACTTGCTTAACTTAGAGGAACGGAAGATAATCTTCTGTTGACAGAAGGCACCAAGATCCAACAGACACTCCCTGCTGGATGGATGGAAGGGAGGTGATTTTTGCTGATTGCCCCTTGCCACTGGGCTGCTTTGGAGGGTCTCCCAGTTCTCCCTGGCAGATCTGTAGGGGGCACAGAGTGCTGAAGCCAGACAGGAGGGGGGAAATCAGTAAAAATCACCTTCCTCCCTTCTCTTTTGTGCAAGGAGAATTCTGCTGAGTACAAGTGTAGATCTAGCAACCCATTGCAAAAGAAATCGAACGCAGTCACTGAAGTACTAGCCCAGGGCACATCAAAAGCTCAGTTACAAGTTAAAACAAGCAAGCAAAAACCCAGACAACCCACATTTCCTTTTTCTACACTTTCCATTTTGAAGTGCAATATTGAAAATAAGCATTCCAAGTCTGCATCTGCATCTCGGATAGCTTGTAGATATTTTAATTGTTTTATCATTTGAATGCTTGCCGCACAGGCTCCTTTGGAAGGAAGGATAGGATAGGATATAAATTAAATAATAATAATAAATGAAGCCAAACTCTCATGGAAAACCTATGTTCTGAATCATGTTCCACTGGATTAAATCTCCAGCAATAAATTGGATATGTTCAAGGACACTGTGGCCAATTTCTTGCCATCTTCATCTGTCAGCCTATCTATTTCCCACTGTTCTAAGTAATAACTATCCTCTGTTTCTGCTCAGTGCCTTGCTGCTAGCCTGGAATTGAAAACTTCATTACCAAGGCAGGCTATTTTCAGGCAATTCTTCTGGTTGCTGCTTTTATACAACCCAATGCACATTTTCTCAGCATATTTTTGCCTAGGCATTAAGGTTTAATTAGAGTATATGAATTGACATAATAGAATGATAGGAAATTTAGTCACTTATTTAAAAGCATTTGTAAACCACTTAATATTTTAAATGTATCTAAGTAGTGTAATACACACACACACACACACATATGTATCATTAAAACAAAAATACAACCTAAAGCCAAGTTTTTAAGAGTAATAAGCATATAAAAACAAATAAATTCAACATATCAAACAAGCTCAAATATTTTGAGTTAGTGAAAGCCTGGGGGAAAAGATAATTTTTTACAAGATGTCTGAAGCAACATGATGGTTGCTGCTTCATGTAAACGTAAAGGGTAAAGGGACCCCGCGGACGACTCTGGGGTTGCGGTGCTCATCTCGCTTTACTGGCTGAGGGAGCTTCCGGGTCATGTGGCCAGCATGACTAAGCTGCTTCTGGCGAACCGGAGCAGCGCACGGAAACGCCATTTACCTTCCCGCTGGAGCGGTATCTATTTATCTACTTGCACTTTTGCATGCTTTTGAACTGCTAGGTTGGCAGGAGCATGGACTGAGCAACAGGAGCTCACCCCGTCGCAGGGATTCAAACCGCCGACCTTCTGATTGGCAAGCCCTAGGCTCTGTGGTTTAGACCACAGCACTACCCGCGTCCCACAAAGCAAATGTAGCTATGACATTACTGATAGTAACTCCAGCATACCCTTTCTTGGAAGCATTTTACACAGTACAAACCTAGGCTTGCTCACTCAAAACAGGGAGCCACAACCAGTCTCAGGTAATTCCACCTTTATAATGCATAGGTTTTCCAATGTTTATTTGCTCTGCAACAAGCAGCTGGTAGAGACTGCTGCATCATATATTTGTTGAACATCTATATCCCAGTGAGGAATGAAATCTCTTGCTAGGTGGCAGGAGCCTCTGTTCATGTCAGTGGAAAAGAGGGGCAGAGCAATGGGGCGGAGAGGGGTCAGCAAAGGGCACTATGTCACAGTGTACATTATGGCTTACACCATGCCCTGACCACTTGAGATGGACCGGGGTTCTAGTGTCATGGGCTGACCTCACTTCACTTCCACTTTACATTTCTTAAGTGTACACAGATAAAATTGAACAACCTGACCCTATGTACAGTTTCTACTATGCTCCTAGGCCTTACAGGTGAGATAGGACGGCACCCTTACGTATAAATCTAAAAATATATATCATGTGGCCCATAGTATTTTCTTTCATTACATTTTTGTCCACTCTTCTTACAAGGTGCTCGGCTCCCTGCAATTTTATCTTTACAACTGGTCTGTGAAGAAGGTTAACCTGATGAGCAAAGACTTGAGCCTAAGTCTTCTCAATAGAACTCCAGTTCTTTAACCACCACACCACTTGGGCCAACAAGTTGAGACTTGAGTCAGACAATCAGAGACTCTGATCGTCGATGGACCATCTAGGATTGGGAGCACAGCCTGTTCTGGATGAGGTTGTACTCCCTCTGAAGGAGCAGGTCTGAGGCTTGGAAGTATGCCTGGTGCCAGCATTGCTCCCTGATGTTCCAGTGGCTGCTGGAGTCAGGAGTGTTTTTGCATCATTTGTCTCCCTTCTCATAGGAAAGAGAGATTGGCTGCAGAAGCACATGCCTACTATGCATAGCTGTTAACCTTCCCTTTTTTTTTTTTGCGGGAAATTCCCTTATTCCAGCGCCGTTTCCCGCTGCTATCCCGGATTGTTAGATATCCCGTAGACTGTCCCCGGGACAGGTGAGGCTGCTGATCCCTTATTTTCGAGGCTGCTGATCCCTTATTTTCAAATCTGAAAGTTGACAGCTATGCCACTATGCACCTTGACTTCTGGATAAGCTTCATTTGCTGCCTCACCTTTCTCTAGCCCCAAAGCCATTGCGAATCACATGACTGGAAAACTCTGTGATGGATATGCTAACCTTTTTGCTGAATTGTCTTGAGAATGGGCCTTTGCTTCTGCCTCCATTTCAAAATGGTTCCTATGTTTAATCAGAGACTGTAATCAGAGTTGAGATAGCAGGGAGGAAAGTTTATATGAAGTCTACCAAGGGTGATAATGGTTGCCCCTTTTTCTATTCCATCTAATCTCTTCACTTTTGCAAGTTGCATGTGGCTGGGGGCAACAGAATTACCAACCTGATTTCCAGCATCATGTTCTCCACAGGGAAAGTACAGGAAGTGCAAGACCTCCCCAAGGCATTATTTCATTTGCAGAGCAAATGCAGCTCATTAAAACTGATGTGCTGCTGGCGAGGCCATTGGCGATACTGAACTCTCAGCACACACCTTTGAAATGGAATAAGTGAGGAAAAGAACCTATTCTGATTAAAGGAAACAGTTTAAATGTCTTACCTGGTTAAATTGCGGTTTTATAAATTCCAAGAACCATAAGCTAATTTTTAATGGATGTTCAGCAAGATCAAAAACAAAAGCATCAGTTTCAAGGCAGTATTTTGCATCCACAAAATGCCTCCAGGAATGATTCCTCTTGAGTGTATGCACATTAAATTATGTCTGAAATGAGGCACCTTATCAGGGGTTTCAAAATGATCACGATTTCCCTCTAGAATCAGGTCCCACAAAGTATGAAAGCAGAAGTAAAGTGGGCTGCTACATCCAGTTGTTAATAAAACCCAGACAGGCAGATGGCAAAAGGCAAGGCACCCACAGAGGACCTTCATTATGTAGTTTGCATCACATACTGAAGCCACATCTCATTACCCTGACCTTAGACACTTAAGATATAGATATTTTAGGACCCACTCTGTAATTCTGATGCCTGGGACCAGATGTAATCAGATCAGCTTACGTAGCACCTTCAGGTAGCAAAGGCTGCTGTAGAGAAGAACTGTGTTCTACGAGTTCCATTCAAGTGGTCTATATGGAAAGGTTAATCTGTATTTGAATGACGAAACTGACTTATTCCCCCCACCCACCCAAAGAATGGAGATTAAGGTCAGCAGCACTGGATTTTCCAAGCAAGCTAACAAGACCCTGGCATAAGGCCTATGATTTACATAATATGGTGCTGGTGTGGTCTATTTCTTCTCCACTACAAACTTTTCAGTTTAAGGATCCTTTTCAGCATCTTTCCCTTAGGGCTTTTGGTTTTCGTAATACAACACTTTTTTTTTTTAATGATAATGCTGGTGCTGAAGAAAATAAAAAGTCCAGGTGGTCTGCCAAGACCTCCAGAAATTTTCATGTGGTGGTCTACCAAAAGATAAAATAAGTTTGAGAACTACTACTGTAGAATTATTCTATATTCCATGACCCTAGGGTACGTAATCACATTACAATTGATGTCACTGATCCAACATCTCCAAGTGGACTTCATGGCTGAATGGAGATTTGAACCCTGATCTCCCAGATCCAGCACTCTAAGCACTACACCACAGTGACTCTCTTACACAGCACTTTGACTCATCTTGTGTCTAGCAAAAGGAAAAAAAGGGGGGATAGGACTTAAACAGATCATAAACTGCTACGATTATATATTCAGTTTCTCCCTCATAATCCTCATCGGTATCTAGCAAGATGCCAGCAGGACACCTTGTATGTACATTGTACATTCTGTTCTTGGGCAATCTAAATAGTGACCTGTGATTCACTCTGATCTTCTGGTAGATCCTGACCTGCTAGTTGGTAATCCCTGGATTTAAACCAAAAAAGCATTATGTAAAATTGCCTTTAGATTCATTGATAGCTTGGTTGATCTACAACCAATATGGAATTATTGCATTTAGATAACTCAGTTGTACTAAGTTTACATAGGACTAAGTTGACATTGACTAAGCTTAGGCAATGTCCAGCATATTAAAAAATGTTATGGTATCAATACAGGCATCACTTACTGAGGGCTCGATCACTCAGTGTCCCAATTTACGTAAGAAGGAATGGTTTATTGGTACAACCTTGACTGAAGAAAGATGTAGGTATATTTTGTATATTATTTATTTAAAAGATGTCTAGTCCACCTTTCAGCAGGACTCTGAGTGGTTTATAACAAGAAGATGAAATGCAAAGTAAAATATAATATAATGACAAGTTAAGAAAGAAAAGTAGATGAAAATAATACATGAAAATGCTTGGGAGACTCAAAAGTATTTGCCTGGTACTGAAATTAAAACAGTGTTGGTGCCAGGTAGATCTCTCTAGGGAGGGAATTTCACATACTGAACATTCTCTCACTGATCACCACCCACCATAACCTCTGTTCCTGGGCAGGTTGGTGTAGGATCAAGCATTCCTTCCAGGAAGTGGATAATAAGCTGTACAGCCAGGTTTGAGGAATTTTTGACCTGCCAAATATTGAAGATCTGCAACTCCCATCTGCCCTAGCAAGCATTGCCAGTGGCCATGGATTACGGAAAATGTAGCTCAACAACAGCTGGAGAATCAATGGTTCCCCACTCCTGCGGCATAAAATGGATGAACAGATTTTTCAAGTAAGTTTCTTACTGTATCTGAGATTATACTGTAAATTCTACAGTATTGGTGTAGAAAACATAGAAGAAGTATTGCTTAAAGTATCGGGTACAGTATAGAGGGTGTGGAAGAAGGGAGGTTGAATTGTACAAAAATCACACACCTTCCCATTCATCTTTGAACCGCCTCTTTTGAATAATTTAAAACAATTTGCTTCCTGTCGTTTTATATATTTTAAAAAATAAAATAAGTTTTAAAAAGTGACTTCAACAATCAATAATTATGTACCAGCTTTGAATGATAACTGATGGCATTTTTGTTATCCGGCACACATTTTACTGTTAATATTCTTTATTGAATTTCAATTGAGTACTGATATTACACAGAGGCTGGTTTTTATGTCCAGCACATTTTATCTAAAGTAGAGATGTGGCTGAAAGGGCTGCATATTGATTTATAGCACTGGCGTTTTACATATTGCAACGCTTTCGAGTATAAAGGACTTTTAAAAATTCTGCAGGGAAGAATTTATGGGACTTTGCAACAGAAAGGTTGCAAATATATACAACTGTTACCTTGCATTCTTTAGGGACATTTTCCTCCCGCCTTTAGTCGTCCATCCCCAAGATCTTTCAGAAACGTTCATTCTTCTTCTCGGAAACTTGGCTAATGCGTAGTTGAAATCGTTGTGCGCCAAGCGCCGAGCAGGGAGCAATTACTTCCTGAATGAAAGCGCAGCGTGGCGCTTAATGAGACAACGAGGATCCTGCGAGGTGCTGATTGGCTCTTCTTCCGAGGGGAAGTTTGTTACAAATAAAGATGCTTCTCGAGTTCGGGAGAGTCAGACAAAGGCCGGGCAGCAACGCGGCTGCCTCGTGGGCTTGGACTGAAGATGCAGAAATTGTGTCAGAGAAAGCCCAGCCTGTCTCGGCCGCTGAAAATGAAACGGCACGCGCCTCCCTTCCCCTTGATCTTCGTTATCTACTGCGTTTGCACCGCACGATTCACCTCAGGTAGGAGCCGCGTTCCCCACAATGTGTATTATTTTAGATACTTAAGACTTTTTATACAGCGTCCTTCATTATGTCTATGGATGAACGATCTGGAAAGTTTACAGCAGAACTGGGGGGAAATGGAAGAAATGCTTCGCAGGTTTCCTGTCCGTCTAACGAGAGGTTTCTTGGTTGTAAGCCAAGCTTACTTCTAAGAGGAAACTTGCCCAGGAATCTTGCGCATGAGGGAGTCAGAAGCTACTGCTGTAGCAAGTAAACAAAAAAAAAAGGGCTTCCTTTAACTTTTACTAATCTGGCTCAGTCTTTAAGAAATGAGCAATAGCTTCCCCATGCGCACAACTCCACGACGGTTTTTGCGTGAAGTGGAAGAATCCTCTCCTGTGGAGGGAAGAGCATTTGGGAAGCTTTCCTGATCTAGTAGTAATCTAAGAGTAAAAAGGCTTCGAGCTTTTGCCACAGTGGATTAGGGTTTCCACCGGGGTCTTTCTCTCTCCTGAAAGAGGAGGAAAGTTGTAAATGAAAGAGCGGCCAATCACTTAAATAGGAGAAGCAGAAGTAGAGCCTCTAAAATTTCTCTCTAGATAAAGCTCTACGTGGTCAAGAGAGTTTGTTAATAGTACAGTTAAAAGGATCCGGAGACGGTTCAGAAGCTCCAGCACCTGCGATGCTCTCCAAGGTGCTGAAACGAGGATGACCGTCTCGTCTCTTTATAAAACGTGTTGTATTTAGCACAAAGCCTGAGAAAACGTAGGTATCGGGACACAGATTTAATTTAAATTGTTTTAAATCATTTAAAACAAAACTTAAGCGTGTGTGAATTGTGAGAAGGGTGGTAATAAATAGATGTTAAGTTGGTGTGTGTGTGTCTGTTTTCTCTGTGAGGAAACTATGTCCAGTTTCATCGTCATCTATTTATGCCATTCTGATCTACGGACTATTAAAAAAAAAAACTAATCAAAAGAGGCTAATTATCACTGTACTGTATAATAAGTTTTTAAAAATGTGCACATACACACTCAAAGAGTCAACCGAAGACAGTAGTACAATTCTCTTAAGTGCCTTCTGTTGGACTTGCCCTGTCTTTCTTTAGATCCTTACGCAATTAAGTCCCGTTAATTAAGACCCATGCTGTAGTGTATCTAATGCTTTCTTACTGTTTCTCTTTAACAGGATTTCCACAGCCCTTTGATGACTATCTAGGCGAATCAGACATTCCTAAAAGCAAGGTATGCAAACTTTTTAATAAATTTCCATGCCTGTGCTTGGAACACCTATCCCAAAAGTGTGTGAGATCCCATGGGAACAGTGAATTCTACCACTATTATAGAGGGAAGACAGCCTGGTATATGCCTGATGCATGTAACAAGAACAATTGGTTGCTGCATCCCCATGTTCACTGCAGGAACAAAATCTGTTGATCTAGTGTATATATAAGCTAAAGAAAATCTTCAAAAATGTTGCCAATATAATAAACTTTCCGATTTCTCTACCCCACTCCCTCCACTTCTGATTTAGAGACTAGCATGGTGTTTCTGTCAGTAGATGGAACTGTCTGAACAACCCCATGTAAAAATAAGTTGTAATAAATTTTCAGTAGCATAGATTAGGGATTTTCGAAGTTTCTATCTCCGGGGCAGACATGAAAGGGTTTGAGGCCCGCCAGTCACAAAATGGAGGTGTTGTGAGCAGTGGATGGAAGCAGAGTTTGACATAAACATGACTGACATAATTTTATTCTGATACCTAATCACTCTTTGCCACAGCAATTTCTTTATGGTGGCAGGGAGTTTCATAGTTCACCATTACTCAAACTAAATAAAGACTCTGGAGTGTGATCCTGTCAGCACATTGTGTCTCTGCTCAAACATTCGCACTGGCCACTGATTCGTTACCAGGCCAAATTCAAGGTGTTTTTATTAGTGTATAAAAGCCTCATTAGCTTGGAACCAGTTTACTTGAAGAAAACCACCTTATCGTTTATGGGCTCACTAGACCACCTTGATCTGTTAGAAGTTGCACTTTTAATGTTTTGTTTGACTCTTGTGGCAGCACTCTAAATTAAATAAAAATTAATTTTATGGCCAAAATCAGACATAGTGGTTTTATATCAAAACAACTGCAAAATATGTAATGCTTGACTAACTATGTTTGAAAATAATTTATATTAGAATTATTTTTAAATTTTATGTTTGTATAATTACCTCTATTTTTTATTATTTGCTTCAAACACATCAATATTTAGTTTAAGCTCTTTTTGTCTTCTAGATCTGCCGTTCTGTTATGGATCTTTGTAACTCCATGTTTAATGGCATGCAGATAGATGAGGTATGATCCGATTCTTTCTTTTCTCTGAAAACTCTGTCACAGTATTTATGTAGTTAAGTAATCATCAGTCCTCATGTAATCTGATATGCTTCTCCTCACTAGGAAAATAATCAGGAAATATATAAAAGAGTAAGTATTTACCTTTCTTTATAATATACACAATACCTGTTTTTCTTTAAATAATGCAACATACTAAAATAGCTCTTTCTATGCAGTTTTTATTTCACTACTCCAGAGCTCAAGATCCAACATATCCACTTAAAACCGGGGTTAGTATTTTAACATAAGCATATTTTATATTTTATACATCACAACATACAAAATAGTATAGAACAGTATATAAAATCTTTCACGTGCCTTGAGTGTATTTATTAGCGATGCAAGCCTATGCATGTCTGCTTGGAATTAAGACCCATTGAAACCAATGGCGCTTATTACAAAGGAATTGTGCATAGGATTGCAACTCAAGTCCACAACTTAAGCCAGGCAAATAATGTCAAATAAGATTTATCTCACATCTGGACCATACATTTAAAGCACTCTCATACCTCTTCAACAGTCCAGGCTTCCCCCAAAGAATCATGGGAACTGTAGCTGTGTGAGGGGTGTCCTAATAACTCTCAGGACTCTTACAGTTCCCAGTAATCTTTGAGGGAAGTCATGATGGTCAAAGTGGTATAAGAGTGCTTTAAATGTACAGTGAGGAAATTGACAGGATCTGAAAAAATCTTGCAACCAGATTCATAAGCGCCCGGTAGGGTTTTAGACAGCCACCAACGGCACACACTCCCTTCAGTGTAACATGGGAACCATCTATCAAAGGGGGAGGGGGAATGAAAATCCATTAGCCTAATACAACCCTCTCTTTCGAACAGTTAGTGAATGACTTTACCCACAAAAAGCTTTAGCAATGACTTTATGAAATATATATTTTTTTTATTTAGTATATCTCTGTATGTATACATATACAATTAGTAATGGTTATTCACTTCATTAAAACAATGGCAAGAAGTGTGCCACAGTATGGCCCAATACATGTTTGCCCTGAACAGACCCCACTTAGTTCTATGGAGCTTTATGCCTAGTGAGTGCGTTTAGGATTACAGCATAAGGGATCTGCTCCTAATTACCCAGCACCTCTGCACTGCTCTACAGTCCTGGCAAAGCCCCCAAGAGATGTTTTTCTGGCTGCACCTGAAACTTCTTGATAAACTTATTTTGGGACTTCATATTTTGAATGAGCCAGTTCCTTATAAAGTCATCTATGTTGAGATGATGTTACAGGTAGATTAGGAATGTCACTCTGTCAGTGAACCATATAGCTGTCATCTAGGCTTTACAGATTTATCTTTCTAATTTTTGTCTTTGCATAAAATTGGTGTTCATGATATCTCTTTGTTACAGTCTTTCCCTGTGCATCCTTTAATGAGCCTTGCTCCAAAGCTCTCGGAGAGGAGAATGAAAAGATTCCTTGATCCTGTATGCACTCGCTTCATCCATAGTATTTTGTGACACAAACACTTCATTTTGACTTTTTCCTTTTCTACTAAAAAGCCATTGTACTGGTGGTGAAATTGTGTGCATTTGTCTACTCTCATTTCCTTCTTATCTCCCTTTCGTTTTCTTAAAACATTCTATCATTCCCCCCCCCCGAATTTCCTTATTGTACCCCATTTTTAAAGTTTATTCAAAGTAAGTCACAACCATCATTGTCGATGTGACTATTCCTGTTAGTTAATTCTTCTAGTGTTTGTGAACTGCTAGGCACATACACTATCCCTACCCAAAGGATGGTCAAAATCTCCAGTATCACTCCTGTATTGGTGCTGAATGCTGAAGCAACTTTGCACAGGGCTTTTGCATGCAGGAACATACTGCACTGTAATATCCTTAACTGGTAGAATAATTCATTCCCATTGCATTCAATTGCAACGTTTTGTTGACTGACATCTGTAGGAGACTGGGTGTAGCAGATACAAAAAAACCCAACAACTCTGTAGCAATGTAAACTACCAGCTGCATCATTTGACTAGTTTAACGTTCAGTGAAAATGTAGAGAATGGTACTAGGAACAAATTTACAGAATAAATAATAGCACTTTCAAAAATCAGTACTAAGATCTAACTTTCCATTTGAGCTTTGGTGTTGTTCTCAAGAGCATGATCACGCCATTTCCATTTAAGAGACAGAAGCATGCGCTATACACGTTGCTTGGCCAAAGAAAAACCTCAGATGAATTCAAGGTGTTTAGCGTTCTCTTTCTATTTCCAACATTGCCTGTGGTTTTGTGTTTCGAATGCTTTAGCCTAATGTCATGTACTGGAGCAGTCTGCTAGCTTCTGCTGAAAGGCATCAACCTATGGGCATTAGGAGATGATGAAATTAACATGCACTATCACCTTGCAGGAATCTCAGCTTGCGGCCGAAGAATTCTTGAAGAAGGTAGGCTTAAAATGCTGGCATTATTGTGCATATGTGTTACAAACAGCTCCCAATGCTCAGTTAGTTTGTTTTGCCACCCTGTGAGCTGTCTGGGTCAGCATATCAAAGAGACAGAAGGCAAGGAATGGCAGGGGTGATGCCAGCAACACAGTAAATGTTTAAATGCTCTGCCCTTTGCTTCTCCTACTTTGTGAGTGAGCACGGGGTAGACTCTTTATACATTCAAAGCAAACATAGCTATGATGGTTCATAAGAAAAATGGGAAGGGGGGGGATCACCCCAAACCAGGCAAAGATTTGCTCAATTTGGGGCAATTTTGTCCTCCCTTAGCAGCCCTCGGAATGCCATGCCAAATTGTTCAGGGGGCATCTCTAACCTTCTTAATATGCTTAATGGGGGTCACAGTGTCATCTCTATCTTCCTCTTCTCCTTGTTCCTATTTCTCTGTTGGTGGTTGCTATACTAAGGCTGCAGTCCTAACTTATCCACTACCACCCAGCTGGTGGGGCTTTTTTGGAATGGCAGGGCCACCAATGCATCTGAAGCCCTGCTGCTCAGAAAGTCTGTGGTGGAAGAAGGAGTGCCAACTTGATTAAATTATTGGGGGGGGGCAAGTAAACCCTGTCCCACATAATCAACCACATGTCGCGGTGCAGGGCACAATTTGAATGGCAACGCCCATCAACTTTGGGGAGCCTGGCCCCCTCAACTGTTTTATTGGGGGGGGAGGGACCTTGGCCTCCTAGGAGTTGGCTCCTATGTGCGGAAAGCAGAGGAAAGGATGATGCGCCCAAATCCATGCTCCCGGCTAGTGCACCAACTGGACCTGACCCTGTCACACAACAGCAGTGAGATCAGAGCTCAGGATCCAATGGATCATGGACCAGCCTCTTCCTTGCCCCAGAACACCTCGTTGTGGTGTTTTCCTGGCTACCACCCATCCAGACATTCAGCAGGTGGAAGCAGGAGGTTAGAGCCAAGGGAATGATTCTTGTGTCACTTCCCTTGGTAATGGGTGGCAGGAGCCAGCTTAGTCAGGAGAGCTGGGTGGAGGGATAAGTCTACTCATTCCGACTGCCCTCCCCAGTCTAGTTTAAATGGGGGGGGGATTGGATTGCTTTGACCAGCTGCCTTCCTATGCATATTTACCGAGGAGTGATCCCCATTTTGAGTAGACATGCATAAGATTGCACTTGAACCCCCTATATTGCTGGGAGGAAAGTTTTGGCTCTGCTGGCTGCAGGATCTCATTGGGCCCCACTACACTGCAGTATTTCAGAACTCCTGACCTATGTCAAAGTGCACAATAGGTTTAGAAACATTTTGCCAAGTCTGCTTTATTTCTTTCCTTCTACAGGACAGCTTGGATACCTTGGGCCGACCCTTTTTTCTCTTCAGGGTATCTAATTTTATTTGTTCATTATCAGAAAAATAAAATTGAACCATACATAGTTTCCCCTCTTGGTATAAAAAAAATGAAAATGAAAACAGCATTTATAAGGCCTGCCGCCCGAAACACACACCATTATATCAGAGCTTTCCAAACTGTGTGTCGCAGCACGTTAGTGTGTCGGCTGCAGTGTGTAGGTGTGTTGTGCGAACGCTGTCCGCCTTCCTCCCGGGGATGGAAAGGGGTTAGTTTAACCTTCAGTTTGCTAGTAAAACTGAATTCTGTGTCATGAAATGATGCACATCTGAAAAGTGTGTCACCAACATGAAAAGTTTGGAACGCTCTGCATTATGTGATACTAGCATGTGTTAAAATCTACAGTTCACCCTACACTGTGGTCTCACTGTAGATTGCATTAGGCTTCCTTACCGCAATACAATATATTTAGTGGTGCTATCAAGGCAGCAATTGGGGCAGGAGTCCAGTGGCCCACTCAACAGAATGAGCTGCAGCTGTCCCTCACTCCACAAATCCAACAGGACTGGGGAATAATACGTATTGACTATATACAGAGTCATTCCCCATTGTAAGATCATTCGGTCCAAAATCTAAAATTACTTAAGTGTATCACTGCATCTGTTTCTTATCCTAAATATCTAGAGAATTTAAATAATTAAAAAGCCAGAGGAGCTACACAAACAAATACATTATTGTAATTTTTAGAATGTTTCAGTTGTTTTAGAATGTTGTTGCTTCTGTGCAAGGACTTTCACTTGTACAGCAGGGCTTCTCTCCCTCTTCTCCCCTTACATCCCCTCAAATTGGCTTATAAGGGTCTGAAGAACCCACAAAACAGCACACAGCAGGAGGAAATTGTTCCGCCTGGAAAGCTGGAGTGCTTGCGCAAATGGGACCTTCATAATAATACAAATGCTTAATTCCACCCCAAATATCTGGCAAAGAATTGCCCCCACCCACCCTTGCCATGGCTTCAGTGCAACTTATATGCTGCTTAAATGGAGGAGTGCAAGCAGTAGAGGGCATCTGCTCACAGACCAGCATATATGAATGGGAGGCATGGAACGATAACCACATGCCTGCATGCTGACAAAACATTATGACAGCCAGTCGGAATGCAGCGCAGTTGTTCTAGTCAGCAAAGTGATGCTCTTTTGCAAACTCTCACCTTTGAATGACCTTGAGCTGGAGAAGCACCTGGTGTGCCGACAAAGTCAACTCTGCACCTCTTATTTTCTGCTGTTCACTTTGTGGCAAAGCTGGAGATTATGCTTCTCAATGTTACACACTGCAGTGTGTTTAATTTATTTTTCTTTGCGTGTTAAATTTTCAGCCAAGGAATGGAAGGACAGTGGATAATGGAGGTGAATAGGACAGTCAAAAGGTCGTGTATTTATTTATTTATTTACAACATTCATATTTGTTTGTGGCGGTAATGATGATATCTCAATGGGGTGCATGTATCCTCTCCTATAATAATGAGCATGGAATGACATGGACGTAGCTGGGGGGGGGGGAGAATATTTTTATAAGCATGTTGATGTCAGTGAAACAGTTCACATGTATAGTACTACAGTGGTGCCCCGCAAGACGAATGCCTCGCAAGACGGAAAAACCGCTAGACGAAAGGGTTTTCCGTTTTGAAGTTGCTTCGCAGGACGAATTCCCCTATGGGCTTGCTTCGCAAGACGAAAATACCTTGCGAGTCGAGATTTTTTTTTCGCTTTCCCCCCCCTTTATCTAATCTGCTAAGCCTTTAATAGCCTTTAATAGCCTTTTAGCAGCTAATCCCCTAAGCCTTTAAGCCTTTAATAGCCGCTAAACCGCTAATAGCGCTAATAGCGCTAATCCGTCAATGGGCTTGCTTCGCAAGACGAAAAAACCGCTAGACGAAGACTCTCGCGGAACGGATTAATTTCGTCTTGCGAGGCACCACTGTACTTCACATGTTGTTGTTTAGTCGTGTCCGACTCTTCATGACCCCATGGACCAGAGCACGCCAGGCACTCCTGTCTTCCACTGCCTCCCGCAGTTTGGTCAAACTCATGTTGGTAGCTTCGAGAATACTGTCCAACCATCTTGTCCTCTGTCGTCCCCTTCTCCTTGTGCCCTCCATCTTTCCCAACATCAGGGTCTTTTCCAGGGAGTCTTCTCTTCTCATAAGGTGGCCAAAGTATTGGAGCCTCAGCTTCACAATCTGTCCTTCCAGTGAGCACTCAGGGCTGATTTCCTTCAGAATGGAGAGGTTTGATCTTCTTGCAGTCCATGGGACTCTCAAGAGTCTCCTCCAGCACCATAATTCAAAAGCATCAATTCTTCGGCGATCAGCCTTCTTTATGGTCCAGCTCTCACTTCCATACATCACTACTGGGAAAACCATAGCTTTTATTATACGGACCTTTGTTGGCAAGGTGATGTCTCTACTTTTTAAGATGCTGTCTAGGTTTGTCATTGCTTTTCTCCCAAGAAGCAGGCGTCTTTTAATTTCATGGCTGCTGTCACCATCTGCAGTGATCATGGAGCCCAAGAAAGTAAAATCTCTCACTGCCTCCATTTCTTCCCCTTCTATTTGCCAGGAGGTGATGGGACCAGTTGCCATGATCTTCGTTTTTTTGATGTTGAGCTTCAGACCATATTTTGCGCTCTCCTCTTTCACCCTCATTAAAAGGTTCTTTAATTCCTCCTCACTTTCTGCCATCAAGGTTGTGTCATCTGCATATCTGAGGTTGTTGATATTTCTTCCGGCAATCTTAATTCCGGCTAGGGATTCATCCAGCCCAGCCTTTCGCATGATGAATTCTGCATATAAGTTAAATAAGCAGGGAGACAATATACTACTTCACATACTCAGGCAAAATTGCTCCCCAATACATGGTCTGTGTCATTGGCATTAGCAGCGCCACTAGGGGCAGGTGATGCTGGGTTTCATCCCATTCTTCAGTCATGTGATCACCATCATCAAAAGTTGACTGGAGCTGCACATGGGTCTCGTGCTACGTGATCTGGAACACCATGTGCAGCTACAGCACACAGATTTATGCTCACAGCACCCCTGCAGAGCAGATCTGTCAGGAGAGTGAGTCAGGAACAGGTTGGCAATAGATCAGCGAAGTTTATTCTTTATTCAAGGGAACATGGTTGGCTCAGGAGACCAGGCCTAGTGAGCACAGCAACTCGTCCCAGTAGATCTTGCCTCTATGAGGCAGTTGTGGGGACTGAAGGTCCCCACCGCCCCACAGTTCCCTAAGTCTTCTCCTCCACCGGGTCATTCCCAAGCCATCTGAGACTATATCGCCACAGCTGTCTTTACTCCACTCTCTCCACGCTTCTTTTGGTTCTGGGAGACCAGGAGGAAGGGGAACTTGTCACAGCAGGAAGGGAAGACACCTTGGTTTCTTCACTAACCTTACTCATCTCTTCCTCTTGGCCCTCTCTCATCTCCAGTCTCTGCTTCTGTACTGTTCTCTACCACAGACTCCCCCTGCTCACTAAGCCCTGTTACTGTCTCAGCTTCCAACACTTTTCCCCAGTGTGCTCATCTTACCACCACCAGTCCCCTAGCTCTGATCCTTCTTCCCTTGGGGTTTCTCTAGTTGGTGCCTCCCACTATTCCTCTGCATCCAGCCAGTCCATGACACCATTTCACAATCCATTACCTTTTGCATGAATCAAGGCATCTTTGTAGAAACAGAATAGAACTTCTTGTGTCCAAATGGCCGGGAAGAGTTGGGATTAAAGGACTGTTTTTGCCATGAAGGTGTTTGGACAAATAGCTTTATGTTTTTTAAATGGTTCCAATATCTGAGATTGCTAATAAGATCCCTGCTGTGTTTTAAAATAATTTGGTGTTACTGCCAACAAGCAGTTTCCATGTAGGAAGAAGAAAGGAGCTCTAGCTTTTAGAAGTAGACTCATTATGCCATATACTGCTATGTATGCCAACTTCCTCATAAGGAGTGCACTGACTGGAACTTCTATGCATCTGTGCTCTGCCTAGCAATGTGATGCATCTCCTGTTTGTTGTGTTTCTTGGTCATCGGCAGAAAATTACAATCTTTTCTCTACCAAAAAGCTTCTTGCTAACTACATGTTTTAGCCTTTTTGAATCCAAGTGAATATTTTTTATTTTAACTACCAGCCAGTTCAGCTGAAGTACTGGAAATCATAGCTGCTACATACAGATCATATTATTTTGTAGTACTGGTAGGCTTAAAGCTTTCAGAATTGACACAACTGCCCTAAAGATGAAGGGTCCAATCCAGTAGAATCATAGAATTGTAGAGTTGGAAGGGACCACAAGTGTCATCTAGTCCCAAGACCCTGCAATCTTTTGCCCAACATGGGGCTAAAACCCACGGCCCTGAGATTAAGAGTCCTGCTCTCCCAACTGAGCTATCCTATTACCAAGCCTTTCTGGATCAGACCAAAAGCTTGACTAGTCCAGCATTCTCTATTCACAGTGGCCAACCAGGTGTCCATGGCATGCCTGCAAGAAGGCTGGACTGCAACAGTGTTCTTGCAACTTGCATTGTCCAGCAACTGGTATCTAGAGGCATACTGCAGTAGTTATGTGCAGCCTTCTTGCAAGAGCATCTTTGCATAGAGGACATCATCTCCATTAGGGGACGGAGAGGGAAGGCTTCAACAGTTGATTGGCGAATGCCTTAAGTATTTAGATTCCTTCAAAGACTAACTATTTTTCTTTCAGACTTTTCTTTCAGACTTCAAGGAAAGAGAAAACCCAAGGGTCACTTGACTTCCTCGCTCTACCACTTTAAACTCTGAAAATAAACGTTTGGACTACTAGTCCGCTGTTCAGAGACATGCTCTTGAAGCCTGTGAAGTTACATGTAATAAATTTGCAGCCATAAATTATACCTGTATGGTTTCTCTGTGTGTTCATGCCCTCCCTTTATACTCCCAATCCCCATATGTACCCAGCTGAATATTCATTTAGGTTTGCCATGTCCTCATTTAGCAGAAACCCAAATGTGTTCTTTGTTAAAAAGAAATAATTATGATTCAGTGAATAGTTACTCAGATGTGTCTGCTTTATTTGTGGCTAAGTCATGATAAAGGGACAAGTTGTTGGGATGTGAATAGCTGCTTGGGGAGGATATATTTATTAGATATTATCCTTCCTTACGTTTGTGAGTTCAGCAGCTTAAAAGAGAAGCTGCCCCCATCAGTACAACACAGAGGCAGCCATTTTGTTGTACATGCAATGGCCCTCAGCACATAGAAGTACACATGAAGTAGCATGGTTCCTGCACCATTTTAAAAAGCATTTTTATCAGGCATGGCAGAAGTGCTGTGCTTTCAAGCTGCTCCAGGCCTCAGCTTTAAACTGCTTAAAGCAGCAGAAGTGGAGATGCAGAACTGCTCTTGGTACAACTCATGTGGACTCTTCACTTATTATTTTTTTAATTACTGTTTTTAATCTCCAGATTTTTAAAGATTTTCCTGGAATCATCCTAAAAATCCCCCTGGTACATAATTTAAGACGTACGTGAACGAAATCAGAACAGGAAGGACAAATATGGATTCTGTCTGCCTCTGGGATAGGTTCTGTCCATCAAGTGATTGACAGATTAATGGCCCCACAAACCTGTCAGAAATGACCCAGAGAGAGTGGGCCAGTTCTGGATTTGGCCCACCATTATACAATAATCCAAGAGTAGAGTAGGGTGAACTATTTTGATATAGCTCAAAAAGTCTTCAAAACTGTAAGAAAATTCAAACTTTGAATTTTGCCCACCCAAACCCACAACAGTATTTTCAACACACAGTAGACTTCAGTGGCAGAAGCCTCTTGCACACAGAAGGTATTAATTAAAACAACAGCTTTCAAGTCCGAATTCAACTTCAGCTATGGGCAAATCCTCCTGTTCATTCCTGGGGAAGTGAATCACAGCCCAGTCGCTAAAGGGAACAGAACAGAGGATGACAACACTTTTTTTAAAAAAGGAGAAACAAAGCTCTCTAATGGTCAAGCCCTGTTCCTTAATTGTCAAAGACTGGTGGAAGCCATCCTGTGGTTTTTCAAGTTAACTCGGCGAGCAAAACTCAATTTCATCTCCATCACGGGGCCTCATGAAGCTGAACTCGTAATGTATATTAAAACCTTGCAGGAGGTTCCAAAACACCATCTTGGTTTTATCTCATAGGGATCTAAAAGATATTTGAAGTTGTACATTTCAAACTCACATGCAGAAAACCTGAGACGTAAACACTACGGTATGTTAATTTCAACATATCTTTCTTCTAATGAAAGCATTTTACATCAAATTAGAGGGTTGAAGGTACGGGTGGTGAAGCTGCAAACCGAAACATATCACCTCCATCTGCCTCAGCCATTACAGTGCGAACTGTGCGCATTAAGGTTGTGGTCCTAAGTGTGCTTATTTGAAAGCAAATCAACTGCTGTCAGCAAGAACGACTTGCAAGCAAATCTGGCTAGGATTGCATTCTGCAAGAAGCTGATTCACATTGGCGCACACTCCTAACTGTGATATTACTTGGCTGCTTCCAAAGCTAGCTCAAGACATTTCTGGTAAAATGATTGGAAAGCTTGTTACAATCAAGCAGCAGATAATTTTGGTCAACTAAAACAAATTTTGAAACCTGAAGTGAAAGACAAGATGCTGCCCGGCCTGCTCCATTCTACATACAGAAGTCTAGCAGGCTGGCATTTTAATCTTACTTCAGCACTGATAAGATAGTACTCTCCACCTTGCCTGAGGGCAGCCAGCTAGCTTAGGGGGCACAGAGCAGGCTGCATGGAAAACACAAACAACTCTGTACTCCAAAGTGGCTGTCTTTGTCGGATGCTAAGGGTCACCACCTCTAGCTACTCCACCATTATCAAGCATACGAAATGGTAAAGGAACCCCTGACCATTAGGTCCAGTCGTGACCAACTCTGGGGTTGCGGCGCTCATCTCGCTTTATTGGCTGGGGGAGCCGGCATACAGCTTCCGGGTCATGTGGCCAGCATGACTAAGCCGCTTCCAGCGAACCAGAGCAGCGCATGGAAACACCATTTACCTTCCCGCAGGAGCGGTACCTATTTATCTACTTGCACTTTGACGTGCTTTTGAACTGCTAGGTTGGCAGGAGCAGGGACCGAGCAACGGGAGCTCACCCTGTCACGGGGATCGAACCGCCAACCTTCTGATCGGCAAGCCCTAGGCTCTGTGGTTTAACCCACAGCGCCATGCGCGTCCCTTACCTGCTGGATGAGAACAGCCCAAGGTCATTACAAGAATTGCGCTACTGCAGGGTCAAGAAGGTGGTGAAGCAAGCAATCAAGCTGGCCAATGTCTAAGTTCATAGGTCAGTGGCTGGGAACCCATAGGTCTTAAAAATAACAGCTCAATTGCTTCACACAACAACTTGTGTGGGTCTGTAATGGAAAGTCATACAAGTAGGAAAGATACTGTAGCTAGTTCACAGGTCATTAGACACAACTGTTAAGGCTAATTAAAAGCATACAACATTTCTCTGTACATTATAGAATTTGCCTTTATTTTAACATTTAATAAACATTTAAAGTTTTTGTTTTTTGTTTTTTTACAACAGACCATACGAATGATGAATGCCCCAAAGAACAAAAGCTAAGCTTCTGACAATACAACCTTTCTGGCAGAGTCTGTTCTTGCAAGATACCGAAATGCTGAAAGTTTTATAATTCCTGGGATTCGGGGTGTCCTGTGGCTTCCTTACGCTGCAGAGTCTTCTTGGGAATAAGCTGGGTATGGATGTTGGGGAGAACTCCACCTTCCGCAATGGTCACATGCGCAAACAGCTTGTTCAGCTCATCATCGCTTCTGATCGCCAACTGGATGTGGCGTGGCCCAATTCGTTGCTTCTTGTTCTCATGAGCAGCATTTCCCGCCAGCTCCAGTAGCTCTGCAGTCAGATATTCCAACACGGCAGCCATGTACACCGAGGCGCCAACACCCACTCTTTCTGCATACCGACCCCGTCTCAAAAGACGTCCAATGCGGCCCACTGGGAACTGCAAGCCAGCTCTTGCACTTTTGCTTTTTTTTACCTTGATTGCAGGCTTTGCCGGCTTCTTGCCGCGCCCAGACATCTTGGATCCTACAAATAAGAGAGGAGAGCCCACCTCCATTACACAATGCAAATGGCTTTGTGAGGTGTCCAAAGCCTAGTTGACCTTCCTGCAATCTGGAAGGAAGAGTATTTGGAGAACCAAGCGCCTAAGAATTTTCTGTAATAACGACCTAGGATGTGGCGTTAAGATTTACATTCTTCTAAGCAGACTGGTTTTCTGCCAAATCAAGTTCAGCCATTTTAGGACCAGGTCAGCCAAAGAGGAGCTGTACACCAGTTGCTGGACTCCAATTCCCATCAGCCACAGCAACTACAATTGTAGGCCAACAACATCTGCATACCATCCAGCATTTCTCCGATGAACATAAGGACATCATCTCATTCCATAATGATGATTTTACTATTTATACTCCATGCTTCCAATAGATATAAAAAATATAATAAAACCTTAAACAACGTTCCCTATGGAGTATTAACTTCAGATGGCTTGGGTGTTGGATAGCTCAATACTTTCCAACATTTCTCCAATTTAAATAGGGACATCCTAAGGAAAAATAGGACATTCCAGGATCAAGTAAGAAACTGGGATGCTTTTCTAAATCGGGAACGTCCCTGGAACACAATAGAAACACTTGGAAGGCCTGCATCCGAAAGGGCACCATGTTTGCTATCCCTGTTTAAAATAATGCTACCACCCCATAGTAAGGTATAGAAAGTGAGGAAGAAGGAATTTTTGCCACTGATAGCACTGATAGTCAGTAGCAAAAAGTGCTAGGACAAAAAGCTGCTAGAGAATTCTGCTTCATCAAAAAAGATGTCAGTGTCATATACCCACTTAGTAATTCTTTTAAAAATTATATAATTTTTATTCTCTAAAATACAGCTACATGGTGTTAAGTCAATGCAGGAGCTATGCCTCTTTACTAGGAATGTTATTGTATACGTCCAATGGTGGCTTGCTCCTCAGACCTTAGAAGGCCTTATGTCTCACCATACAGTTAAAAGTTTCATCTGCTATATTTCTTAAAAAACATGATTAGCCTACCATTAAAGGCCAAGCAGGGTTTCCCACCCCCCTAAAAAGCTTTTAAAAATTAAAAAGGAAAGGAAAATCTAACAGCAATCAGTAGTACACATAATATACGTGTGCTAATATATATTATTGTTAATCATAATGCATTTATTAATCATAACATATTATCTTTAAGCATAACATAGGCAATACTTATATGTATTAGTATTATATTATAAACTAATTAAACCACTTGCATTTTTTTTCATTTCAAAAAAACCCACTCACCTTCTTATTACAGCAGACAACTACGAAGACAAGAGTTTTCTCCTCCTTTGACATAACCCTCTTTTTAAACCAATTTGTTCAGAACAGCTGCATCCAATTTGTCAGTATTTCTGACTTTAATGGATACCAATCCTTTTAATTTAAAGAAGTCCCATTGCGATCAGTAGGGTTTGAGAGGGTATTTTACCACAATTATGACACTTTCGGAAAGCTAATTTTAATTCTCAAGGGAAGTAATAGAACCGTTCTATTCTGCCTTGGTTAGACCACATTCAATATGTTTTCCACCTACCAAGGAAACTTTCCACTGAGAGATGGAAATAGAGATATGGGTAACAGCTGGGTTTTATATGTTAAACAATGGAGGATAAACTATGGTATGTTTTATTTTACCCCTGCAGTCCCAATGACAACCTGAAACCTGCACAGAACCTGGTGGAGCCTAATTTGAACATCTGCTGTCTCCTCTCATGGCCCGTTTTAAGATTATGGGCTCCTCCATACTTATAATGAGCATTTATTATGATTGGTTTGAATGTTATGACAGCCATAGCATATCAAAGCAGAGCAAACAGAAATGGACTTTGGTTTTAGAAGTTATCTTAAGAGAACTACACACTTTCTCTCTTTCAAGTATCCCCCACCCAGACTGTTTGGGGTCTCTTTTTGTCTCTCCTCAACTGTAACAAGCTGATTAGCAATTTCATTTCAGCTCAAGTTACCTCAGTAACTTGAGCCAATCTCCCTCCCTAAAAGGTAAAGGGACCCCTGACCATTAGGTCCAGTCGTGGCCGACTCTGGGGTTGCGGCGCTCATCTCACTTTATTGGCTGGGGGAGCCGGCGTACACCTTCCGGGTCATGTGGCCAGCATGACTAAGCCGCTTCTGGCGAGCCAGAGCAGCGCACGGAAACGCTGTTTACCTTCCCGCCAGAGCGGTACCTATTTATCTCTGGTTCACCAGAAGCGGCTTAGTCATGTTGACCACGTGACCCGGAAGGTGTATGCCAGCTCCCTCGGCCAATACAGTGAGATGAGCACCGCAACCCCAGAGTCGGTCATGACTGGACCTAATGGTCAGGGGTCCCTTTACCTTTACCTTTATTTCTCTGCATGGAGGAAGGAGATGGGAAAAGCTTTCCAGTTGTCTTGGACTGTAGGGGCTTACGCCTCCCCTTGCAAAATTAGTCTGGCAAGTATCTGTTAAGCTGCGCAAACTATCAATATGTGTAAGAAATTCAGGAACTAAAGTATTTACCATCACAAAAGAATGACCCAGGTTGAGCAATGATTGAACATTATTGGGTATCCTGACAGACAGGTTTTCTGCTGTAGACCGTCCCCCTGTGATGTATGTATGATGTTTTAGGAGGTGGTCTTGAGCTACAGGGGAGGCAATTCCAAAAGTCTATATAAGAGCTTGCACACCATTGTTCAGGGTTCCTCTCCTCCCTCCCTGCGTGGGGGCAGTGAGGGACCCTGTTGCAACAGTTTAATAAAGATCATGCTTACTAGCTGCTTTGCTTCTCAATATTCTCTAGCTGGTCTCTGTTATTTTCTCCTACCAATAGAAAACCTACATAAGGACTCTATATGGGCTCTTTGATACCCCATAAGGGAAAAGGGGCAGTTTTTTCTTATAACAGGGTTGTTATCTGGTGCTTGCTTTCAAGTGATGCATCAGTAGGTAGCAACAAAGCACAGAGTATCTAATAATAATAATAATAATAATTGCATTATTTATACCCCACCCATCCGGCTGGGTTTCCCCAGCCACTCTGGGCGGCTCCCAACAGAGGACTAAAAACAGAATAAAACTTCAAACATTAAAAACTTCTCTAAAAATAGATTACAGCAAAAGTGACAAAGAATCTCATGGCACTTGGAAGGCCTCAGTAAATCTGTTAGTCTTTTAATAGTGCCACAAAGTTTGGTTTAGCCACGAACTGATACAATGCAGCAGAAGCAGCTGACTTGTAAGCTTGTGCCATAATGGTGAGATATGTCCTACCGTGGAAGGACGTGTGGATCCAGAATTGGCCTCCACAGTCACAGACACACACACACGGTTAAGACCATATTCATGGAAGACAATCTTACTCGGCTGTGAGTGATCACCAAAGAAGACGACGATGTCAATGGTGAAGGCTTTAAAGTGCCACGATACTCCCAGAAGCTTTCCCTAAGCAAAACCAGCCCTCCCATTGGGTAGAGTGAGGCTACGGCCTCAGGCAGTTCATTTTTGGGGTGTCATAAAATGGCAGGAAATGGTAATGTATTCAGTGTGCTAAACAGCAGGACCAAATAAAGTGATGTAGAAGTGTGGCAGGTGGTATTTTAGTTCTCTGTAGCTCTTCAGATTCGGGGGGGGAGTACAAAAAAAAAGTTGTAACCGTGAGATGAGCTTGTTGACATCAGCCTTTTTTTGTTTTTTAATCCCCCACATTTACCTCATCCCCTGCTTTGTGCAACATTGTGAATGAAGAAAAAATGCAAATAATTAAATGATATTAATCTTGCATTTTTATATTATTGTAACTCTCCTTGGAAACATACAGTAAAGTTTGGAACAAAGAAATAAATGAAGAGCTATGAGATCAGCTTATAGACATCAGCCTAATTTATGTACTTTTGTTTTGTTTTGTTTTGTTTTGTTTTGTTTTGTTTTGTTTTGTTTTTACCTTCTTCTTTCTACTCATTTGCTTTGTGGAACATCTTGCCAGATGAAGAGTTCTGGAGAAAAATAGTTGCCACTCTTCTGTGACATTTTGGTTGGTGCCAGTAAAGGTAGTGCCCAATGGTGGATTTTGGAATGATCCTGACAGCATTTGTTAAAAGCCTAAATCCTGAGAGTAAGCCTCATTTAAATCAATGGGGCTTGGTAGTAAATAAGGCAAGGGAAAGTAAAAAACAAACAAACCACACACCCAACTGGCTGAGTCTGCATTTAGTCACAAGGTGCTTCCAAATTATAGGAGGCATTCAAGTGCATAACAGAAATTTAGGTTTGTGCAATTTAAGTGGATTAAAATACTCTGCTGCCATAATACAACATATCCCCTCATGGACTTTTTGCACTTTGGAAAGTGACAGGAAATGAATTGAAAAGTGTGAGAGGAATGAATAATTAACAAGACATGTAAACACACAAGTAAATCAGGAGGAATAGTTTATCCTCCATTTATTTAAAGATATGAAAAGGTGGCTCTTAGCCATGTTTGTTTCCATCTTTAAGTAAAAACCAAAGTTTCCTTGGTAGCTAGAAAACATATTTAGTGTTAATCATGCTATACCCTCCTTCAGAATTGAAATTAGCTTTCTGAAAGTGTGATCATCATTCTATTGAAATACCTACTGATCACAAGGGAACTTCTCTAAAGTAGGAGAATTGAGTTCTGCCACCAAAATAGCCAAGTTGAAACCAATTCAGTCAGAACTACTGGGAAAGTGGATACAGCTGGGGGAACTTTCAGTCAAACACAGCTGATCAAACTCCCACATTAGCATCAACAGAGGAGTTTAAAATGAGAGCCATGTTCAAAAAGGAGGAAAGTATTTCGTTGACTGGAGAAGAGTCATAACTCAAGTGTTTCACTGAAGGAGGTGAGTGGTTTTATTTTTAAAAACATGCTAGTGGTTTAATTATAAGGTAAGATTAATAATAAATATTAGGTTTAAAGAGCTAGCTATGTATGCTGCTGAGGGCTACTGGAATTCCATCCCTCCCTTGACTTGCATAAGCTTTTTAGAAAAATGTGATGTATAAAGTCAAAAATGCTCATATTGGCCTGCCAACAGTAGATTAATCAGTAGTATGAGTTTTAGAAATCCAGTAGATCAGACATTCCCAACCTGCGGCCCTCCAGATGTTTTGGCTTACAACTCCCATGATCCCTAGCTAGCAAGACCAGTGTCCAGGGATGATGGGAATTGTAGTCCAAAACATCTGGAGGGCTGAAGGTTGGGGATTCCTGTAGTAGATGAAGCTTTTCATTGTATGGTGAGCCATTAGGGTCTCTAATGTCTTGAGAACAAGCCACATTATAATATTCCTAATAGGGCGGCATGGCTCCTGCATTGGTTTAATACCATGTAGCTGTGTGTTATCAGGGGCAAAACTCTTCAATTTCCCTAGCTTTCTATCACTTACCATTGAGTAGTGGGATTGTTTTGAAACAGGTACAGCTCAGCTGGTGCCCTTTGCATGTTTTCAGCCTGCAGCCCACTTCATCCTTCAGCCTGGGTCATAGTTGCTGTGGCTGATAGGAATTGGAGTCCAGCAACTGCTGTGGGGCTTCCCTTTGGCTGACCTGGTTCTAACATGACTGAACTAGCAGAAAATTGGTCTGTTTATCTTAAGGCCACATTCTAGGTCATCATTGCAGCAAGTTCCTAGGCGCTTGGTTCTCCGATTACTCTTCCTTCCATATTGTTAGCAATATGACAAAGCCATTTGCATTGTGTAATGAAGGTGGGCTCTCCTCTCTTACTTGTAGGATCCAGGATGTCTGGGCGTGGCAAGAAGCCAGCAAAGCCTGCAACCAAGGAACAAAAAAACAAGAGTGCAAGAGCTGGCTTGCAGTTCCCAGTGGGCCGCATTGGACGTCTTTTGAGACGGGGTCGGTATGCAGAAAGAGTGGGTGTCGGGGCCTCAGTGTACATGGCTGCCGTGTTGGAATATCTGACTGCAGAGCTACTGGAGCTGGCGGGAAATGCTGCTCATGAGAACAAGAGGCAACGAATTGGGCCACGCCACATCCAGTTGGCGATCAGAAGCGATGATGAGCTGAACAAGCTGTTTGCACATGTGACCATTGCGGAAGGTGGAGTTCTCCCCCACATCAATGCTCTGCTTCTTCCAAAGAAAACAGCACCGTCCACTGTTCCCCAGGAGGAACCTTATAAGGGGACCTGACCTCATGTGACTTTTCTGTCTCTTACTGTCTGAAAAAGCTCCTCGTCCTTTTCATGTAGCACTTTCGCTAGGAAGAACTCTGTATTTGTGTGTTTTAATAATATTTTTGTAATAATAAATTGTCCAATATAAAGCTTGGGCATGGTTTCTTTGTGAGCAAAGAACGGATTCAAAACTTTTTTAAAAATAAAAACTGGGATGGGAGCTTGTTGTGCAACTAGAGGCCTTTTGCAGGCCCCATGGTATGGTATGTGGAATGAAGGTGTACTCTTCACCGATTATTCAAGGCCTGCTAGTGGAATTAGATGCCATAATCGGGCTACATGATGTTAGGAATAAACTCAGGTTATGGTCTATTGTCATCTTAATGAACTTTCCTGGGAGGACATTAGCTACAAGCTTGCGACAACTGCCTCTGAACAGCAAGTGATTCGTTTCCGCATACCTAAGGTGTGCAAATGCTGTGCGATGATGTGCATTCAGTGCTTGTTGCTGGCACCATTTTGGTCACCGCCATGTTCACCCTTTCCCACACTGTTAATTTAACACGCATTCTGACAAGAGTGCACTACGAAAACAGGATGCTGGTTAGATGAGCCTTAGATCTGACCCAGCAGGGCACACCGAAATATCCTGCACCTTTGTGCCCCTGTACTGAAAGCGGTACCTATTTATCTACTTGCACTTTGACGTGCTTTCGAACTGCTAGGTTGGCAGGAGCAGGGACTGAGCAACGGGAACTCACCCCATCACGGGGATTTGAACCACCAACCTTCTGATCGGCAAGTCCTAGGCTCTGTGGCTTAACCCACAGCGCCACCCGCGTCCCTACAGAGAAACATTTGAGGTGAATTTGGGAGAGTCAAAATGGCTTCAGGATTGCTCTCCTGTACTGTTTCAGACACTATACGGTGGTACCTCCGGTTACATACGCTTCAGGTTACAGACAACCAGGCAACCAGTTTCCAAGGTTTTCCCAGTCACTGAATAAGTGGCTTACCAAAGTAATAGATCTAAATGTAAGTTTAATATAGAAGCTAGCTGTTGTAAACCAAAAAGTGGCGCTTTGTTGTATGATACAGTGGTACCTTGGGTTACATACGCTTCAGGTTACAGACTCCGCTAACCTAGAAATAGTAAAGTGGTGCTTCAGGTTAAGAACAGTTTCAGGTTAAGAACGTACCTCCGGAACGAATTAAGTACTTAACCCGAGTTACCACTGTACTTATGCATGTGTGTTTGCCTTGTACATTTATGAACATTTATTCGATATATATATATACATATAAGACCTTAGAATTCCTATAACAACCCTATTCAAATGCCCATGGTGATTCTATTATAACAGATCTCCTTTTTTAAAAACGCACACGCATATTATAATAATAATTATTATTATTACATACGCAACCAGCAAATGTGGTGACAAAAACAACAACACGTGCTGAGTTTCCAGAGCCCAGGGAAACGTGGGCGGTCCCTTGCTACTGATTTCCTTCCCGTCACCCACCATTCTCGGCACCCCGCCTCCTCCGAGAGCATTTCGCTGCTCCCTCCTCCGACCAGCAGGAGAAAGTGCCCGGATCAGTCCTAATACGGGCAACTCGGGAAGGGGGCAGGCGCGTCAGCTGGGCGCGTAACGCGAGCTTGTGCGCTCTTGGAGGTGGCCGGCTCAGCGACCCCCGGGATCCACGTGGAGCACCTAAGGAGGACCTGCCTCAATCAGCAACAGCAGCAGCAGCAAAAGTTGGGACACCCCGCTCCCCAAACATGCAGGTGAGCTACTCTGAGCTGTATCCTCCCTTCGGGAGGCGAAGGGAACGCACGCAGGCGCGCACCTGCCGGGAGACCCCTTTGCGTAATGGGATCGCTTTATCTGGAGAAGGGGAAACGGGGCTGGGGACGCGAGTGGGACATAGCACGGTCTGGGCAGGTCCAGGAAGGATCCCTGCCCACTGTAGCTGAAACCCGGAAGATCAGCTCGCTTTCTGCTTCCCGTGTGTTGGGTTGCAAAGATGACACGCGGTGGTTCTTCCTGTCGGGGAAGGAAAGGCCTCCGTGTGTCCCTTCCACCCGTCGGCTTTCTTCTTTTCGCGAGCATGCGCTCCAGGCTGCGTTGCATTTGCTGGTTGCAGGAGAAGAAACGGAGGCGATCAAGGGGGGGCGGGTGTTCTTTCAAATACAGGAGGTGGGGAAGCTGGAATTGTTTCTGAGTTCCTAAAAAAGTCATTCTCCGCAAATGACTTCCTGCACTTAGCACTGAAGAAATGAGCTGTCATTTTGTATGGGATAGGGAAGAGTAAAGTTGGCAAGCTGCTACTGTGACTGCTAATTGCGCCTGAGTGATGTGTAGCAGCTCTGCTTTCCAGTGGTAGGATAACTGTGACATCTCTTACACGTTCTTTGTGAATGGTCACTGTTAATACAATGGTCACAGTTAGTACATTTCATTTCCCTCTGCCTCACTGTTTACAACACACACCAATCCATGTCTATTTATACAAGTCAGGATATTTCTTCATGTGCCTGATGATGTCGATTTTAGTCCACAAACTGCTTATGCCATAATAGTGTTTTTTTTAATGGCATCATGCTCTTTGTTCTTTTCCGTTTTTGTTTTGACAGACTAATCCCGCTACCCTCTGGACACTAGTTTAATGTAGTCCTGCGTACGTGTATGAAATCCAAAACTTTACTTGCTTTTTCCAGTATGTATTTGTTTTATTTAAGCAGCTCAGGCCTTTTTTTCTACTGGAAAGTGGAATTGAGATGAATCATAAATGTTTACTCGGAAAAAAGCCCACTGATTTCAGTGATACTTCTTCCCACATAAATACGCATTGGATTGAAGCCTGCATACTTATGTAGAATACGTTTTGTATAGTGTTTGTTGGAATCCTAAAAGAAAAAAAGCCACAGTGACCAGCATGGCTCCAGATGTTGTGGACTATAACTCCCTAACCATTGGCCGTGCTGGCTAGGACTGGTGAGAGTTGCAGTCCAGAACAACTGGAGGGTTACGTTGTACATTGCCAAAGTTGGGTTTTGATAGTGAAGGTGCTGGAGTGCTTTGGGCGGGGGGGGGTAAAGAATGAGGGGCTGGCACTCACATCTTGATAAAACAATTGTGGGTACCAACACAAGATGGCTGCCATGGGCAGCAAAAAAAGGATGTGACAGTACTCTAAACTGGTTGGTAAAGGTACTCCTGACCGTTAGGTCCAGTCCCGGATGACTCTGAGGTTGCGGCACTCATCTCGCTCTATAGGCCGAGGGAGCCGGCGTACAGCTTCCGGGTCATGTGGCCAGCATGACTAAGCCGCTTCTGGCGAACCAGAGCAGCGCACGGAAACGCCATTTACCTTCCCGCTGGAGCGGTACCTATTTATCTACTTGCACTTTGACATGCTTTTGAACTGCTAGGTTGGCAGGAGCATGGACTGAGCAACAGGAGCTCACCCCGTTGCGGGGATTCAAACAGCCAACCCGATTGGCAAGCCCTAGGCTCTGTGGTTTAACCCACAGCGCCACCCACGTCTCAAACTGGTTGGTAGGCCTGGCCAATATCTGGTTTTCAACATCGCGATAGATTACCAGCTAAACATTGTGATATACTGATATATCACAATGTCTGAAATAAGGATAATGTCTGAAATAAGGATGGCTGTGTGGAGGCTGGCTTCACATGTTGGCTTTCCCACATTGTGATTTTCTCATAGCTCATGTACGCACCCCCCCCCCCAATTCAAATTATATTGCCAGGTCTAAAACTTTGAAACCAATATCACAGTATGGACTTCCAACCAGTTTGGGGCAATATATTGATATATTGCTCAGCCCTACTGGTGGGTACCATCACAAAAAACCCCGACTGGTTGTAAGTTTGGGCTCTGACAGTTCTATGTGCTTTAGGATCCTAATGCGGACACAGAGTGGAATGACATCTTACGTAAAAAAGGCATCCTTCCTCCAAAAGAAAAGCTGAAAGAGCAAGAACAAGCTGAAGAGGAAAGGGAGCAGCAGATAATCCAGCAAAAATCTGTTGGTAAGCCCTTCAGTTGATTTAATGTGATTCTTCTGTAATCTACCTTGCCTTGTCACCAGAATGTATCAACCCATACAGAGCAGACCAAGGCCTCATTGTGCATTCATTGCATTTTGAGGTATGGATAGCCTTCGATAAAGGAGTTTGGTGCTTCCTCGCCTCCTCTGTGACCTTGAAAAATATTGAGATTAGTCCTTACAGAGCATCATATTGAGTTATGAGGACACTTAAAGAGACATATAGAACTTCCAGGGCTTCTGGGAAATCATGAGGCTTGCTTTGGGGGACTCCCAGGTGAAATCCTTACAACCTGGGTGGGCATTAGGGTTTTTATCCCACAGGGAAGGACAACTGATGAAACAGAGTCTGGATCCAGATTTCTTGTTCAGTGATAGACTATGAACCTAGCAGAGGTATAAAACGAATTGTTCTTGCACTTTTTGTTGCACTTTTGTATCATTGTAAATCAGTTTAAATTATTGTAAATTATAGCTTTTTATTTTTCAGCACAGTCAGCAGTATATTTTTCTGCAGGACCCCCCAGTGCTCACTGTGGGATGCAACTTGTGCAAACTGGGATAGAATCTTGAATAGATACTTAAAAATATAGATGGATAAATTTCTCTTGACAACTCTAATGGGGTGATCTAAAACTGTGGACCTGCGTTGCAACGCTTCCCCTCACATCAGGGGCACAGAACCTCAGGCCTAGGGGGCAAATGTAAACCTTCATATCTCTCTGCCCAGCCTTTCAGAATCTCCTTCAAGCCCTGCCTCCTCAGGCCATGCTCTCTCTTCCCAGGCCACAACCTTCATTGGATCTGATGCACCCCCTCCTCTAGTGCTTTTGTTATGAGTCCTTGAACTACCTAGATGTGTATATGGAGGGGGAATGTAGAAACTGCATGGCTGGGATGTATTCTACTGCTCACCTACTTTTGTTGATGATGATTTTATTATTTATACCCTGCCCATCTGGCTGGGTTTCCATATGCTTCTGATCCCACTCTTTTTGCCTCTGGCTCCTACACACCAGTGGCATGCAGCCCTCACAATGCTGTTCTATAAGGAATGCAACCCCCTCATTCTCAGGAAGGTCTTCCCCCCAACCCACTACCTGCTTTACATCATCTTATGCACCTGCAGGTCTGTTTGTGGGAATTAGCGTGATAGCTCCAAAGTGCCTTGGTAAAAAAAATGTTTCTTTGACCTTGTGGGGTGCTCTTTTGATCATTAGAAAATATTTTATTGGACAAGAGTGCATCCCTTGGTTTGGACTAATTGCCTTCCATATTTCACGTCATTTAGAAAGTGAACTGATGATAGCTGCCTAAAATAAGAGCTTACTCAGCAGGAGCTGCAGCCTTGTAGCAAATGATAACTCCCAGGATGTAAGTTACGGAAGCAGAGTTGCTGAGATAGTGTGGTGCCTGGAATCCTGGATTTTGTGAGGACCTGGATTTAAGATGGAATTCACTTCTCTTTTGTAACATCTAGCAGATTTGTATCTTGGTTTTATTGTGCAAAATGTTTATCTCGGCAAGCATGAGGTAGATACTCCTTGCCGTATAATACTTTAATTGGTTCTTAATTATCAAGATCTCTCATTTGGAAATTATTTGCATGAGGAAAGAGATTCTGTTGTTGTTATTAAATTTATATTGCCCAGAGCAGCAAACACAGTGATAAAGTAATTAAACAACTAAAACATATAAAAACATTTCTAAGACTGTTATCAACCTTGTGTACCCATTCAGAGCTCCAGAAATGGTTGGCTTTTATTCTGTGCCATACTGATGACCTTGCTTTTCTTACAAACAGTGAAAACATATGAAGACATGACCCTGGAAGAACTTGAAGAAAATGAAGATGAATTCAGTGAGGAAGATGAACGGGCTATGGAAATGTACAGGTTAGAGCACTCTGTCCAAGACCCACAAACGTGATTGCCAGTTAAGCACTGGTGTGTACATTATTTGTTCCAGTGAGAGCAGGTAGTTAGGGAGAACCCCAAGACTGGAGCAGTAGGAGGACTCTCCCTGATGCCATGTTGACTTGAGAAGAATAGGAGAAAGGCAAGGACTCTCCTTGACACTGCATTGAACTTCTAAGACACTTGAAAAGCCATGTGACATTTTGCTGTTTTCCTAGGGTCCATGGCTTAGCAGAATGGGAGGGAGCACCCATCTCTCTCCCTGCAATGGCTCGTCCTCCTCCCCAGTTGGAGAAGATGGGCAAAAACAGGTTGAGCTGGCCAGGAAGGCCAGCTAGGATTTCTTGACCCCTGCAATAGATAAGAGAATTAATGAAATCTTCAAGACCCACCCCCTGATTTTCCTCCAGTTTTAGCCAAATCAGGCTGCCTCCTGGTAGCCCTCTAAAAAACAGTAGCTGAAAGGGCTATCACAAAAAATAAGAGGACGCAAATTCTTCCTGGAGGATCAAAGGTTAAAAGTTTAGACAGCATATTCGCAGTGGCAGTAGGATTTGTTTAATAACTTCTCATCTCTCTGTATTTAGGGTTATCTTAGAACTCAGGTTATTAGTGTTTACTGTGTTAAATGCAGCTTCTAAAATGAATTGTTTAAAACATCTGACCTTGCAAATTACAGTTCACTTCTAAAGATTGTTACGTAAACCTCTAGCAAAACGAATATTGTGCTTAGAAATGATAAGTGCCCAGTTTTTAGCAACTGCTCGGTACTGTAGGTTTGTCAATACTGTTGTGGTTTATCTTCTCTCACCTGCTTTTTCAATCTGTGAATCAATAGAACAGTGTGATATTGACATTCACCTATGATCCCACTAATTCCACTAATCCTTCCTGTATTCATCAGGAGCTTGGAAACTGGATTTCATAATTTGCAACTGAGATGTGATCCTTTATAGAAAAAAAAAAAAGGATTGGCACTGCAGTCCTATGCTTCATTGGATGCAAGTATCATTCAGTGGGATTTGCTTACAAGTCAGTGTTATTAAGACAGCAGCCGGGCAGGTGAATTCCTAAATCTTTTGGCTGCACCAGCATAGATTCGAGCCTGGGCTCTGCAACTAAGGTTGCAATGCTATGTATACTTAACTTTGGAGTCTGTTCCATTGAACAAGAGGTATTAACACTACTCAAGGACACATGTCAACCAGAATAGAAAAAAACACAACAAAACCTCAAACATTAAAATCTTCCCCAAACAGGGCTGTCTTTAGAAGTTTATGGAAGGCCATATAATTGTTTAACTCTTTGACATCTGATGGGAGGGCTTTCCACAGGGCAGGTGCCACTACTGAGAAGGCCCCCTGCCTGTAACCTCACTTCTCTCAATGAGGGAACTGCCAGAAGGCCCTTGGAGCGTGACCTCAGTGTCTGAGCTGAATAATGGGGATGGAGATGCTCCTTCAGGTATATAGGGCCAAAGCCATTTAGGGCTTTAAAGGTCAGCACCAACACTTTGAATTGTGCTTGGAAACATACTGGGAGCCAGTGTAGGTCTTTTAGGACTGGGGAGAGTCTTGAGGGCCAGATACAGGTGCCTGGAGGGCTACATGTATCCCAAGAGTATGAAGTTCCCCGCTCCTAGAGTAGACAGTGCTGAGTTAATATGGTACAGCGCCACTTCCTGTGCTCTTACATTTACAGCAATGGCTTTCCAAACAGCTGTGGTCTCTGGGGATCAGAATTGGTGACAGCGTGGATGTAGTTACAGTATAATCCTAAATTAGTGTATAAAGAGAGACAGCTGCATGGGAGCTGGGAGATTTGTTGCACCTCCAGCACACAACTGCCGGTTGGGTTTTCTACCTCAGCCCCTTTGAAGGTTCATTTTTCATCAATTACAACTGTCCTTGTTACTTACATTTTGGCTCATTTCAAAACCAGCCATCAAGCCCTTTTTTGTCTCAACTTCTCGCCTCCTTCCATTTTGATGGAGTGGGGGTGGGGGTGGGGAACCTCACACAGCATAGTGGTTGTGGTGAGACATGAGTTGTGAACCTAGGACCTGATCCTGGTTCTGTCTTCCCTAATGCAGGAGCTGTGCAGGAAGCCTTCAGCATTCCTTTATCTTGTGTGGGATAGGGGAGGATAAAAGTAAACCATGGTTTACTGAGATAACAAATGTGAAGTGCCTTAAACACTCAATGTTATATCTCTGGTCTCAAATCCATCTGTATGTTTCCTTTTCTAATTCTTTTCCCATGGTGTAGGCAGCAAAGGCTAGCTGAATTGAAAGCCTTGCAAGCAAAGAATAAATTTGGACACGTTTTAGAGATCTCGGGACAGGATTACATCCAAGAAATTACTAAAGCTGGCAAGGATATATGGGTGATACTACACCTGTACAAGCAAGGGTAAGCAAGCATTTCAAGATGACTGCTGTTTGCACACAGTTTTTTCTGTAGCAGGTTTGGTCTTGTGAAACTGTCCCCAAACTGGTGATCTTGCATTTTGTGTTTTAGCCAACTAAACATGCTTCGGCAGACGAGCCTTCCTTGCTCTTTCAGAACCCTGATGTTGGTATCTGTTGTGCAAATGAAAGGAATTTTTAAAACACAAAGTTCAGTGACATTATCAGGAATTGATTTGCTTCATTGTTCTAGCCATTTAATCAGGAAGGAGGGTAGTTGTGTACAGGCAATAACAATTTTGCAAGTGTTCAAAGCACATGCCCATCGCTGCAAACCAAGAAGTGGCAGGAAAAGGGAGCATTGCAGGGCAGGGCCGTAACGGACTTATATATTTTCCGCTGTCATGTGCGATGACCCGGAATGCAACCACCAAGCAAATTGGGGGTGCCTGTATTGGAATGGGAAAACATTTTAAAGGTTGTGGGAAATCTCTCTTCTTTGCAATGGTAGGCATAGATCTGAGAACCAGTGTGGTGTAGTGATTGGAGAACCAAGGAGACCTGAATTGAAATCCCCACTCAGCCAAGAAGATCACTAGGTGACCTTGGGCCAGTAGCTCTCTCTCTTAACATAACCTACCACTCTGGGTTGTGGTGAGGATAAACTCGGAGAGTGGAAAGCATGTGTACAAACTTGACTTCCTTGGAGAAACGATGACATAAAAATACAATAATAATGTATGTGTCACAGCAGCCTCCGTTTTAAAAGATGCATTCTCCCCTTTGTGTGAGAGAACACATTTGAAAGGCTAAATATGTTCCTATCAGGTTACCTATTCTAGAAATGGACATTTTGTTTTGTTTTTTGTAGAGCATATATTTTGCGGAGACACGTGGAAAACATGGCATTTTATTATTTTATTATCTTGTAATTTCATTCTCCCTATTCTTATGGCTGTTTTTATTAATAAGAAAACAAAGAAAAGGGAAAAAATGGCTCTTTAATAGATTTCTTCCCCTTTTCCTTTTTAAAAAATAAAGCATTCCTCTTTGTGCCTTGATAAATCAACACTTAAACGGACTTGCAAGGAAGTTCCCTGATGTCAAGTTTGTCAAAGCCATTTCGACAACCTGCATACCCAACTATCCAGATAGAAACCTCCCCACAATCTTTGTCTACCTTGAAGGGGACATCAAGGCCCAATTTATTGGACCCCTGGTGTTTGGAGGCATGAACCTGACAAGTGATGGTAAGTAGCTGCCACTTAGACCTTGACAAATGGCCCAAATGGACACAACCCATGTAACTGTCTCCCTGTGCCCTGTTTGCATTGATTGGTGGCTGATCCCTTTTATGTGTTTAAAACATTAATAGGTTGCTTTTTGGTACTAAACTGATACTCAAAGCACTTTGCAAAGTACGTAGAAACTCTTAAGAATGCAAAGGCAGCAAAGACGACTCATAAGATAAAGAGTCATCCTATGTACCCAGCTATAATTGTAACCTGCCCAGGGGCCTTATGGTACGAGTGGGTAAGAAATCCTATAAAGAAATACAATAAAAACATACCTGATTGAAACACCGCTGAACATTGTCCACTTAATTTGGTTCTATCTCCACCTCACATCCAAGCTCTGCAAGCCACAGTCTCTGTGGATTTTTGTCCCTGACTCTGTGGAACAAGTCAACTTGCGTAACAGAATCACATTAATTTCCTCCCCACCCCCCTTCCTTTTTGTTCTTTCTGCCTAACATAATTGAGGCTGGCTGGTTAGATTGCCATCACAGTTAACAGTGAGACATCTGATTAACTTGAAGTATTGACTTTCTTCCAACTTCTGGGGTGTAAGCCAATTTGCGCCCATGTAATAAAGACCTGCTGCTAGGTGGGAAGTGTTTCTGGGTTGGGGCAGTAAAGAAAGAAGCAGGAAGTAATGGGGAGCAGTGTGTACACATTCTTGCTTTTTGTTTCTCAAATCTCCCTTTAAAACAGCAGATGAAACATTAACAGCTGCTTCTGCCTCTCCTGACAACAGTTATAAAGATGACCTTGCTTTTGTCTGTCTGAGAACATGCTGGAGTTTTGAGGCAATTAACCGTATTTCCATTTTCTTCAAAGAGCTCGTGTGGAACTTAGCATTGTAGTAAAAGCAAATTTGAAAACAGCAGATGGGAAGCGCACGTCCCGAAGAGCAGGAACACAGAGATGCTTTTCTTTGTTCCAGCTTGTAAGTCACTGCTGTGTGCCGTTCTTCTCTCTTGCGTTTTAGAATTGGAGTGGAAGATTTCTGAGTCGGGCGCCATCAAGACAGACCTGGAGGAGAACCCCAGGAAGCAGATCCAGGACCAGCTGATGACTTCCATCAGGTGCTCTGTCCCAGCAAGGAGGGAGGAAAGTGACCCAGAAGATGACTAAGGCCTCGTGTGAAGCTCAGTTCTATGCCTGATTACTCTGAAGTTAGTCTGACTGCATTCAGTGGGACTTGACTTCCATGTACAGATTGCATGTGATTGCAGCACCATAAATACCACTGATGGGTTTTTGCTTTTGCTTTTAAATTTTACTAAAGAAGTCGTGGTTATGTCGAGGCTTGCAGAGCAGTAAATTGGAGGAAATTGGAAAGGCTTCCTGATGAATCAGGCGCTTGTTGTGGACATTCCCCTACAGTGGACATAACTACCAACAGCACATTCACCCTCTGGGTGTTTTGCTTGTTCTCTTTCCTCTGTTGGGTAACAACTCTCTCCTCTGTACCAGAGTCATTTTAAGCACAGAGAGTGCTTGGTCATTTCTATGCTTTTGACAAAGGCCAACAACTCCATTATGGTTGGGAAAAGGCTATAATGCAATTCTTGATTCTCAAATAAAAATACATGATAAATTTTTAAAGGGTTGTGTGGAACATTGTGTATATTTTATTGGGCAGATCCAACTGTAGAAGGCAAATATTGCTGCCAAGGTCTCAGAATTAAAGTGAGAATACAGTATTTATATATTTATTTAAAATCTTGAAAACTCTGAATTTTTTTTGACTGTCTCATGGAGATGCGGTGTGTTTTATTCTGTCCTTGAAATGTAACACAAGGATATTTTTAAACAGTTAAATTTGTCCCGCGCCCCATGTTCTCGATTTTGATAAAACTAGTGCAATTGCATATATGTTTTCTCAGAGGCAAGTCCCCCCTCCATGCTCAGTAGAACTTACTCCCAAGTAAACATGTACAGTATATACTGCAGCTTTAGTGGCTGAGCATCTTTCTCCCGCCCCCTTGCCCCCCCCATGAAGAAGTGCTATTTAGTCTTATATTGAAAGTAGGTAAATTATGACCGCTATAAATATTTTTTGTTGCCCATAAAAGTTGTAAAAAAAAAATGCATTAGAATGCAGTCAGTCTTCAGGCTTCTGGATATTTTATTGAGTAAATATAATTGTGAATCCAAAGAGGCAGAAAGACCATTTGGACTGTGCCATTTTAGACTGGAAGTGAGGAATCAGCATAGAATCATACCGTTTTAGAGATTGCAGAGGACTCTGGAGATCATCTCATCCAACTTGATTCATATTGCAAAATTGCTTCACATATAAAACAAGAAACTGCTCATAGAAAGATAGAACACCCTCTTTCCTGACATGCTAGCTTTCCATGTGCAGGAAAGGTTTTCTCATGTGAGGGAGTATTCACCTATAGCCTGACATACTATAATACTATACTATACTACTACTCTGCTCTAATAAATAGCTCTGCAAAAAGTTATGTCAAATTATTTGAGCCTTCCTCAACTCTTTAAGAGTGACTTTTCACATAACATTTTGAAACTGGATATATACACACTGCCATAGGTACATATTGAAATAGTTTTTATATGCAAATACGTATACAGTGGTACCTCGGGTTACATACTTGCACTTTGACGTGCTTTCGAACTGCTAGGTTGGCAAGAGTAGGGACCGAGCAACGGGAGCTCACCCCGTCACGGGGATTCAAACCGCCGACCTTCTGATCGGCAAGTCCTAGGCTCTGTGGTTTAACCCACAGTGCCACCCGCATCCCTACAGAGAAATATTTGAGGTGAATTTGGAAGAATCAAAATCGCGTCAGGATTGCTCTCCTGTACTGTTTCAGACACTATACGGTGGTACCTCGGGTTACATACGCTTCAGGTTACATACGCTTCAGGTTACACACTCCGCTAACCCAAAAATAGTGCTTCAGGTTAAGAAATTTGCTTCAGGATGAGAACAGAAATTATGCTCTGGCGGCATGGCAGCAGCAAGAGGCTCCATTAGCTAAAGTGGTGCTTCAGGTTAAGAACAGTTTCAGGTTAAGTACAGACCTCCGGAACAAATTAAGTACTTTACCCGAGGTACCACTGTAGAAGGATTGAGCCCTCATGTCATAGAACCATTTGGTTGGAGGAAGTCTTGTAGACCATCTTGCCCAACTCCCTGCAGGAAACTTTGAGCATCCTTTATCAGATGGTTCTATGCTTGAAAAGGCCCAGGAAGGGCAAACTCGCCCCCAGGGGCCCCAGGTAGTCGGTTCCATTGTTCAACTGTTCTCCCTATCAAGAAATTCTTATGCTCAACCAGATTTTTTCTTCCTGTAATTTAAGCCCATTGGATCCTGACCTCTGACCGTTGGAGGGGGTGTTGGGGGCTCATTACAGTGACCATTTAAATTCATATGCACTTTTCAACAAGTGGTGGCATTTAAAAAAAAACACTTTGGTGCCATTTCTACTGTATTCTATGTGATTGTGTATGATCTTAAATTTGGGCCTTTGCATAATTATTTTGCATGTGCAAGTATTTAACAGACGAGAAGGCATTTTATAAATTGATTTCCTGTCTCAGATGAACTTAATATTTCTTAACAGTACTGTATTAAACACTGCCAATAACAATGTTCTCCGGGTGGCTTATAATAAAAACAAAATATATCATCATCAACCATAAGGATGTGATGATGACTGTGGAGAACAAAGATGAAACATTTGGTTTAAGAAGCTTAGGAGAAGTTGCATTCTGAAAGGAGCCTATGTGAGAAGCCATAGAAATGGGCAGTTAGAGAAGACTGCAATATATCTCTTCTCCCTGCTTCTTCACTCCTACACCTGTGCAAGAACAATTTCCTGTCTTGTGCGCCATTTCTCTCAAGCTAATCAAAGGCTTTTAGTAAAAATAAGATATCTGCAGGACACGGCTAATGAGAGATCATTTTAACGTCACGGCACAGTGGAAGCTTTAGAAGGGCACAGAGGAAAAACTTGCTTGTTGGGTTTGTGTGTGTGTTTTACTGAGTCCTTGCAAATCAATATGGTTTACATTTGTTACCAGGGGAAATGTCTTATAGCAAAAGTGGGGAACCTTTTGCATTCCCTCCTGGGAAACCTCTTAGGGGCCACATGGTAGTGGCAGACTGGGCTAGAACTGAGCAGAGCAACTAATGTAAATTTTAGCTTTGTGCTGTAGAGTAGTTTCTATACAGAACACCAATCCAGACAAGCAGGAGGTATCATCAGAGTTTGAGGACACATTCCAGCCAGGCAAAAAGACTCAAGGGGGTGGGTGCAAGGTACAGCCTGTAATAGCTGTGTCCTGGGGAGGGTCTGGAGGGCCAGTAGAGAAGGCTAGAGGGCCACATTTTGCCCCCAGGCTTGAGGCTCCCCATCACTGTCCTGTAATGTGAATCTACCACAAGCTTACCTTTACAGTGATGCAGTGCAATTTGGGTGCCGGTGAGAGCCGTATTTTATGGGACGTTCTGAGGAAAATACTTCTCCACACAATGCCTAGTTAATTTTTGTAATTCACTGTCACAAAATTGCAGTGATGGCAGGGATTAAGGCAAATCCATGAAGAAGAGTCCCCTCAATGGCTTAGTTATGATTAGCAAAATGTTCAGAGCCTCAGTATAGCTCCTGAATACCAGATTGGGGGCACAGCAGGGTTACTGCTTTCATGTCCTTTTTTTGATGTTCTGGAAGCCGCTGACTAGCCTTTGCATGAAGCAGGGTGCTGACGAGATGGACCTTTATGTCTGAAGTAGCAGGGCTGTTTTTAATGCCGGGTGCCTGAGATAATTGGGTCACGAAACCCACATTAAGGATTTTTGAGAGTCCTGATATTAATGAAGACAGGTGAATAATAAGCTTATACCATCTTCCACTGAAAAGAATGGAACCAATGCTATTTTTCTGGAAAAAGAGGTGCTGGAGCTCACCATGAACTTCTCCCTTCTCTTAGAATGACAATGGCACCTACCTGAGAGGTGTCGGAGCTGAGCTCAAAAAAAAAGCCCTGGATGGAACTTAACTTTGATTTGCTGACATCAATGACCTCTTCAAAATTACATTGCCTGAGTCAATGGGCTCAAAATGAAAAGGGGGGATTTTGATTGAACACCTTTGTCAGCCTGAGCTGTTTAACAGTGGAACAGTCTGCCTCAGAAGTTGGTGAACTCTCCTTTATTGGAGGCTTTTAACTAGAGGTTGGTTAGATATCTGTCAGGGCTGCCACTGTAGTTTATTTCCTGCAGTGGGTTGAACTGTCCTGACCAACTCCCATGGCCCCATCTGCAACTAAAGCAGCATTATACCACTTTAAACAGTCATGGCTCCCCGCAAAGCATTGTGGGAACTGTAGTTTGTTAAGGGTGCTGAGAGTTGTTAGGAGAGCTCCATTTCCCTCACAGAGCTACAATTCCCAGAGTTCCCTGGGAACTAAAAGCCACTCCTGGCAACTCTCAGCATCCTTAACAAACTGCAGATTCCAGGATACTTTGTGGGATGAATCCTGATACTGCATTAAATGTACAGTACAGATTGGGGGGGGGGGCAGGGCTATGATTCTACTTAAAAGGCTCACTGCTTATGAACATCATGTGAACAAGGGGGTGAAGACATCATCCCTCGGCCAAAAATCAAGATGAAATACAAATCAGTAAATACTTCAAGACAAATGGTGAGTTAACTGTAATTGACGACACCGATAATCTCTTTTTTATATTCATTTAAAAACTCCTTGGAGATCTAGGCAGAGGTTAAAACAATGAAGCCATTTTGAAATCCCTCACAGTATGTTTAGGTGCAAATACCACCGGACAAAGGAAAGCGTCTTGCAATATGATATTGTGGTGGTAAAAAGCAGCATATGCTATGAGCATATGCTACTTTTAACTGCTGATTAATGCAGGGAATTCACTGCAATAAGATGACCACATAAAAAAAGAATGAATACTGTATATTCATGGAAGAGGATTCTGTCAGTTTCTATTTTCCTTCATTTGTTCAGGCAGGGCAATTTTGTAAAAGTGGAACCACAAATTACCTCAGCAAATGGCATGTTTCAAAACCTGAGTTCACAGGCTTCCCAAATGCAAAGCCAGAGGAGGAAGAGGACATTTTTAAGCCTGAGGTGGAATAGAAAATGGCATTCCTTTCTTCAACTCAAGGCTTAATACCTCAGGCTGTAAAATGTATTAGGCCAGCCCTGGGGCAAGTGTTTCGGGCCCACATAAGGAAAGGCTAAATGGTTTTTTTGTTGTTTTTTTTTAATATAAATGTTATTAGTATTTTCCACACAGCAACAACACGAAGGCTAAAGTTTTAATTCCAGTACCCCAAATGAATTGTGAGAGCTTTCTAGAATTTCAGTTTGTTACCATGTGTCTTCAATCTATGTGAACATAGCTACTTAGAGTTGCTTTGTAGATACCATTTTTGTAAACTGCTTTGAGATTTTATCCAGTCAAAAGGTATATAAATTTTATGAAATAATGAATATCTTTAAAACAAAACAAAACACCACCACAACAATGCCTCTTGCAGTGTAAGTATGCCATCTTCTGGTTGGTTTGTTTTTAAAATAAATGTAGTCCTTATACACCTATGTTCCCCCTTAGAGATTTTTTTTATATCAAGTGATATATACATTTTATAAATCAGTCAGTTGAAGAATGCGGGTGGTATTATTATTACTGTTATTATTTAAATCTGTATACTGCCCTTCATCCGATGTTCACAGCATAAAAATACAAAAACACAAAATACATAATAAAAACAAGAACAAACCAAACCAATACAGTAACACCCCCCCACTTCTACAAACACATTTAAAAGGACATGTGCCTATATTTGTTATAAAAGCATAATTTAAATGCTAATTGCGTCAGGTTTATTATTCGCTGCATGTAAGTTCAAAAAATCACAAAGCTAAAAAGCAGTCATTGACAGTGCAGGCTCAAGACATTTTGCTGTATGAAGCAGAGCTCAAATGGTTGCCCATCACTGACAGCACCGTTCTTGTTCTAGTTTCTAGTTTCTGATTCTAGAAACTAGATTCTAGTTTCTGGCTTCATCTAGCCTCCCCTCATGGTACTGCCTAAAAATTGTAGTTACACCTTGTTGTGTGGCTGGGGAAGGATATGGATTTTAAAACAGATAAACTGGATTCCTCTTTCTTTGTTTAAGTTTTATTATTATTATTAAACAAATTAAATCTCAGCAGCCAGGTGCCCAAGAAATTAATCTTAACTTTTGGGGGTGTATCTGGAGCTCCCAAGTTGCTAACCATTTATTTATTTTAAAACATTTACATACCACTTTATAACTTTGTATTAAAGAGCAGTATACAAAATAGAAACATACAGCCCTCCCCAATAAACCAATATAAAACAATAAAACAGCAATATATAAATCATGTTATCTATTTCCTTATTAATGAGCAAGTGCGAAGTTACTTGCTGGTCTCATTTAAATGCTGTTTACATTTTAACAACTTAATTTACCCTCAAAACCAGTTTCCGTTTCATAATGGGAAAATGCCCAGGCAGCTTTTCCTTAAAATTGTGTGTATTTGTGAAAAGACACATTAAAATTTTCTCCTATCTTGCATGAGCATTGCTATGAACATTGTACGTATGTGGCTCAGTGTCTTATTCAACACACAAACACAGCAGAGTTTAGTTATACCCAGAAGATGTCAGTGTTGTCCACAGAGCCCACTGTTATTACTGGATGTTTACATCTGTGCAATATGAGTTATCTTAAGCTGTGTGTCTGGTTTTCCAGTTGTTGCTCCTTCAGTGAAGAAGATGGTGGAGTGGGAACAATTTTGTCTCCTTCATGGTGTACAGTTGTAGTTGTTGGGGCTTTAGAGAACACTGATAGTTGTCATGACATTGACCCTTGCAGTGTCAGCAAACTAGATATGTTCGTGGATTTGCAAGGTAGACAGCTTGCGTCTCAGTATTTGAATGGCAAATCAATGGGGGGAATATTGCTGCAACATTTCAGACAGTTGCAGCAGCAAGGTACTTTTAAATGACCAGGGCTTCAGCATCATAGGCATAATATAGTAGCTAAGCAACAGCTAAGAGCCAAAAGGATCCCAGTTCAAGTGTTACCCTTTCCTAGGCCCTGAAGCTGTTACTAGCTTTGGTGGAGCGAGGAGATGCAGTCATAGAAGCTGTACTACCAGCACCCAGCTAATAGCAGCTTCAGGATTTACCGGTACATCTGGGAAGGGCAATGGAGGACAGGCTTAAGCACTAGTTCCAGAACACCCAGCTCAGCCCCAGTGGACTCCTAATTAGCAAAACAAAAGCCATAGGCGATCCTAATCACAAATCTCACACATCACATCTAGCTTGGCTTGGAATAGGTCAGAAAGCAGGATCTGAGCAGCACTGGAAATCAAAGGTCATGCTATATAACAGGATAATGTTTAGGGTCCATGTATCCTTCAAACCTAAGCCCTTTAACTGTCAAAGTTTTTTGGTCCCTGAGAACTTACTGGGGGATTACAGATCATAAATAATTATGAGTTGATCTCAAATGTTTCAGTTTCAAGGGTTAGTTGAGGGAAGTCATGATAGTGGAACTGGCTTGAATAGCATAGATGGTTTTCAGATATGACATTTTATAAGTGCTCTTAAGCCGCCTTTCTTATGCAATTTGTGCTGTTTTTAGAATGCTTGAAAATGTTTCATTATTTTATTTATCATTTCATTTAATGAAATTTATATGTCACGTGATTGTAGAAAAACATCAAAGTGGCTTACAAAAAAGATAAAACTATCTTATTATCACTTTAAAATGGCAGCTGTAATTTAAAAGATACAGAATGATGTTTAGTATAGATATGTTTGCCACCATGGGCCCCTTTCAGAGGAAGGGTGGGACACCAAAATTTAATAAATAATAAACCATAATAATAATAATTTGTGCACTGTGTGCTTTTGTTGATGTGGGGCAGGGTCCAAATGATATATATTCTTATCAAGTGCATTGGCTGCATTTAAATTATAGATCCTGGGAATTAAATGGCCCATCTTTGGTGAAAAGGCACTCTGAGATACATATGCTGTTCACCAGGGGAATTGCTCATTCAGGTCTTGACAATGTGGACTTACTATATTGTGCTCCTTACAGTGTATTGCAGAGCTTCCCTTTATATTTTCGTAGTCAGCATAAACTTAAAAACAAAAACTTCTGGCAATTCTATTTTGATTCTACAGCAAATGTGGTTAAGTGTCTTAAGTGTTGGACTTAAAAGTGTGGAAATGTGGATACAGATTCTCATTTGGACAGTAACAAGGTTGACTTTGATAAGTAATTCTCTGTCAGCCAACTTACTTTGCAAGGTTCATAAAGTTGTTGTGAAGACAACGGGAGGGGCAGCCATTTATGCCACTTTCAATTCCTTGGTGGAAGGACAGGTTGTTTTTTTAAGTATAAATAAATACGTTTCAACCATCTTCATAAGAGTCGGACATGACTAAACGACTAAACAACATGTATGATACATGCAGAGGCTAATCAGGCACAAGAGACAGGGTGTCTAAGCTGCTCCAAGCCTGTCTTTCTCAGCTATGCCTGCGAGGGCTGCTTCCAAGTCCTCTGAGAAGAATTAGAAACCATCTTTAAAAGGCTGGTGGGAGCTTAAGAACCCCTGGAGTATAGCAGTTTAAGGAACATAGGCTTGCAGGAATGTGGTGAAATGTAACCTACATGAGAGGTGGCTCTTGTCTCGTTCCCTGCTTAGATGCAAGGTGTACAGCACCATAACCTACTTGCATAAAAGACATCTTCAGTGTGACGTTTCGAGATAAGGATGCTGATAGCTTACTGGTATATGAAGTGTAGGTTGTGTGCAAGCATTAACCTCAATAGCAAACATTAAGTACTAATGATAAAAAGGATGCCCAAGCTTTAATAGCTCCAGGATCAAAATTATATAGCAACCCCCACACTGTATGCTTCATTACTAAAATGCCATTGAAATCTTCAGTATGTGACACGGTAGCCTAGCCTTCAAATAATTCTACACTTCCTTTTTCAATGATCTTACTCATGCTCTTTGAACTTCAAGGTAGAAAAATCAAAGGCAGCGACAATGTCTCCCTGGAGTTCCTGACCTACTTTGTAGAAATCTGTTCTTGTCTTCAGCAGAAATGTGGAAACTATGTCAGAAGGATTTACTCAATATGTTGTTAAGAATTTATTTCTCCTTTGAACATCGTGCATTCCAAGAGAAGTAATTTAACAGACATTCACACACACACTGAACAAAAAGTGAAGAGGAAGAAGAAGAAACTTTGCTTGAAGAATAGTACCTGTATGAAATGAAGAAGCTGTCAAATGCTCTGTGAACTCTGGAATGAAGGCAGCTGAACAGAACAGTTCACAAAATGAATCTTGTCAGTTATGCTAACGGATAAATGTTGCAATTTGCTTACTTAACCTCTAAAGGAATGGTTCCCAAATTTCTTGCTTCACAGACCGCTCTAAAATTGATGAGGATCTGGGCGGACCACAAGGATGCTTCTGCCTGTAATGTGCGATGCTAGGTGCTGTATATGAGTTTGTATTTTTAAAGATGTGCCATGGAGCACTTGAATTAAGCTCATGGACCACTGAGGGACAGGCAGGAGACTGAAGGGTAGGCAGAGGAGGCAGTGGGGCAGGCAGGGTGCCATGCAACGTTTGAGGAAGGGTAAGAGGAAGAGTCTTAGCAGTCAGCGACTTGAGAGGAGGAGGTGGGGAAAGAGTTGCAGGAAGGTGCAGAGGTGGATGAGTCAATCCCAGAGAGAGCTGGGCCATTAGAATTGCCTCAGTCCCTTCTCCCAGTGCCTCCAAGAACAATGAGGGGTTTAAAGGGACAGTAGCAGCTGGAAATGCAACACAGGAGAAACTCCGGTTGCTTGTGTGCATTACATCAGAAGGGGGGCTTAAATGTGCTGATGGAGGCATGGATGCACTACTGTCCAGTTTGGAGCACAAGTCTGAAGAAAGAGATGTCTAGCTACGTAGCTAGTTAGCAGGCGCAGTAAACCTGGAAGCTTTTGCATGGTGCTCTTCTGCAAACCATGAAGCATGACCATATTGGCTTGTGCTCACCTGACATTCTTACCTGCCTGAAAGCTATGTGAGTGTTGGGCACAGAAGTTGT